CTTGTACCAGTACCACCAAACGGTGTCCTAAGTGGTGCTGTGTCACGCTGGCAGCCGTGCTTGGCATTTGGATTTTGGGGAGGGGCTTGCTGACGTTGCTGACTAGCGGACCTTGCAAGAAGTCTTACAACTCTCGTAACGCAAGCCTGTGTGTTGAGGGGTGCTGCGTCCTGCAGGCAGGTGTGCGAGGCTTTTGGATTTTGGATGTTGCAACATGTTGCAACACTTGCGCCACAAGAATGTGTTCTGAATGGTGTGTCGCGCTAGTGACCGTGCGTGGCATGTTGATTTTTGACTTCGGTTCAGTGGCGGGCCTTACAAACGTTCTTGCATACACTTGTGGTGTAACGCACGTGTGCGTGTAGGAACAAGCGGCAGCGATCGGCCGGAAGCTTCTGGCTCGATCGCCTTTTTCGACTTCCCAAACGCGCCACCCTAAGGGTCTTTTGCTTGTCGACTTCCGACGAGACGGCCGACACCCGCCCCACCGGGCGGTTGTCCCGGGGTGGGCGCAGAAGTGCGCACCCCGGCACCGGCACCGGTTCAGGGGCGGTGTGCTCGGCCGGGCGCAGTTTCTGCGACTCGACCAAGGAAAAGGAGCCACTGCACCCTAGTAGTACTTTTGGCTAACACGTCGTTATCATACCCTTGTTTGGGTAAGTGGTGGGCCATGCAAGAAGTCTTGCAAGCACCAGTTTGACACCACAGTGCTGTCCCCTGAATGGGTCTGTCATACTGGCTGTCGGCAGGTCGGAGTTCAATAGAACTGTATCACATCCTACGGTCCAAACCCTTAGCAACCGGACGCCCAACCAGCAATAACCATGGACGGGGGCGCAGCCGACCGCAACCACAGGGGGGACCGGCAGGGGGGAACCCACACCACAGCGAACCACAGGGGGGGAGGGGTGGATTACCATGGGGCGGGAGGGGGAGGGGGGGCCTAGCAGCGCTGCACCATATATACCTAGGCATGGCGCCTTGAAGCTTCTGTCGTTCACGTTATTTAATACCTTTCTGAAAGTTCGTAAAGCCTTTCGGATTCTTATCATCATTGTACTACATTTCTAACGTTCAAGACGTTCTGAAAGTTTGTCCTCTGATTTCCTCCCGGGTAAACAAGATGATATGATGCTATCATGGTAGTGAAGCGCGAAGTTCCTAAAATAATGGACCCGCAGGGTCATGACCTTGTATCATTGTAGCCTCAGCTAAGTTCCTAAAACCTCCACAAGCCCTCAAACACAGCGTAGAACCCGCGCCAAATTCTACAGAACCCTTGTATACAAAGCAAGGTGCAAACTGTAAGCTCATGTACTGCATGACCAGGACCTCATACGGCCTTCATTCATCACTCCTTTAACTACGCCCCTATAAACCCCTCAAATATACCCGCACTCGAAGCTTTGTTAGACAGCAAGTACAATTTCCTGCATATCGTAAACCCTAGATCGTTTGAACGTCGCGGCTTTAGCAATCTCGATAAAGCCTCACAGAACATATGAATCCTGAAACACCCTTGAACAACTGTACCAGCCCTGTGAACCCTAAACTCCTATAAACAACGAAAACACCAAACCGCAAACCCGAAGCCCGTGATTCCACTGAGAATTCCTGTTTCATCGCATGCCTCGCCATTCGGAGACTCGGTGGGAGGCTTGGGTCTAACAGGTGTAACAAAGCCAGAAACCCCAAACCCTAAACCCCAAAACCCCAACCCCCAAATCCCCTAAACCCCTAAACTCCAACAGATCCCCTAAAGCATAAACCCCATAAGAATTAACCCCCAAATCCCCTAAACTCTAAAGCGCTGAGGCTGCCTCGGCTTTCCTCGGCGGCTTCGGCTGTGCTTTCGGCATGGGCTGGTTGATCGCCCTGGCGGCCTCGCCGCAGAGGGTATTGAGGGCCTGCCAGGGTTTAGGGTTTAGGGTTTAGGGTTTGGGGTTTGGGGTTGAGGGTTTAGAGTGTAGGGTTTAGGGTTTAGAGTTTAGGGTTTAAAGTTTAGGGTTAATGGTTTAGGGTTTAGAGTGTAGGGTTTAGGGTTTGGGGTTGAGGGTTTAGAGTGTAGGGTTTAGGGTTTAGAGTTTAGGGTTTAGGGTTTGGGGTTGAGGGTTTAGAGTGTAGGGTTTAGGGTTCAGAGTTTAGGGTTTAAAGTTTAGGGTTAATGGTTTAGGGTTTAGAGTGTAGGGTTCAGAGTTTAGGGTTTAAAGTTTAGGGTTTAGGGTTTAGGGTTTGGGGTTGAGGGTTTAGAGTGTAGGGTTTAGGGTTCAGAGTTTAGGGTTTAAAGTTTAGGGTTAATAGGGTTTAGAGTGTAGGGTTAGAGGGTGTTTAGGGTTTGGGGTTTGGGGTTGAGGGTTTAGAGTGTAGGGTTTAGGGTTAGAGTTTAGGGTTTAAAGTTTAGGGTTAATGGTTTAGGGTTTAGAGTGTAGTGTAGGGTTTAGGGTTTGGGGTTAGGGAGGGTTTAGAGTGTAGGGTTTAGGGTTCAGAGTTTAGGGTTTAGGGTTTGGGGTTGAGGGTTTAGAGTGTAGGGTTTAGGGTTCAGAGTTTAGGGTTTAAAGTTTAGGGTTAATGGTTTAGGGTTTAGAGTGTAGGGTTTAGGGTTTGGGGTTGAGGGTTTAGAGTGTAGGGTTTAGGGTTCAGAGTTTAGGGTTTAGGGTTTGGGGTTGAGGGTTTAGAGTGTAGGGTTTAGGGTTCAGAGTTTAGGGTTTAAAGTTTAGGGTTAATGGTTTAGGGTTTAGAGTGTAGGGTTCAGAGTTTAGGGTTTAAAGTTTAGGGTTTATGGTTTAGAGTTTAGGGTTTGGGGTTGAGGGTTTAGAGTGTAGGGTTTAGGGTTCAGAGTTTAGGGTTTAAAGTTTAGGGTTCATGGTTTAGGGTTTAGAGTGTAGGGTTCAGAGTTTAGGGTTTAAAGTTTAGGGTTTATGGTTTAGAGTTTAGGGTTTGGGGTTGAGGGTTTAGAGTGTAGGGTTTAGGGTTCAGAGTTTAGGGTTTAAAGTTTAGGGTTCATGGTTTAGGGTTTAGAGTGTAGGGTTCAGAGTTTAGGGTTTAAAGTTTAGGGTTTATGGTTTAGAGTTTAGGGTTTGGGGTTGAGGGTTTAGAGTGTAGGGTTTAGGGTTTAGAGTTTAGGGTTTAAAGTTTAGGGTTCATGGTTTAGGGTTTAGAGTGTAGGGTTCAGAGTTTAGGGTTTAAAGTTTAGGGTTTAGAGTTTAGGGTTTGGGGTTGAGGGTTTAGAGTGTAGGGTTTAGGGTTCAGAGTTTAGGGTTTAAAGTTTAGGGTTCATGGTTTAGGGTTTAGAGTGTAGGGTTCAGAGTTTAGGGTTTAAAGTTTAGGGTTTATGGTTTAGGGTTTAGGGTTTGGGGTTGAGGGTTTAGAGTGTAGGGTTTAGGGTTCAGAGTTTAGGGTTTAAAGTTTAGGGTTCATGGTTTAGGGTTTAGAGTGTAGGGTTCAGAGTTTAGGGTTTAAAGTTTAGGGTTTATGGTTTAGGGTTTAGGGTTTGGGGTTGAGGGTTTAGAGTGTAGGGTTTAGGGTTTAGAGTTTAGGGTTTAAAGTTTAGGGTTAATGGTTTAGGGTTTGGGGTTTTGCGGATTTGTGGATAGCAAGTCAAGAGGAACAGCAACAAAATAGGGTCTGGGTTTCAAGAACTCAGAACAACTTAAGTGACGCGAAGCCCTCAAGTCTGTAAACCTCGTGATTTGAAGAAGCCGACTTAAACTTAAACCCTCATGCAGTCCTCATGCCTTCAGCACTAAAGCTCTGAACACCAAAAGCCCAAATTAAATCCCCCCAAACTCCGGAATTTCTATGTGCCCTACACTCTAGAATCCCTGCCCTAAACCCTAACACCCTAAACCCAAACCCTAAACCACTAAACCCTAAAAGCCCACGAAAGCTTCAACAGACTCACCCAGAGACTCCAATATCCCTTAATTTGAAACGCTGCGCGTCGTCCGCCTCGGCCCGGCTGTACGCGCATGCGGCGAGTGGCTACTATCTGCAGTAGGGTTAGAATTTCAGGTTTGAAACTCGCTTGGTACTGCAGCCTTAAAGGCGAGCCCCAACACATAAAGATGCTACATTGCAGTCCCGTGTCGTCGAAAACTCCACAAAACTCGCACCTGTCAGCGAGCGGAGGAGGGCGGGAGGGAAGGGGGGAGGAGGGGGAGGGGGGGGGGGGGAGGGGAGGGGTGGCCAGGATTTTGGGGTCAGTGGGGAGGGGATTAAGAGGTGGGGAATAGAGGAAATCCGACTAGGAACCTCTGACCGCTTCGGCCGGGGCCGAGGCGAATTAGAAATACACCTTAAATTATGGTAGGATCTCTAATATGATTTAAGGTATATTCCTTAATTAAGGGGTTTTGGAGTCTCTGGGAACAGACTCTACTATTTGCTTAAGAAACACCCAAAAAATAAAAATAATAATCCCTAGGTTACCCCCATAAGGAATATTTTTTTTTATTTTTTGGGGGTTCTTAAGCAAATAGGGTCCCTTTTAGGGTACTTATAAGTCTACTTACTACCTACTTACTAAGTCCCCCGACCCTCCAAGAACAGACTGAGGTCATGTGCTCGATTCTGCCATTCATGGGTGTCGGAGCGGCTTTCATGGGGAAGGCCGCTTCACGTGTGTAGTTTGCGGGCGCATATAGTGTTTCGTTTGATTTGTGCGTAGGTTTGATGTGTATAATGTATATATATATATATATATATATATATATATATATATATATATACATATATACATATATATATATAATATATATATATATATATATAGCATACATGTACCGGTACACAGACTTGGGCACGGTTTCAGATGCTATTTGTTATTGGGTCTAGAGGCCTACGTTGATTACATGCGGGTTTGAGATTATATAGTAGGGTTTGCGGCTTGTTTGGTCTGGGTTGTTAAGACCCGTACATGGTTGTTTGCAGAGTTATATACAGGTTCAAGCTCTCAGTGTTGACATGTCAATTGGTGTGTGTGTGTGTGTGTGTGTGTGTGTGTGTTGGGCTTAGCCGCTCCCGAAACCCTAAACCCTACCGAGTTGGATGTTTCTGTTTGGCAAACTTTATGGGCTTACCTGCCATGTCTCCGGGATCGTGCAAAGCCGGAGCTCAGAAATCGTTAGACGTGTTTGGGTGCCTGCAGGATTCCTGCACGGGTACGCTGGGCTCAGAGTTCAATGTTGGGATTTAGGGATGACTAGCTTGTGCCTCTGAGTCTTGAACTCCATTCTACGTGGAGTAGAGCAACGGCACCACTGCTGATGCGAGTTGTCTTTAGGATAGGATGGATCAAAAGTCATTTTTGCGTTCGTGGCTTCCACTGTCGCAGGAATGGCAACAACAGTACACCTCGCAATGGAAACGATTCGAGTTGGAATGTCGGACCTGACATGGAGGTCTGAACGCAGACATGCTAGCAGCATCCTCTTGTAACTTGTAGTCCCTATGTCATATACACCTTGCAAGTGCTATTCTATTCAGTAAGGCTCTCACACGAGATACCTCAACTGTTAAGAGGAGTAGCGCGAATACCAGCAACCTCAACTCCTGAATCGTTAGTCGAACACGGACCCCAAAAAGTCCCAACTCGTACCACAAACCCCCAAACCCTAAAGCCCCATTAGAACCGTCATAGCCCAGAAACCAGTACAGAAGCCTTGTAGGTACCTTATTAAGGCCGCCTAGGGCGTACCAGGCCGTTCAGGAGATCCAGAACGAGTCACAGTCCTGGTATGCCAAGGCTTCTGCTGTGGTCGAGGAGCCGGGGCGTTGGGTACCCCTAATATAGTACCCTAAATATGTGGTAGGATCCTTAATATAAGGACCTTAAAATAAGGTACCCCCTAATTTTCGGAAACTCCCAAGCCTTATTATGAGAACCGTTAGTTAGTTTCATGATTCATGAGTATGACTGGTACCGTGATCACTATTTCTGGTATCATTGGTGTGGCAATTTCTTGTTTTTCTTCTCAATACGACGATTACAAATATTGGAACTTCATACGACGATTACAAATATTGGAACTTCTGTCAATACACCACTATTCTTGAGTCTGTTGGGTGACTTCGGCAGGGCTTTCTTGGAGTCTTGAGCTGCTTCCTGAGACGAGATGCTGTTTGGCTTCGGATGGCCGTGTTGTGGGTTAGTCTTCAGGGGGTTTAGGGTTTAGGGTTTAGGGTTTATAGGGCTTAGGGCTTGCGGTATTATGTTCCCATATGATTATCAGGTTATCAGGTACGCGGACCAAACCCACAGCCCATGAGCCCAGTGAGCCTGCAATCTTTCGACAGCAAGCTCCATCGATGTCTCGACAATTGTTATGCCTACTATTGTTGAAATTATTGCCTCTATGATTTTTCATATCAGTACCACCAATGTTAGTGGCATAGAAAATGCGTACTACTATGGTGAGTGCCTTACGACTACTATGACAACGGTTGTTATCGTGGCAATTATACTCAGTCTTGTTCATCAAAGGGGGCTTTTCAGAATCCTTGGGGAGGAACGTTGATTGCACAGGAACCCGAATGGTGTGAGTGCAGGGTTTAGGGTTTAGAGGGTAGGTTTGGGGTTGATGGATTGACTGTTCATGGTTTAAGGTTTTTTTCATGTAGGGGCCTTATATAGTTGCCTATACTATACCTGTTTAGGAAGTTCCTTGTTACAACTATATAATGGACCCCAAAACCCTATTCTAATGATTAAGGCCCCTCTGTTATTCTTTTTGTGCAGGAGTGCCTGCACGCAATGCGCACGGTGGTCGCCTTCGGTGGCGAGTCTCTTGGCTTCGGATCTGGGATTCGGGCTTTGTGAACGGGATTTGGTTGTTCTGTTTCTGTGAGGTTGGAGTATGATATAGCGTTTACTCAGGTGCCGAACACATTCAGTAGTCAGTTTCACGTAGGTAGGCTTGTGATCTCTGACGCCGACGCCTTCAAACTCTTGCTGGCCATCTGGAAACCAACTATCAGGCCAATTGCCATGCATGCTGACGTGTCGTGCAGCATGCATATGTGCAGGTATCTACGTATGCATGCATGACAGCAGCATGAGCGATAATTTAGATAATCTAGTGAAAGCTACATGCCTGAACACAAACATACATATGTATGCTCGCCCCCCCCCCCCCCCCCAAGATCCACGCCATCGTGGTTCTTAGGGCATGGGGCGCACGAAACACTGCTATGCTCAAAAAATTCCAAACTTTCCAACCCCAGAACTCACGAAACACTGCAATGCTCAACAAATTCCAAAAAATCCAAAATTCTGGCATCTATGGCCAGGACGGGGGCAAATTCCTTAAAAGTTTGGAATTTTTTGAGCATAGCAGTGTTTCGTGCGTTTCAAGGCTTGGAAAATGGATTTTTTTGAGCATTACAGTGTTTTGTGAGTTTTAGAGCACGAAACACTGCTATGCTCAAAAAAAGTGGGCTTTGAGGCTGTGAAAAGTTGGTTTTTTTTGAGCATTACAGTGTTTTGTGAGTTTTGGACCACGAAACACTGCTATGCTCAAAAAAAGAGAGCCTTGAGGCTGTGAAAAGTGGATTTTTTTGAGCATTACAGTGGTTTGTAAGTTTTAAACCACGAAACACTGCTATGCTCAAAAAATTCCAAAATTTCCAACCCTGAAACTCACGAAACACTGTAATGCTCAAAAAATTCCAAGGATAATTGGGTGCTTTCAACCGTTGTCAAGGACTGGAAGTAATGTTTTATGTGCCTTCTGGACCAGCAACGGTTTTCATTACTCTTGTTTGATAAGTATGAACAGCCCTGCTTCATGTTTGGAACATTGCAAGAGCTCTCTTACTTTTTGCTGCAGACGAGCCTTCTTGTGCGCCCGCATATGCACATGAACCTTTCAACTCCAGGGGAGCTTTCCAATTTCTTATGAGGCAAAGAACAACTATTGGAGTAGTGCTTCAAAAATAAACGCGCCCGTATATTCGACTTCCTTCATGTATAATGGACAGGACATGAAAGGAGCTCTTTGTATTTCGTAACTCATAAATCAAACGCTAGAGCGATTAGGTCGCATCAGAATCGGACGCTTCACGAGCAGCGGGAAAGAGATGGCCCACGCACGCAGACGTTTTCGTAAGAGAGACAATAGTATTTTTATTATTAGAGGAATGTTGTTAAATAACACACCATAAAATGCAAAAAACACGAGGTTTTTTAGTATTACATGAACAAAACTAGCACGCCCTCCAGCATTTCAGCTTGTCGAACACATAAACTACCATAAATCCCCGGCCGAGATTCGGCTCCAGATTTTTACAGATATCAAACCCGCGACTTGTAGCAACAAGGCTTGGATGCACATGACGAAACGCACGATTTTATCGGTATTTACGGTGTTTTCTGCCTATATGAGTAGTGGATCAATGTAGAGAAGCAAGCTGTGGAATAGCATGGAAGAGGCGGGTGTGGATCTTGGGGGGGGGTGACCATATGTATATATATATATATACAAGTTCATACGTACACATATTCATACACACTCACATGGGCAGACAGATATGCATGCAAGTGTATGTACTCATCGGTGACAGATCATCAGGTCAAAGGATGCGCAACCATACGCTCGCGTGAACCCATCGACGAGCATGCAGACAAATACCCATAGGCCCCAAAGTAGTTCCCTTTGGGGATTCGTATGTAGAGTCCTATAGTAGTTCCTTTTTGGGCTTACCTTATAGGATTCCATATACGAACCCCCAAAAGGAACTACTTTGGGGCCTTTGGGCAGGCTTACGAAGAACTTCTGCGCGTGCGAATGTTGACGTGTGCACGCCCAACGACACAACGAGCAGTCGATCCATGAATCTATCCAGTGTGTATTAGGTTCGTACTTGTCCATGTGGTTATGTTTTGGTTGTTTTTCGTGTGCACATGTGCCACAGTCATGTCGGAATGTATGTATGCACCAGGGGATGGATGGATAAACGGACAGAATGGATGGATGCATGGATGGATGGCGGGATGGATGCATGAATGGATGGATGGATGGATTAAGAAGGAAGGAGGGAAGGCTGGAAGGATGTAAGTAAACCGTGTGGCTGATACGGAAACTCGTGAGACCGCAACCAACCCCGGTAACTTCTTGTAACTTTCAAACAAAGTCTTTCAGTCACCTCGAAGCCACAACTCTGAATTCTGTGAATCCTACTAGACTAACCCCCAAAGTTAAGCCTTAAGCCCTAAACCCGAATCCCCGAAGGCACCGTGAGCTGAAGAAGTTCTCTGCTGCTCTCGTCGAGACCCGCCGCGGTGGCGTCAAGAACGGCTTCAAGGTCCCCGGTTTAGGGTTTAAGTAATATCGGGGTCACATTTACTACTACATGTATGAGTGCACCCTGATAGCTCCTATAAAGGTAGGTTCAGATACCCCGAACCCTATTCTGATTACTAAGGCCCCTGCATTAGGTTGTTTGGGTTGACCGATTCCACGGCAGGGCTTTGGGTTTGGGCTTTAGGGTAGCCGTTCAGGGTTTTGGGGTCTAGCGCAGTTGTTCAGTGCTGATTGATTTGGGGTTTTGGGTTGGGGTTGGGGTTAACCAGGCTTCATGAACTGCTGTAAGGGTCCATTGATTGATAGCATGCTGCCCTATACCATAACCCTATATACCATAATTAACCCTATATAAGTCCTAAACCACTTGAAGCTATCGGTTGAGGGTTTAATGCTCACTGGAGATCGTACAGTTCGGCTTTGAGAAGCGTGCTTGGCTTGGAGAATCTGTGGTCTCTGGGATTTTGCTGAAGAGGGTTCGCGTGTGTGTTGTTGGGTTCAGAGATGTAAGATTGAGCTACAGCCTAAATCTTGGATCCGAAATGCCGAGCCCTCCTTCCCAAGCCAAGTTGCGCCTCATACGCAGATTCTGCTAGCTCCCTTAGCGTGAGTTCGCACCACTCGCAATCGTCTAAAAAAGATATCAATCCATCAGGTGGGTGCAGGCATGGGCTACACCATGTGCATTGTCTTCCTCGGATATGGCTTGGCCTTCTGGTTCGGAATGACACTGTGACTTGCCTACGTAATCCTCGGGTTTATGACAAGGTTATGACACAGAATTACGGCGTATGCTGTAGAATTTCAGACTACGAGATGTACGTAGCTATTTGGGCTCGAGGGCTTCATGGTCTTTGGCCCTATTGCTGCTGAGGTTAGGGGTTTGAGTTTAGAGATTTTAACTTTCGGGGCAACCGTTTCAACTTCCCTTCCGTAAACCCTAGCTGCCCCAGCTGCACTAAAGCTCTCAAACTTTTACACTAAACGCTCCTTTGTTACGATAAGGGTTACCATCATACGTTACCAGAACAAGAAACCCTAAACCCTAAACCCCTAAACCCTAAACCCTAAACGGACTATTATGATCAGGGCTACCATGCCCAGGGCTTCTACAAGGCTTACTACAATCAAAGGGGAAAAGGAGGGACCCTTAATACGGACCCCTTTGATACAAAGGGTTACTGTTGGTTTCTGCTAACCTTAAGGACGAAATGAGCCCTAAAAGGGTTTAAGGTTCATATACCATATAGGGATTCATAGCATATGGGTATAGGGCCCCTACTTTTGAGGTTCATTTGGTCCTCCAGGAAGTGCTTCGCCAGTATGGGGGCTCCAGGATGGAAATCCAAGGGCTCAGGGCAAAGCACCCGAAAGGCCTGGAAGTTACGCAGCCAACGCATACCATGCCAAAACTAGATGGTCTAGAGAGGGTTAATGGGTTTGGGCTTAGGCCGTGCAAGATCGAAAAGACGATGCAGGTTAAATCGCAAAGCATAAAAACTGAAGCCAAACCGTTTATGTAAGGCGCTACAACGAGGAGCTCAACCCGGCCACTGGTGCGACATGGCAGCGCAAACTTTGCCTAGGGCCCGAGGAGATTGGGTTTAAGGATCGTAAGGGCTGTTTAGGACCATCAAGGCTTTGGCTCTTCGGGAATTGAAGGGTTGGGTTTTTGGGATGTAGGGCGAGGTTCCGAGTGGGAGGCCTGCCTGGAATTCAAAGCTGGGGTTGGGGTCTGCAGTCTGGGTGTCGGCTTTTCACATGTGTTCAGCACCATGGTCCCCTGGCCGGTTGCGTGAGGGTTGTACCAGAGGGTGGGGCCCGTCCATGAGCCTTCCGAGAACTGCAGCGAAACAGGCCAGACTTAGAGCAGGTTTTGCATGCGGACCGAAAACAGTTACCCGTATAAACCAGATCAAGCTGAAACTTTATCCTAAATCCGAAAGCCCTCAACACCCAGCCGCCCCACTATCAAATACCACAACCCCGAAACCCGAAGCCTAATGCACACCCTGGCACCGTAAACCCGAAGCGAACCCCACGGCAGCCCCTCCCCCCTCCCCCTCAGAACAGCATTGGGTGGTTGTCAAAATTATGGTCCTTTTTTGGGTAGCTATTATAATACGGCACCTAATATTTAAGGTACCAAAAAGGGGACCCTAATTTTGACAACTACCGACACGAAGAAAGAAGGGCACGGGAGGGAAGCTGCTCAGACTGCATGGGAGCCCGGCACCATCATGGCCATCTTCTTCTGCATCTTCATCGGCGCCTGGGTCGCAGTGTGGGTTGGGTTTGGCTTCCTAGTAGTAGAGTAGGTAACCTTTAACCTCGTTTGGGTAGTATAGTCCCTATAGAATCTATATATAACCAAAAAGTTAACCTTTAGTTCCCCATGATACCCGACAAGTAGGACTTTAGAGATTAGTGTTTGTGGGGTAGTGCGCGTGAAGAGGTAGGGTAGCTGGTTGTCGTGTAGAGATAGAGTATGGCTGTTACAACAACAACGACAACGACAATAAAACCATACGATGATACCATAATCATCATCAACAAGCAGCAGCACCACCACCACCACCACCACCACCACCACCACCACCACCACCACCACCACCACCACCACCACCACCACCACCACCACCACCACCACCACCACCACCACCACCACCACCACCACCACCACCACCAGCAACAGCAACAGCAACAGCAACAACTGCAACAACTGCAACAGCAACATCATCATCACCAGCACAGCAGCAACATCCTCCCCATCACCATCAGCAACAGGTACTGCAACAAGAGCAACAAGCACAACAGCAGCAACATCAACAGCAACAGCCGCAGTAAACAACAACATTACCATCACCACTATCATCAACATCTTGTTTTCCAACAGCAACATCACAGCATCAGCATCACTCACAGAAGCCACACCGACTGCACCAGCAACACAGCCCCCGTTCATAATATGACAATAGCAACAGCCGCAACATCATCCACAACCACAGCTACAATGCACAAGTCACCACGGCAACGTTTTTTTTGTTGGACTCTGAGCGAGCGGGCTCTGCTCACAGCGGGCGAATTGTATCAGCCCTGGCACCAGTCTGCACAAAGAACGAGCATTGGAGAACTAAGGAACAGCCAGTCGCAGAGAGATTCATACACCTCAGCCGAGCTAATACGAAATTAAATCAAACAAGAAAAGTTGCGGCTGAAGTACTTGGACTACCAGTTCTAAGAGTCTACATTGAATGTGTCCTGTGCAGCTTATGGCACACTCGCCATTGAATGCATCAGTAGCCATCACTCGTCGGTGAGATTGCCTCCGTCACCCTCAGTATGAGTCATCGCGTCCGATACTCATGAACCTCCTACCGGTGGGCCGTACTGAAGAGCCGGTTCCCCGAGTGCAAGTGTAACCACGACAACAACGAGAACAACAGATGCAACAAAACAATAACTTTCTGTAGAGTTCAGCGGGTTTGGGGTTGGCCATACGGGACCTTGCATCGACAAGTCCTTATGCCCCCGTTCTCGCTGGGCCCTGTTCTCTTAACTACCAAAAGCGCTACTGCCAAGGACCCAGGAAAGCCCCCTTAATCCTTAATCTTTATCCCCCTCCTGTGCCCAAGCTTCTGTTCCAGTGAAGGCAGCTTCATGATCGGCAACCTCGACCCCAGTCTCAAGGCCTGCCCTAGGGGCCTTAATGATCAGAATAGGGTCCCCTTTTTGAAGGGGTTTATAAGGGTTACTGTAAGTGATCTATAAGGGTAGTATAGTATTAGGGGCCTTAATAATTAGAATAGGGTTTTGGGGGACCATTCTACTATAATTCTAGGAAGGAACCCCAAAACAGATATAGCATTGGTAATCATTTAGACCCCTATAGTCGTGGATGTTCTTTTTGATTTGCTTTCGCTTTTGCCACATTATCGTGGGCTTGTCTGCGCACGCTTTTGGTGTGATGGGGGTAAGGGCCATGTTGATGCCTTACATCCTCTATCCTTAACCCTGCATGCTGGAAACATAGATTTATTCTGTTGTTAGTGTAGGGTTCCAGAGCAAGATAACGAAGACAACGGTCAATTCTGGCAATGCGTACCCTCAATCTTCAAGCCTTGTGAAACGTGATCCCACACCCATACACTATTCCCGAGTTCCCTACCTCCTAGCGTCAGCCGTCAGGTTATAACACAGAGCTGCGGCTTTGCACTTTAACTTGATCCCGACGTCTACAATAGGGGCCTAAATGATTACCTATATGTACAGTTTTGGGGGCTCCTTATTATAACTACAGTATAATATACCCCCCCAGAACCCTAGTCTAATTATGAAGACCACTGTATTACCACCCCAGTTGCCACCCAGAGCCCCGATACCCTGACGCCCCCCTCCAAAACCCGACGCCGTGAACCCCAAGCGCTTCACGTATAATAGGTCTTTTATGGCGTGTAGTACTTTCATCTACGCTATAGGACACCATAGTATCTTCTAGTATATTCTGGTACATTACAGTATGTTGTAAGAGGTATACGGTATAGTTCGAATCCAACGCCTAAAACCCTAAATTAAACCCTTAGCCATATAACCCTATATAAATCTCTGTAAGGCGCCCATCCAACTCTCAGCACTTTTTCGCGCTGTGCCAGGCCATGAAGGCTGCCCAGACTGCCGCTGGCCGCTTCTTCCAGGCCGGTGCCGAAAGGGATTCCCATATGGGAGTTTCCGAAAATTAGGGTACCTTATTTTGGGATCCTTAAAGTAAGGATCCTACTATTTAGGGTACTATATTGGGGTCCCCTATTTTTGGAAACCCCCATATTATACTACATAATTACAGTGTCCTAGAATATCGTGCCATAAATACCTGTGAGAAAGCAAGGGGCTTGGGGTTTATGGGGATCTTGATGGTTTTGAAGGGTGTAGGGCTTAATCGCCTTCGGGATTCAGGTGTGTGGGGTGTGGGGCCTGAGGGTTCAGGATTTGGGGTCTTGTGGGGCAACGCAAAGGATCATAGGCTTTGCAGGGCGTGGCGTTTCTGGGTCTCAGGAGATTTGTTTTTTGGTACCGTTTTTGTTGGGGTGGTTCCCTAAACCCTAAACCCAAAACCCTAAGCCCTAAACCCTCATTTTTGTTGGGGGATGGTTTGGGTTTTGTTTGGTGTGGGATTTGGGACTCCCAGGGTGACAACGTTTGGGATTTATGGGGCATGTTCTGGTGATAGGTTCGGGTTTGAACTTCCATTGATGCGGACTTTGATCGTTTAAGCCGGAACTTTTGCATGTTAGGCCTGCCCAAGTTCTAGAATCGCTGACAGTAACGTTCATCGAACCTTCAAAGCTCAACCATTTAGAGTCGTATTTCCTACGGCTCCTTATTGTTATAGTTACACTGTGATATACTGAAAACCTTCGTCCCTGGACCTATGCATGTAAGGGCTACGAACATTGGCCAGGCCGTGGAGAACAAGCCAGCAATTCAGTGCCGAGATGAGGCCTTGGTGGGAGGGAGTTGCGCACAATGCTCTCTGTTGGCTCGCTCGCTCGCTCTCGCTCTCGCTCTCGCTCTCGCTCTCGCTCTCGCTCTCGCTCTCGCTCTCGCTCTCTCTCTCTCTCTCTCTCTCTCTCTCTCTCTCTCTCTCTCTCTCTCTCTCTCTCTCTCTCTCTCTCTATATATATATAAACACATATACATACAATTTACTTTACAGTATATATGTATTACACACTTATTTCTGTTTGTGGAGATAGAGGGGGTGCGGGGCGGGCGGGGGATTGAAGGGAAAGGAGCGCTCTTCCAATCCGGGAGTTCGTTTCGCAGGTTGCAATCATATTGAGGATCCTGTTAGTATGGGGCTTAGGTTGAGGGCCGATACATTCGGAAGCTAAGCTCCCAACCATTCTGCACTAGGTAAGGCTGAATTGGTTACCCTTGACTACCCTGTACTTACACTTTATGGCGGCTTTTCACCAGCATGTAGCGGGTTTAACGAAGGTTCCATAACACCGTGTGCACAACACCGATCGAACCTCCTTCTGGAAGTGTGTCCTTTATGTGGCATCTACTGTCCAGCGTCGAGGGTTACTCATCGCAGGCATTGGGTTTTAGAGTTTAGGGCCTAGGGTAGGGTTTATCTTTCGCCTCACAATCCATCACGGGTAATCCATCATACCCTACGGGTCCAAGTATCAGTATAGCTTATACTTTGGGGAGCCAAGTATATACTAAGAGCCTACCATAATGATACTGACTTGGGGTTCAGAGTTTCCGAAGGCTCCCCCTTACATCGTCTTTAGGGTTTTAGGATGTAGGGATTAGGATTTAGGGTTTAGGGTTGAGTCGGAAGGACAAGCGCCTGGACATCAGCAGCATCGACCAGTTCGTTTTCGAATCTGTGCATTTCTCGTATCCTGCTCGCCCAGACGTGAAGGCCGATCGGGAAAGCCTTAATATATGAGTCCTTAGATCCCTAGGGAAAGCTCAGGATTTGGGACCGGAGGGATCTCTCGGGTGCTTGCCGCTGTAGGGCTTTAGGATTTCAGGATTTAGGGTTCAGGGTTTAAACTCTGAGCCCGAACCCTAGACCCTAAACCCTAAACCCTATTAGGGGTTTAGGATTTAGGGTTTCGGGTTCGGGAGTTTTCGGGGTTTGAGTTTTCGGATTGTAGGAGTTGGGATCGCGTCTTCTGGAGTTCGTTTTTGTTTTTGGTGGGGGAAGGGGGTGGGGGAAAAGGGGGGCGGGGTGACTTAGAACTCAGGGTTTAGGAGCTACGATTTAAGCTTTCTGAAGGTTTGGGCTTAGGGATTTTTTGGGGTCGTGGTCTCTGGAGGTTAAAGTTCGGAATCCTGGGAGGGGACAGGTCAGGCTTTTGGGGACTCTCAGTGTGAGTCGTATAAAGGTCTCATGGTGCTTGTACTCCCTTATCGTCCCTATGCAACTGCCCCATGATATGCCCCATCTAAGTTTAAGGAGTTTAGAGATTAAGGTTTTTGGGTGGTGTTGGGTCTGATCTCGAAAGCGTCCTGTTTTATGGTTTAGGCAGTTAAAGGTTCAGGAAACAAGCTTGCGGCATGGGGAACAGGGGCAGATTCCAGCCTGTTTGGTCATCGTATCCCGTGGGCAACTCTGAAACAAGAAAGCTCACATGTCCCCAAAGCCTATGCCCTACATCTCAGATTCCGCAGCATCCCCTGAATTAGAAGGGTGCTACAGTTGTTTTTTGCTTTTTGGTTTTTCAGATTTTAGCAAAGGAGTCGCCAGAACCGATGGGCCAAAGCGTAATATTTGGCGACTTCAGAATTTTTAATACCTGCAGGTCGACGTATTGAGTCTGAGCTCTAAATTGTAAAAGCTGTAAAGCGCAAAACCCGGAATGCCCTACGGTTTAGGGTTTAGGTTGGGGTATACGGATTAGGGGAAGACACACTAAACCCTGAAAGGTGCTGAACGGCCTCTCCCTGACCATTCAGCGTGGGCAGAAGGTCCCGCGGCGTCAGCTATCTCACCTTCGGGGGATCCTATGCTTCCTGCGTTGCGTTATCTAATTGACTATCTATCCATCTGTCTGACTGGCAATCTATCTAATCTATCTATCTATCCAGCTATCCTCTCCTCTCCCAGCAGAAGTAGAGGTACTGCTGATGGACAAAATCCTGCATGACCCTAAGGACCCTAAACTATGGGAACTATGGTATATTCCTTATAATGGGTGATGCAGGATTTTGTCCATCACCAGTATCCTGAAGCACTCTTTGAGCTAGCTGGGGCCGAGAGCTCCACTCACAGACGGCCATGAATCACATCAATGCTTAAGCATTATAGTCGAGGTATCGATGTGAGATAGTTGCTAATTTCACTTGCTGTTTCATATATGGGCCCTATGTTTAAACAGTTACTGTTGAAATCTACACTAAGTCGTGGGGTTGAGGATTACGAACTGGACGAGACAACTAAGCCCACACACCCAGCATTGCAGGGCATACCTTTGTGTTGTTGCTTTCTTGGTTTTTTTTGTCCATGGGGCCCACAACATCAAAACCCAAAGTCTTAAAACAAGACAACCCATACCCAAACCTTACACATCAGTCAGCATTTGTTGTACCAGAGCAAGCAAGAAGCAATCGCAAGAATTCTGGTCTTCTGGCATTGGAATGTTGACATGCCCAAAACTTACCTTTGGTTAGTAGGGAATGGAAGATTGGCAGTAGCAGTAGTTATAGTTATACCCCATTCCTCCATTCCCTACTACTTGGAGGGTCGGGGACTTAATAACTGGGTTATTTTAGGGACTTATAAGTACCATAACCCCAATTAGGGTCCCTTTTAGGCTACTTATAAGTCTACTTACTACCTACTTACTAAGTCCCCTAAAGACCCTCCAAGTAACCAAAGGTAAGAAATGCCCCTGGACCGCTTCAGCGCTTTAGGTTGCCGTGGTCGGTGAGTCAGGCTCCGGAAAGTCCACTGTGGCATGGCAAAAGATTTGGGAAAGTAAGCTTCGGTCGAGGCTTTCAAAATTTGGTGCACGTGGTTTAGGATTGAGACTTGCAGGGTTTTGGTTTTGCGAGTGCCGGGCTTTTTGTCCGTTTGCAGAATGTTTTGCGCATTCAGGGGTTTAGGGCTGTGCGGTTTGGGTGTTTGGTTTGTGGGGTTTGAGCTTCGCGAGAAAGGGGTTTAGAGAATCTGGGCACCAGGTTACTTTTAGCGACTTTGGGTGGGGGTTGTATTCCGACTCTGTGTGCTGACTGACGTGCAGCTGAAATCCTGGAAGCCTAATCACCATTTGAAAGCGCGAGGTAGCTTGTTTTCTGTAGACCTTATCTTTGGAAGTACAGCGGGGGGGGTTGGGGCGGTTCTACTATATTTATATTGAGGAACACCCAAATTTAGTATAGGTAATCATTAAGGTAAGGCGCCTGTACTACCCTATATCCCCTTCTTGAGCCGACCTTAGGGACGAAATGAACCTCAAAAGGGTTCAAGGTTCATATACCATATAGGGATTCATAGTATATTGGTATAGGGCCCCTACTTTTAAGGGTCACTTGGTCCTTCAGGGACGGGTCCTCAATCCCAGGTCATGGCCTTGCTCGAGCGCTTCTACGACCCCGACTCGGGTGCTGTTCTGGTGAACGGACAGAGCCGCGGCGGATTTTTCTGGTTTCGGGTTTAGTAGAGCGGGCCCCACTCATTGCCTATACTATTTCGGGTCGCCCGTTACTATAATTATAGTATTATTGGCGCAAAACCCTATTCTAATGTTTAAGGCCCTTGGATTACGGCTTTTCGCTGAGCCACTGGCAAGCTAAGTCGACGAAGGCAAGAACGGGTTCGGGTGCTAGCGTTTAGGCTGGGGGGTCATGCTGCATCCAGAGCTTCTCAAGGCTTTGTCGGGTTTTGGTGAGTTGTTGTCTGCAGATCTTTAGTCAGGTTAGGGCACTTCCTGTGGTGATCTGCATGAGGGCTTGTAGAGGTTCAAGGGTTCACTGTTAGGTAAAGTTCGATACGTCACGGTTGGCGGCGTGGTACTCGTTTTGGCGGCCTGGTGTAGCAATACTCACTTGGAGGGTCGGGGGACTCAATAACTGGGTTATTGGTTATTTTACGGACTTATAAGTACCATAACCCCAATGAGGGCCCCTTTTAGGGTACTAAAAAGCCTACTTACTAACTACTTACTAAGTCCCCTAAAGACCCTCCAAGCAGGACCTTCGCGTCCAGAAAATTTCGGGTCGTGAACTCGAGGTTCAGGAGTTTGGTTAGTTACCCTAAGGGTCCAAGTACCTGATTATCATATACCTATAGTCTCCATTGTAGTTCCTTTTTTTGGTTAAACCAAATACATAATTGGGATCCTATAAGGTAACCCCAAAAAGGAACTACAATGGAGACTATAGGTACTCTCCTAAATATTGAGCTACATAACTACTATCCTAAGCCCGAGAACCTAATTATTGGGTCCTTTGGGCCCTCAGGGGTTACGTCTGACTAGCGAGTGATACGATTCTGTACTTTTCCTTCGGGTATCTGCGGTAGCGCATGCTGATTATGTCATGGTGGGACTTTGTCACTCTCAACTTGGGGAATCAGAGAGGGGGGTGGTGTAGTCATAGAGCCCTATGCCGAAACACGATTCGAAGCTTCTCTACACAGCTTTTTTCAAAGCCCTGAAAGCTCCCAGCCGAGGAACATGAACAGCTTCAAGATCTCCGCCTTGCGCAGGTTCTGTCTCGCAAGTCCCAAATGAATGGGGGGCTTCGGGTTTAGGGGTTTTGGTTTTAGGGCTTTAGGACTTTAGGGGGGCTCGGATATACTCCCCAAAACACCAGCCTTTTTGCTGTTACTGCTCTCAAGTTCGGTACCTAATTGTTGGGCGCTCTTTCATTTAGGATTACTCGTACGGCAGCTTGGTGCTCTCGGCATCCATGCATCGTTGAGGTTGTCTTTTTTTACTTTAAAGGTTTACGACAGCAGGCCTTCCACAAGAAGCCCTAGCAACAGCAAAACTGAATAATAACCCTGAGCCCTATAACCCCTAAACCCTCTAAACTGATGGCCGCAGGTGCATTGGCTACGTGGGTCAGGAGCTGCCTTTGGTGATGGGGCGGGTGTCGGCTGAGGGGAGGAGTTCAACTCTTGGGTTCAGAGTGTAATCGGCTATAGGATTTGAGGGTTTCAGGGTTGAGAAGCTTTGCAGCTGAGTGGATACACTTTCCACTTTCGGGGATAATATTACCACCTATCAAACTAAAAGTGTACACTATTTTGGGGGATTATGAACTCAGCAACTAAGGTCAGTTAGCAACAGTTTCTGGGGTTGTACCCTAAACCCTAAACCGTGTTGTACAGCGTTCATAGGCGTGCGTTCGGATCGCTCCATGTCGCTTCGGGGCTTTTGGGCGCAGTGCATTTATGACCTTGGCCCTCCAGGGTTCCGAGAGCACAATGTAGAGCAAAAAGACTGTTTAACCTTTTAAAAGCCATATAAAACTCTCAACCCTAAAGCCTATCTGATACCCTAACCGTGGCCTTAGGCCTTCTCCCGGCCCCAGAACCCTACACCATGTAGGCTATAACTATTGTCTCCTTAGGAATCATATTTTTGTTTTTGTTCATATAAAACCCAAGACACTATTAAAGCCATCATGTTTTATTATGGTTCCAAGGGGGGTATAGAGAAGCCCTAGAAATGGAAAGCTGTAACAGTATTTGGGGGGCCCTATGGGCCTATGGGCCTTCTCGCGGCCTCCCGGACCCTATAGACCCTGTAACTATTCTCTCCCCAGGATTTTTTTGATTTTTGTTCATGTAAAACCCAAGAGACTATTAAAACTATTTTTTTTGTGGTTCCAAGGGGGTTATGTGTATATATATATACATACAGATATGTAGATAAGCCCCCGAAACCAGGAGCCCGTGCTTTTCGCCAGCTCCATTCGCCACAACATCATGCAGGGCAACCCCTCGGCCAGCAAAGAGGACCGGAGATACTTTAAGGTTTAGTAAGGGTTTAGGGCTTTAGGGGTTTAGGGCTTTCGGGGTTTAGGGCTTTAGGGGTTTAGGGCTTTAGGGTTTAGGGCTTTAGAGGTTTAGGGGTTTAGGGTTTAGGGTAGGGCCAAGGCTTACGGTTTGAGGGTTCCTTACGAGAGTTGCCAAAACGGGCTCTAGAGGGGTCCAGGGTCTAGTGCTTGGGGTCCAGCATTCAAGGGTTTGCGGGTTTAGGATGTTAGGGAGTATTGGTTGTTCATGGTTTAGGGTTCTGGGGGCTAGGGGGCTGCTGGGGCTGCCGCAGGCGGGTCGCAATTTCGGGGTGGAGAATTTTCAGCTTCGATGCCATGGTTGAACACTCTGAATACTCCTTTGCAGCGGTTACTGGGAGAACTATGTGCTTTGACTAGCTCGTGTGGTAATAAGAGCTAGTAACTAGTAGTAGAGTAGGTAACCTTTTACCTTTCTTGGGTAGTATAGCCTCTATATAATCCCGATATAACCAAAAGGTTAACCCTAAACCCTAAACCCTAAACCCTGCTAAACCGCTAAGACCCTTTAGTTCCCCATGATACCGGACAAGCCGGGGCAGGACTTCGCCAAGGCCTGTGCCGATGCCCAGCTGGGCTTCGTGGACAACCTGCCAGAGAAGTGCCCTGGGCTTCTACGGTTTAGGGTTTAGGGTTTAGGGTTGTTGATGATAGAAATCCTGCATTACCCATAATACGGAATCTACCATAATTCCCAAAGTTTAGGGTCCTTAAGGTAGTGCAGGATTTTTTTCATCAACAGTAGGGGAGCCTAATATAATACCCTTAATAGTAGGGTCTTGATTATAAGGACCCCAGAATAAGGTAACCCTAATTTTCGGAAAGCCCCACATGGGATCATCAGGGCTTCTAGCAGGGGTCTCAAGAGTTCCTATAAAGGGGTCTTAGGGGCTTCTATATAAAGCCGTGAACCAATTCAAGGAAACCTTAAGAGCGTCACCATAGAGCCGTGCAAGGAACTTTACATAACTCGTTAGAACCCTATAGAAACCTCCCTTATCAGGGCGTCTATCAATGTCTCACCCTCGGAAGGCTTGCCGGTCGTCTGAGCGGACACTAAGACCCGGTAGCCCTGGAAGGTTTGGGGGTTATGGATGGTTTAGGGTTTAGGGTTTTGGGGGCTTACGTTGAGATCGAGAGATATAGCCCTGAGGGCTCAAGGCACATGGACTGGCGTGTTGCATACTTTGGGGTCTGGGGCACCTCGAAACCCGTAACGTACATCTGCCCCATGGCCCCTAAACCAAAAACCCCAGCTAAAGCTTCAACTCTTGCAGGGCCGTCCATCCATCTATCTCTCCATCTATCCATCTATCTACCTATCGACCTATATCCATCCATCCACCTTTCGAGCCATGTACCAACTTTGTCTATCTATAGTTCTATCTATTTGTCTATCTGTCTAGCCGTCTTTGTCTGTCGGTCGGTGGGTTTCTCGGCCTGTCTTCCTCTCTGTCTGCTAATCTGAGCTAGGCTAAGCTCTATTTACCGGGCTAATCTTAGTGAAATCCAGCCATCTGATGTCTCATCTCCCCATCTCATCCCATCTCAACTCTGCCCAGCCCAGCTCAGCTCATCCAAACATATATCTATGTGTGTATGTCTCTCTCTCTCTCTCCTCTATCTATACATATATATATATATATATATTCATACACACACCAGATTGAAGTTCAGCGCTGCGCATGACATGTAGCACCAGCCCGGAAACCCCTGCAGGCTTGAATCGCTGAATTATAATCAAAAAGCCATACGAACAAAGCAGCACCAACACCCTAAACCAGAACTAAGCCAAGTGGTGAAAAACTCGAACCAAGTATTACCTTATAGATCCCTTATAGACCCCTGTAAAGGAACCCTATTCTAATTATTAAGGCCCCCACATCAGAAGCACCAAAATGGAGGTACAACACCTTCGTGGGCAGCGGCGGCGGCCAACTGTCTGGAGGCCTCTCTGAGGGAGCTCGCCAGTGTCATCTTTTGCTGGTGATTTCCTGGCGGGGATAATTTGGAGTTTCCGAAAATCAGGGGTACCTTGGTTGGGGGCCCGTATAATAAGGATCCTACTAAATAGGCTACTATATTCGGGTCCCCTATTTTCGAAAACTCTCAATTGGGATTACTATAGGGCCTCAACAATTGCCAATACTGTGTTGTTATAGTAGAATGGGCCCCAAACCGTATTCTAAGAAGAATTATTAAGGCCCCTACGTTACTTTGCGAAGGGTGGCTTTAACTGGAGGCTTCTGGAGCTTTTGGTCTCGACACCGACAGTTGGGAAGCGGGCTTTAGGGTTTAGGGACAGGCTCTACTTGGAGGTTCTCCTAGGTTTGGGGGTTGGGGGTCAGGGTTCCTTTAACGGTTCCTTTAAAGGGGTCTATAGCTACGGTTTTAAGGTTTAGGGGTAGTTCTAAGTGGGGTTTCAAGTACCCTAATTCTTGGTTATAAGTATAGTTACCTTACTTATAACCCTCTTATAACTGCCCATGAACCTCCAAGTAAAAAACTGATGATACAGCATTTCAAAGTATGCGGCTCCGTCTGACCCTAAACCCTAAGCCCTAAACCCAGGACAGAAGCAACGCATCGCCATCGCCCGCGCTTTGCTCAAGAAGGCTGGTGTGGGAACGTTGAAAATACTGCTGATGGACAACATCCTGCATTACCCTTTATAAGGAATATCTCATCGTTGCCATAGTTTAGAGTCCTTAGGGTCATGCAGGATTTTGTCCATCAGCAGTATGGAAGCTTCAGAAAGCCTTAGGGTACCCTGTTTGGACGGCTCTTGACAAAAGGATCTGGGGTTCTAAATATTCGGGTCCCCTACATTGACATCTGGGCACATGTAAATGGCAGTAAGCTTGAGAAGGGTGTCGGGAGTAGACTGTGGCTTTTCGTAAGCAGGATGACAGCTTGCATTTCTCGATGAAGAAGATCTCCTTCCACAGAAAACTACGACTGCCTTAATTCATGAAAAGTACCGTAAACCTATAGAGGTATTCTTACTATGATTTAGGGCATCTTCCTCCATAATAATTTCATGGGCTCTCGGTGTTTGTAGGGAACTGAGCGTCAGGCCTCACCCCTGAAACCTTAAACGCAGCCCTCTTTTGGCATATAAGGGTTTAGGGTTTAGGGTTTAGGGAGGGTTTAAGTTGAAGTGTAGCACTCCCGTATTCATCCCTTAGCCCCCAACTCAAACCCAAACCACAAAGACCCCAACCCCCAAACCCGGCGCCCAAAATCCAAGCCGCGGAGGCGTCCTTCCTCTTCCTGGACGAGGCCACCAGCGCGCTGGACAACACCTCCGAGAAGATGATCCAGGATCGTGTTCCAGGATTTAGGGGTTCATGGAATGTCCAGTAAACATTCAATCTCCAGCTCTGTAGGTCTTAGGGCCTAGACTGTTCGATTTCGGGTTTAGGGGTTTAGGGTTTGGAGTTCTGGGCTTAGGGTTTAGGGATTAGGGGTTGGGGTCTGGATCGGAATAGTTATCACTTCTCACGTTTTGGTTAGCCAGGGTTTCTAGGGCTCCGTAGAGCAATCGCTTTCATGTGGAGACCCCAATCTTTCAAGCCCTAAATTCCAGGAGCCTCGCTGAACATGTTTTTGGACAAGACACCTCCCCGGAACCCCAAATCACCCCAAGCCCTAAGCCTTATTATCATGTTCGTTGGACCCCCCAAAAAAGAAACTCTACCTGGACCCTAAAGAGCCTACCTTTCTAGGGTTCCTTATCATGATTTCCTTGTCTAAGTCCGTAATAAGGTTATTTAGCGTCCAGGCAATCTAAGCCCGACCATCGCTATATGGAGGCCACCATTGACAGCATCAGCGCGAACACCACGGAGGGTCTGGGAATTGTCAGCATTGCCCATCGTCTCAGCCGCTCGGCTACGGCTCACTTGAAGATCAGGGTTCTTACCTTGTGATCTGGGCGTTCCTTAGGAGTGAGTGTTTCCATGTTCATATTATGGAGGCGCAGAAGTTATTAGATATGTCAAGTTTTTTTGTGGCTCCAGCGGGCTTGCAGCACCCACTGACCTGGACCCCACCTTCTGTAAGGACTCTGGGCCCTCAGTTTGTAGGGCCCAAAAGACCACGCATCAGCAATTATCTCATAAAGCAGAGTCTGTGGGATCCGCCTACGTCTGCAAACTTCATACCCCTCATTGCAGGACCCTTCTGATAGTCTGTTCGTAGAGGTACCGTGAAAAACTCGGACCTCATTTACGTGCTCAGCCGGGGCACGTTGGTGGAGAAGGGAAACCATGCCTCCCTCATGGAGATGCTTGGCCCAACTATACTCCAAATCCTTGTATCCTAGAAGCTATACTGCATCAGGTTGGACGGGCTTACAGATTCATAGCTTGAATGATGTCTGTTCTAATTCGGAGTGAGGGTGGACTTTATCAAGTTTTGTCATAGGTGATCGAGGAATTAAGTCGAAGGTATGAGCCTTGAGGGCAAGTCGCAGTTGATGCTCTGCTGGTGTAAGGGTTTACGTATGCTCAGATGGATATGCCAAACTATTTCTAATCGTGAAAGCTATCCAAATCCTTAAAGCCCAAATCGAAACCGGATTTGCCTAAGGTCCAGCAGTTAATTCTCGAGCCCTACACGACAACCGAATCGGCGCCCTATCCCGGGAAATGTTGCCTTCGAATTTTACCCGACATCGTCGGCAACGATTTCCGCAGCCGATACGCAAATACTCACCCATCCAGGAACCCAGAATTAGATGCAAAGGGCTTTGAGTTTACAGGGCAGGGCGTGTTCAGCCCCGGCGTTTCCGAATGGATTAATGCAAAGCGCTGGTAACCATTCCTGGGTGTAGTTGGGGTCTTGGGCTTTGGTCTTTCGGCTGTCTTGGGGTGCTGTCTGAGGCCAGGCCTTGGCTACAATACCCAAAAAGTCCAAACTTATAGAGCATTTTGGGGGTCTATAAGTATATACCATAATGATACTTGGACTCTTTGGGATAAGACAGAGTGAGGCAGCTTCAGGTTCGGGAATCAGAAGCATCGGAATATCGGGGGTTTGGCGTGATTCGAGACGTAGCTTCTCATCTCGGCCCCTCTCGGGCTTGGCCTTTCATTCGGTCAGTACAATCCCGAATAGTTGCTTGAATTGATATTAAGGGCCACCCACGCTAAATCCCTAAACCCTAAGCCCACGTCTCAGGAAGAAGGGCACCTACTACGCCTTGGTGGCCGCGCAGGAGTCGTCTCACAAGGCCCCGCATGTGCAATCTAAGCTGCAAAGCGGAGTCTGAGGTGTAAGCTTTACGAGCTGCTTACTCTTGCAAACCAGAACCTACGTGCTGAACGCATAATCAAGCCCCAGAAGTTTGAAGCCAATCGTATGAGTAATCGTACATATCCAGTTTTTTCTATTTGGAAGTACACCCCAAAACCTGGTCTACCTAGAGACTCCATAGTATATTTTTTGTGGTTGATTCATATATAGAACCCTATAAGGTAAACCCAAAAAGGAACCACTATGGAGCCTATGGGTAGATATGTTCAGATATCACGGCCCTAGATTGGAACCTCAAGTGCTCGAGTTCGGGTTTCGGGGACAGGCCGATGAAGCCGAAGAGAACACCGTGCCAGAAGTGCCGCATCTCGGCACCCACCATGAACCTAGATACCATTGGTTTAGGGTTTAGGGTTGTCGAAAAGTTACTACGAGGCTTCGGGCATGAATAATTGAGCTATGCAATTCTTCAGGGTCCTCTTTACAATTATATCATGAGATACCCTAAAACATTAGTCGAACGGTAAGATCAGCCAACACTAACGCCGACACCTGCCGCGTCATGTGGCATTCGTCATACCATACACATACATATATATATATATATATATGCACATACATACATACATACACATATTACGGTACACTGACACTGCCAGGCTGTAAAGATTTAAGCACATGCAGTAGTCACACTATATGTAATATGTACATGGACACCAACGGATATACTTCACAGTACAAGCGAGTCTTCGGCATCTCGAGCCCCAGTCCCAGAAGACAAAGGCACAGCTTAGCATCATTTAGCATCTCCAGAGGGTCCCAAGTATCATTATGGTATATACTTACTACTATTTGCTTAAGAACACCCAAGAAATAACAAATATATTCCTTATGGTGGTAATATAGGGATTATTTTTTTTATTTTTGTTGGGTGTTTCTTAAGCAAATAGTAGCTTAGACCCCCAAAATGCTCCTTAGTGATACTTGGACCCTTTGGGATCCGGCACTAGCTCTGGACAGTTGGAAACGCAGATCACGCGGTGCTCACGGCGTGGGCGCGAGGTTCATGCGAAACAACGGTCATGTGTTGCAGACCTTGACTGCTGTAACCTCTTTGTGCGTCGTGTTACCACACATTGCTTGCAGGGAAATCTGATCGAGACTAAGTTTTCGAGATGGTATCACCACTTGCAACTGTTTTTCTTTATTACTATGATTGTTCTTATTGAATATATTGTTCATATGATTAAGATTATCCTTCCAACAATAGGCTTTGCATTCAAACTGAACGTAGGAGCACGAGCTTCTGTTCTTGTATTTTGGAAGCGAAGTATTGCCTCGAGTTCCCCCAAACGCCTAAATCCTAGAGCCCAAAACCCGTATGTGGAGGTCTGAATAAAGAGTAGAAGAGTGTAATTGTATTCCACTTGTAGTTCCCTAAACTAGTCTATAATCCCCCCCCCCGCCCAATACATTAGAACCCTCTGAAGTAATTTTCGTAGGACCTCTACACTTACCTTCAAAGGAACCCATTAGAAACCCTAAATCCTAAGCCCTGCACCCCTAACCCCAAAGCTGAAGCCCAAGGCACGACCAGACCCTGCAGATGGTCGTCAAGCGCTCGTCGACGAACTCCGGCGAGTCAGAGAGCGAGCGCGTGACCAGACGCTTCAAAGGTAAATCGCGCGGTTTAGTGTTTGGGGTTCAGGGATGTCGTTGGGAAGTTGGAGTCATGATTTTGAAGCTGTAGGGTTTGAGCATTCATAGAGTTAGTGCATTCTGGTGAAGGGTGACAGGGTATTCTTATTCTTTGGAGTGTGTGGCTTTTTTCACGTTCCTGTCAGATGTCTGTGCAGATTTTTCCTGTTGGGCGCTTCTGATTCGGGGCTTGTGGCATCAGAGTCGGAGTATATTGACAAGATGAACTTCCGAAGCTGTGAAGTATCGGACTGCGTCAGTCACTTTGAAATGACAGAATTCGGGACACATGGAAGAAACCACAAGGATGCCTGCAGCAAGCTCCCTTCGCGGTTTCGGTCGCAAGCCGCAAATGGAAGTCAGATGCAATGCGGGGATGCGGTGCTTGGAAGACTTGAAAGAAGGCCCCTGGAGGTGTAGGGTTTTCTGTCCCAAACATCTCAGGTGAAGCGTGAGAAGGAGGCCGAGGCCAATCGCGAGAAGGAGATCGCCAAGAACTACAAGGCTGATCCTTCAATGGGAGCTTCCATAGTCTCCTTAGGAATTGTTTTTTTGCTCATATAAAACCCAAGAGAATATTAAAAGGATTAAATGTTTTATGGTTCCAAGGGGGGTCTAGGTTTAGGGTTTGGGGTTTAGGGTTTAGGGCAGATCCTCGAGCCGATTACCTTGAGCATCCCTGAACCCCGATCCCCAAAGTAGGGTCGGGGTTTTTCTGTCGGGGTGTTTGGAGGTCGATCGCCCGGTTGTGGACGGCAGGGTTGAGTTGGCTGAAATGTAGATGCTGCTAGGATAGACCCCAGACGAAACCCAGCACAAATATGGTTGCAGGTGCCCATGGGACGACTCCTGAGCTACAACAAGCCAGAGACGCTGAGATCGCACATTTGATGTCTGCTTAGATCTCTGACTGGAGGTTGTTTGCCCGATAAATTGAAGGGTTTGTAACTTGTTCTACGAAGCCACGGTTTTTTTTTTCGACCGCACCGCGCTTCCGTGGGTGATGCGAAGGGCTTGAGGCAAAGAACTTGGTGACAAGATGCTGTGAAGCTGAGACCCAGATGTCCTGGACCACCTGAAAATTCCGAACCCCAGCAGAAAACCAACGAACAGCATAGACAGTGTACGAGAAGGTGGTGGTGAATTCCTGAGTTTGCAACCAGAGAACTCAATTACCGCATACACCCCTTCTCGTCGGTGGCTGGTGGGGGGAAGAGGGCTTTTAGCTGCGAGCGCGAGATGTGGCTGAAACCGGTTTGCAGGGTGCGAGGTGTGGGTTTTGCGGGGTGTATAGTTTCCTCGGACAGACTATGAGCATCCAACCGGCTCCGACAAAGATACATTAAGCAAGTGCATCCCCCCGTCACGGGGTCGTCAGGACTTCAGTCAGCGACAGCACCAAGATAAAGGCTAATTAAGGGTTTATGATTTCATTATGGGGTTTGCGGTTCATCTATCCTCCGACAGGTTCACAGGCCATTTTATAGCGCTTTCACGAGCTGGTCGCAGCGTGACCCGCCAACTCGCCCTCTGTCACACTTCCTTGTATGCTTGAAGTCTTGGGAGATTACAGCACGAAAGCCTTGCTCACTTCAGCCCCAGCCGAACGCACGCCTTAACACAAACCTAAATATGAAACCCTCAACCCTGAACTCTGAAATCCGAAACGCCTAGCCTTTACATCCTCGTATCGCTTAGGGGCTGGAACATGAAGTTTTGCCTCATTGATTTTGGGGCGGGTGTATTCAGCTTCAAAGCTAGAACCCTCATACACCCTGGCCATCCCTGGCCCTACTGCTGATGGACAAAATCCTGCATTATCCATTATAAGGAATATACCATAGATCCCATAGTTTAGAGTCCTTAGGGTCATGCAGGATTTTGTCCATCAGCCGTATGAAACTCCTACAACCTGAGGTGGCCTTTCTTCATCCCTGCCATCCTCGGTGCAATGGTGGACGGTGCCTTGTTGGTACCGAAAGCCCTACACCCCAAGCCCCTGAGGGTCTTTGGGGATGATAGGGTTCAGACCTTCGGGTTTACGGTTTAAGGGTTTAGGGTTTAAGGGTTTAGGGTTTAAGGGTTTAGGGTTTAAGGGTTTAGGGTTTAAGGGTTTAGGGTTTAAGGGTTTAGGGTTTAAGGGTTTAGGGTTTAAGGGTTTAGGGTTTAGGTTTTAAGGGTTTAGATATCGGGCGTTTCAAGGGTGTGACTGCGGGCGGCTCTTATCGCGCTGGGTGCTGGTGCAACATGATTTCTCTACAAGGTGTGGAAAGGGTTTAAGGATGTTTTCCTGTTATAATGAGGGCTTTTTGATTCTAGTTATCTAAGCTTGAAGAGTAAGTTTTGGCAGAGTCTTGGCCGTTAATCCTGTCTTAGGGCTCAGGATTTATGGTTTAGGATTGTGTTTGGAGTGCAAGGCCATCAGGTCTTGGAAACTCTTCTTGGGTTTCAGCATTCGGCACTCGGGTGACAGGGATTTTCGGAGTGGATGTGGGAGTTTCCGAAAATAGGGGACCCTAATATAGTACCCTGAATAGTAGGATCTTTATTATAAGGACCCCCAAATAAGGTACCCCTGATTTTCGGAAGCTCCCATGTGGGGATGAGGGCGGAGAGTGTTTAGCAGTTTAGACTTCCGGACTTCCGAAGCTTGAATATGGGTTTAGGATTTAGGGTTTAGGGTTTAGGGTTTAGGGTAATATGGGGGTCACTCATGTGGGAGTTTCCGAAAATTAGGGTACCTTATTTGGGGATCCTTATAATAAGGATCCTACTATTTAGGGTACTATACTAGGGTCCCCTATTTTCGGAAACTCCCATGTGGAGCACTGTATTGATCCTGGTATCACACTTAGGTTTGCAAGGATGCTAGTACGCTTCGGCCTGTGTGGCATTCGGCAGAAAGCCGCAGATTGGATAACAGACACATAAACCCAGAGGGCATACCAGCCAGCCAGCCAGTCAGACACACATCCTATTCTAAAGCCGAAACCCAAAACCCAAAGCCCAAAAGCAAACGGAGCGTGAACACCGGTCAGGCTCCGCCATGCCCGTGTGTACCATCGCTCTGGTCGGCTCCATGGAAGGATTCTTCAAGACGGACAAGGCTTCCCGGACTTTTGGGTTTAGGGTTTCGGGTTCAGGATTTGGGGGCTTTTGGCGTTTAGGGTTTGGGGTGTTGAAGTTTAGGGTCAGGTTTTTTGGGGTTCAGGTGTTAGTTTACATCGATTTTGTTCGGTGGCGGTGTGGAGGGGAAGGGGGGGAGTAGGTAGGGTTTCCAGGTCGGAGCCCTGGCCCTCACCCCTCTGATCCCTCAGGGACTGAACACCATGAAAAACAAAATGGAGCCCCCGACCTCAAGGTGGGGTGAACTGATAGCCCAGCAGCCCGAAAATAGACCCGAATTTGAGGCACGCCTCAACAGTCCAAGTCCCCCGGGCCGGCCCGACATAAGGGAGAAGCCGCCAACACTACTTGAGGGTCTTTAGGGGACTTAGTAATGTAGGTAGTAAGTAGACTTATAAGTACCCTAAAAGGGACCCTAATTGGGGTTATGGTACTTATAAGTCCCTAAAATAACCAGTTACTATGTCCCCCGACCCTCCAAGCACAGCCCTAAGCCAGCAAGTGATATACCCGACTGTAAAGTACCATGAGGGCCTCCAGAAAAGGTACTTGGCGATCCTGGCAAACCCCACGCCCTGACAAAGCCAAAACACAACCCCCTCCTTGCCAGGAAGAGATGAGGGCAATCTACCCCAAAACCCTGTTCTAATTATCGAGCCTTAGAACCAAATTATAGACCCCTTATATCCCCTTATAGAACCCTTTACAAGAACCCCACTCTTGTTATTAAGGCCCCTATAATATAGATCCCTTATATCCTCTGATAGAACCCTTTAAAGGAACCCTATTGGGCCAGGAAGAGATGAGGTCTGACCTCGAGCAGATGGCTCTGATCTTCGTGATCATTGGCGTCAGCGCCGCTCGGAACTCTCTAGAGGATTTAGGGTTAAGGGGTTTAGTTTAGGGTTTAGGGGTTTAGGGGTCTAGGGACGCTTTTGGGGTTCGGCGTCGTAGGGTTTACAGGTTTCAGGGCTTGGGCTTGTGGGTTTAGGATTTAAGGCTTTCGGGCTTAGGATTTTTGGATTTTGGGTTCAAGCAGGGGGGGGGGTTAGGGTTTCAGTTCCTATATGTGACCACAGACTGTTTTGATTCGGGGTTTAGGGTCCAGCCCTGACCCCAAAACTGGCCTTATATGGGAGTTTCCGAAAATAGGGGACCCTAATATTAATATAGTACCCTACCTAGCATGATCCTTATGATTATTAGGAACCAAAATAAGGTACCACAAATTTTCGGAAACTTCCATATCCCGTCCTAAACCGAAAAGCCCTCAAGGTCTTCGTCGGCTCGACGATCTCCCATGGCTGCTTCTCCATCCTCGGTGGCGGGACTGCACTGAGAAGATGAGTAATTTAGGGGGCCTACGCCCTCGTGGGTGGTTGTCAAAATTAGGGTCCCTTTTTGGGCCCTTAATATAATACGGCACCTGGTACTTTAGGGTACACAAAGGGACCATAATTTTGACAACTCGTAGTGGAGCAGGTAACCCTTAACCTTTTTTTGGGGTAGTATAGTTCCTATTTAATCCCTATATAGTTATAACCAAAACGTTTAACCTTTAGTTCCCCATGATACCTGACAAGTAGGAAATAAATACCTACAAAACTTGGGGGGGTTTCCTTATGTTTGGTATAGTAAAATGGGCCCCAAAACCCTATTCTGATAATTAGGGCCCTGAGAGGAGGAGGGCACAGGGTTTTGGGGTTTGGGGTGCAAGGCCTTGGGGATTATTTGATGGAGGGCCTTTGTGGATCATGTCTTGTGGGGTTAAGGTGTTACAGATAGGGTTATGTTTTGGTTAAGGGCTTGGGAACAGGGTAAGCATATATGTCGACAGATGCGGAACAAGTTAGATTGAATACAACAACAGCAAGCATGCGGGTTGTGACAGGAGCTATGCGAAAAGACACTCGACAGCCGTGTCCTAAACCATCCAGGAGAAACACTACAGAATAAGCCAATGCCTACAGCGTTACCCCAAGGTTCCAAGGACCCAGTAACTGGCTACTCGGTTTTAGGATAGTAGCTATGTAGGTTTTTGGAGAGCATATGATTATTAGGTACTTGGACCCTTGGGGTTATGTAAAGGCCCTGAAAGCCCCCGAAGGCACCAATTCCCAGGTGAAGCCATGACTCAGCGCCTCCGCGTTGCCATCCTCACGGGCATGTTCCGCCAGGAGGCTGAGATGTTCTGAGGGCTTAGGGTACGGGCTGGCATAGGGCTCAAAGGCCTTAACGAAGGAGGGGTCAAGGGTGTGGGGATTCAGGGTAAAGGCACATACCCTTCAAGGAAATACAGCGCCCCGAGTTGATCATCTGTAGGCTTTTGGACGTTTTGAGTTCAGGGCTTTAGGACACGAACTAAGGTTTGTGTAGGGCTTGGGGAAGACACTGCCCAAAGGGTCATTCTACACAGGCTGTGCGGTCCAGCCAGCTTAATCCTACGTGCGCTTCATCAAAGCCTGGACTCCAAACCCTAAACGCGCTGAATGCCAGAAGTCTAGTCTGGTATAGCCTTACGCAAGAAGCGCCATTTTCCTAGGGCACCAAGTGGTTAACACCTGTTTAGGTGTACTTCGGGACACGGGTTGGGGTTATGCACCGGTTCAGGGTTGAGGAGTTAGAGCTTTAATTATGGGGTGTCGGGCTTAGGAGATTCTGAGACACAAGGACGCAAGGTAGTAAGACTCTGTGATACTGTCATACGGTATCCGTTAGCGTTTACGGTATCGTATCATATTTCCCAAAATTCCTGAGAAATCTGCACAGTTCTCTCACTCGCTGCCGCATCTCACGAACCTTCCCGCAGGTTGGCTTCCATGATGATCCAGCCAACACCCCGGGCAGCTTCTTTGCAGTGGCTGTAGAACCCAAACTGCGCAGCGGAACTGAACCCTGGTGCGACCCTTAACCCTTCAAGCCCTAAGCCTTAAGCTCCCAAACTTAAAGCTGGTTTCTAGAACCTCGTGAGCCCCTACAAGCCGCAATAGAGAATCAGAGAAACTCTCCACACCCCAAAAATCCAGCCCCAAGAGACCTTAACTTGTAAACCACGACATACCACCAATAAAACTGAAGAGCAATTCTGCAAAAAGCCAAACAAAGCACACAACGCCTTTGCAGGCTACCGGGGTACATGGAGCCCCAGGGATTCGGGAGTTTCCGAAAACAGGGGACCCTCGTCCTGTACCCCAAATAGTAGGATCCTGACTTTCAGGACCCCAAAATAAGGTACCCCGAATTTTCGGAAGTCTAGTACCCCAAATAGTAGGATCCTTACTACAAGGACCCCAAAATAAGGTACCCCGAATTATCGGAAACTCCCATGTTGTCCCCCCTAAATCCTAAACCCTAAACCCTAAACCCTTAAACCCTAAACCCTAAACCCCTAAACCCGAAACCCTAAATCCTAAATCCTAAACCCTAAACCCTAAACCCCTAAACCCCTAAACCCTAAACCCTAAACCCCTAAACCCCTAAACCCTAAACCCTAAACCCCTAAATCCTAAACCCTAGGCCCCTAAACCCTAAACCCTAAAGCCAAGGAATGCTCTCCAAAGCTTTGGAGCTCTGGGCTTTCCGCGTGGCCACTCTCTGCAAGTCCGTGCAGGCGGGGTCTGCGGATCTCGTTCCCTAGGATGCCCAGTAGTACCCTTAGGGATCCTTTAAAGGGTTCCTTAAAGGGATCTATAAGGGTTCTATAAAGGGTTTAGGGTTTCCGAAAATTAGGGGCTAGGATGCCCAGTAGTACCCTTATTCCCTTTTTGTAGTCCTAGGTTCCTTATAAAGTTACCCAATACCAAACAGAGAGGCCTTTTTATTCATAGGTTACTGGGTATCCTAGTTCCCTAAGCCCAACCTGAAGGACCAAATGACCCTTAAAAGTAGGGGCCCTATACCCATATACTATGAATCCCTATATGGTATATGAAACTTAAACCGTAGCCGGAAAGACCTACCTTTTTAGGGTTCCTTTTTATGGTTTTGAAATATAGTTCCTCAAAAGGGTAGGTCTTTTCGGCGACAGGAAGGGTCCATGTACCCAAACAGTATATACTTTGGGCCCAATGTACTTATATAGGGAGTGATTACTTTAAGGCCAAAGTATATACTATTGGGGCAATTACATGGACCCGTGGGGTTTGCTCTGTGTGTTTAGTCCAGTGGCATCATGACTTTCTGCCGAAGTGAAGTAGACCAATGTTTTGTTTGTCGTATTGTTGGTACCTTGTCTCTGTGTGTTCTGTCGGCTCTTCGACTTTACTTACCTTTAGGGAATGGAAGAATGGGGTACCATTATAACTACTATTATTGCCATTCTTCCATTCCCTACTAACCAAAGGTAAGTTTACCGCTTGCTTTGGCGCAGTTTGGGTTGAGGTTTTCAGAGCTTGGGCTTCAGAGGTTTCTTCACAAGTTTGCAGTCTCTACCTTAAGCCCCAAATAACCTAGCTTTTTAAGGACTTATATGAAGAAATCATATTAGGGAACCCTAAAAAGGCAGGTTCCTTAGGGTCCAGGTAGGGGTTCATATAGCCATAGCCACGTCGCCTTTTGGTCCTTTGGGTTCGCTTCGGCTCGTCCTATGGCCTCTAAGCATCCCGACGTGAAGCTTGTTGAGGTCAGTGCTGTCAAAACCCGAAATCGCAAGCCCTTTACCGTAAGCCTTGTGTAACAGGCTAAGGCTGCGGCCATGAGTTCTTTGGTCGTGGGTCTGGTGCACCTTGGCCGAGGGGGTTTGGGTCTGTTGTAGAAGCCTAAATCATTACCAGAAGCATTCTTTAGGGTTCCTTATCTCATGTATACAAAACAGGAGCCCAACAACCCTATTCTAAGGGCGTGAGGTTTGGAGTTTCAGGTGTTTGGTTCAGGGTTGAGTTTGCCTGCCAAAGGCAACTCCGTAGCCGAACCCCTCTTATTATCCCTGATTCTAACTAGACTTCCAGAACTCACAGTCTTTCTCCTACATTGCGGTGGAAGAGTTTTGGGGTTCTTGAACCCAGCTGTTCCGGATGAGGGCTTCGAGGTTTAGGGTTTAGGGGCTCCCTGGTTACCCGCACCTGTAGCCGGAAAGACCTACCTTCTTAGAGTTCCTTCAATATGGTTTCTAAATATAGTTCCTTGAAAAGGTATAGTTCGTCTCGGCTACAGGCCGCCCTAAACTCATGTGTTCTCCACTCCCTGTCGCTTCTCCGGCCATGCTCCTCAGCTCTGTGCACCGTATGCATCATGGCAACGAAGGGGGTTCAGGTTTTTGGGCGCTTTAGGACTAGACAACGAAGCCGTGTGCTTTGCCTTCACGGCACGTTCCTAAAACAGATTCATCCAAAATCCCACACACCCACCCTCAAGCCACAAGCCTAGAATTCGTCGGAGTCCAACCAAATCGCTCAAACCTGATACTAACCGTCAAGCCTAAAGACTGTCCCAGGATTGCTTTCGTCTACTGCTGGGAGATGTCCCTGGTGATGTTGGGCTCCATCCCGATCATGCTCCTATGGCTGGGTTTACTTCCTCCCAAAGACTAGGCTAGGAGCCTCGTTACCCTTGCAGTGGGGTATATCCTTGACCTCCTATAAAGATGAACTGTGCAAGCACGCCTAGGCCCTGAGCCCCAGAATCCTGAACCCCTAAATGCTCTAAGCCCGAAACTTCGAAACGAAATGACCCAAAAGCGACAGCGCAGCATCCTGCCTCGGTAGTCAAAGCAAAAAACCTACCACGCTTTGAGTATCTTTGCGTCCTCCTTGTCAGGGGTGCCAGTGGTTTACCGGATTCAGGGTCTGGATTGCAGGCCAACGAGTTCAGGGTTCAGCCTCCGACCACCCCCAACCTCCTCTATGGAACCCTAAACCCTAAGCCCTGAGCCCTAAACCCTAACCCTCAACCCTAAAGCCAGCTGTGAGACGGTGGTTGTTTGTGGAAGTTGCCACGCCAATGGTCCTTGAGCCAAGCTCAATACACCCTCTAAGCTCTCGTCTCTAGATCCTGAACTCCCTAAACCCTGAAGCCTACATCGCTACACTACGGAGCAGTCGTGTCTCTAGAAGCGATCCCGATTTCTCCAGTTCACCCCGAGCCCAGATCCATCAGCACTGATCCCTAGACCCTTCAGTGTTTGAGGTTTGGGGTTAGGTTCTAGGATCCTTAAACCTTACCCTAAAGTTTAAGCCCCGATTTATTAAAGTCATCCAAGAAATCGAACCATAATCCCTGAACCCCAAGCCCTCAACCCAGAATGCTTATATACCCGATTAAAGGGGTATGAGGAATTCGTAGGGTTCCCTAACTTCCCTAGGCTTCCCGATAATATTCCTCCCAGTTAAACACATATTAGTTTCTTCCGATAAGCGTACTAACATCCTACAGAGCCCTAACTACGCAAACCTAAGCCGTAAACCCTAAACTACACCCCTAAATCCTAAAGCCTAAACCCCAAACCTCTGATAGACCCGTCTGCTGGGCCGAGGATTGCCGCCCAGGCGCTCCAGATGTTGGTGCTTTTGGGTGCGTCCAAGAGCGAGAACGAGCGTCTCTTCCCACATATGTTCGTGCTTGCCTAACCCCCCCCCCCCCCCCAAAGTAGGCAAAATAATGGCCCACTACCTATAAAAGGCCATTATTCTGCATCCTTTGGGGGTCCAGGTGAGAGTTTGGGGTGTAGGGTTTCGGGTTTACGGTTTCGGGTTGAGCTTTTAGGTTCAGGCTGTTGGGCAGGGCAGAGGGTTTGGAAGATCGCCTTTGAGGGGTGCTAAAGCCTGAAAACCTCAATTCCTAGGACCCTAGGACCCAGAGTAGGCCCTTATTCCCTTTTTTTAGGGTTCAGGTTCCCTTATAACCCCCTTTAAACCAAAAAGGGCACCCTTTTTATTCCTAGGGTACTCTTGGGTCTAGATTCCAAGCACTACCGAGTAGTAGAGTAGGCAACCTTAGAAGCTGCCCCCGCCCTGTAATAGTGACTATAAGGATTATATTAGGGCCTATTATATTATTCCTATTGTACCACGATTACTGGGTGGGGGCCCCTTCTAGAGGCAACCTTTAATTGACCTTGACTGGCAGTATAGTCCCTATATAAACGCTATATAACCAAAAAGGTTAACCTTGAGTTCCCCATGATACCCGACAAGTAGGACTATAAGCCCTAAAACACGCCTCGGAAGCCTGAATGCGAAACAGCCGTCTTCGGGTTTCGGGTGTGTAGGGTTTGGAGTTACAGTGGCCTTTCTTTTGCAAATCCGCTTCTTTAACCCCTGAGCTACAAAACAATTTAAGGTAGGTGTGCAGGGTTCTCGGTCGTTTGTGGCGAGATTGCGAAGCCTTGTTGAGGCGGCGAGGCAGATCGATTCCTCGAGCCCGAAGCCCTAGAACCATCATCGCCAGACCATAATACGACCCTGAACACGAAGATCGAACACTGGGGCTCCAGTTACCTATTAGGGTTTAGGGTAGTAGATTACTAATCATAGATCTTATATCCCAGTAACCTACTATTTAGGTTATTGGAGCCCTCGGGGAAGACTCTCAACCCGAAAAAAAAACGCCCAGAGCCCTCAACTGTTAACCCATGGACCCCTAAGCCCTCGGACAGCGAAGTTGTCTCCCAAGCCATAAGCCCTAAACACTCAACCCCCCACCCCCCAGTAGTAGAGTAGTTTTTTGGGATAGTATAGTCACTATACAATCCCTTTATAACCAAAAAGGTTAACTTTTAGCTCCCCATACCCGACAAGTAGGTCCCTAAACCGTTCTCTCATTGTGTTTTGGGTCTTCCGAGGAACATCACCAACGCCAACCAGGCAGGACATCTGCCGTAGTCAGCTCGGGTCTCCTGGTGCTCTGATTATCCTAGGTTTGGGTTCGGGGGTTCTAGGGTTTAGGGTTTAGGGGTTCAGGGGTTTAGGGTTTGGGTTTGGGGGTTGAGGCTCTGGGGTATGGGATCTGGGGTATAGGGTTCATGGTGTATGAGGTGTCGTGATTGGGGTTGATGCGCTAGCTCTAGGTGTGTGTCTCAGGGTGTTGAAAGCCTAGTTTAGGCCATGCGGGGAACGCTGTTTGTGCCTGAAGGACCAAATGACCCTAAAAGTAGGGGCCGTATACTATGGGTCCCCATATGGCTTTTGAACTGAACCTTAAACCCTTTTAGCGTGCATTTCGTCCTTAAGGTTGTGGGTGTCTTCAAAACCACTGTAGGCGCTAGGGAGCAGAGAGTGGTCCTTCTCCGGTCGAGCTCCTCAAACCCTAAACCCAAAGGCTCCAGGTACCCATACAGTATATACTTAGGCCTTAAAGTACCTATATAGAGTCAATATAGAGACCCCTTTAAGCCTTAAGTACCTACTATAAAGGTACACGGAGCCTTTGGGAAACTACAGTAACCCCCTGAACTGGTTCCAGATTGTCGTGGACTCTGTCATGAACGCTCGCACCGTGCAAGCGTTGCCTGGCCGTTCAAGAGCGCTCGGGTTTTGGTACGTAGGGTTTTGGCCATGTGGCCCAGTTTTGAGTTCGCATGCTGAGGGCTTGCAGCCAGCGCGAAAGATGGGTGGCATCCTTTTCTTCGCAGGTTGTGTTTTGCAGGTGTCCGGGCCGTAATGAAACGATATTGCTCAAGCCGTTCGTGCCCAAAGCCCTCGGCCGCAACGGCTTGTCACATCATAGTCTTCGCAGATGGGCAGTCTTTGCTGCCCTGCTGCGGCGCCGTCGCCAGTGATCGTTCACATCTACGATGTGACGGGCACGGCGCCGATGAAGGTGGTTAACGGGGTTTTGCGCCCTTTGGGCACAGGTGCCTTCCACGCCGCAGTGGAAGTCCATGGTACAGAGTGGAGCTACGGGCAGACGTTTGGGGGTCATGGAATATTTGAGAACCCACCAGGAGAGTGTGAACAACATTCATACCGAGAATCGATTCACATGGGGTACACCGACCTCACCCCCTTCCAAGTGCAGATGCTCATTGCCGACATGGCCAAGCGATGGCGTGGTCGGCAGTTCCTTGAAGACCAAATGAGCCTTAAACGTAGGAGCCCATATACCCTTATATACTACACCATGAATCCCTATATACCCGAAACTCTTTCAGGGTTTATGTGAACCTGAAACGCTTTCAGGGTTCATGTCGGCAAAAAGGTATGACTTGCTCAACAAGAATTGCACGCACTTCGCTGATGAGCTTTGCCAACTTCTAGGAGTTGGCGAGCTTCCCTCTTGGGTGACTAGGACGTTCAGGTTTAGTGTTTGGTTTAGGGTTTAGGGGTTTAGGGTTTAGGGGTTTAGAGGTTTAGGGTTTAGGGTTCAGGGGTAGTATCATAATGCTTCACTTTTCTTTGTTTCTGGTTCCTGGTAGAATATGAGTAGTCCGAAAAAGTATACACTTGGTTTCCAGTGCCTGAGTGAACAGCCTAGGTGACGAATTTGGCAGGAGCCGCATCCAGAGTTGGCCCAGGACTCCGCGAACTGAGAGAAAGACTCTTTAACCCCTTCGGCTTCAACAGAGAGGACCGGGAGAAGAACTCAGAGGAAGTGTCCCGATGACTGGCAATGGCCGCGGCGAACTACGACTCCGTAGCAGAGTGAGTTAGTGTAGCGGCGCTTCAGCACCGAGACTTTCAGTGGATGTCGCGAAACCTGCGCACCACATACACAGTGACGCATGTTACGCGGCTAATGCGCAAGACTGGTATCTGGACTCGAATTCTGTGTTCACTATCATTATCACAAACAGCTTCATCTTGAGTCTTTCTAAACCCTAAATCCTAAACTTTAAACCCCAAACCGTAAACCCTAAACCCTAAACCCTCAACCCCGCGCCGCGTGGCTCCGAGAACCGGATCGGAGCGTAGGACAGTCTGGCCAGCAGCGTTTGGCAGCTGTTTGACCCAAAGGGTCCTAGGTATTGTTATGGAGGATACTTCCCCAAATCATAATAGTGATTGCTAGTATAAAAAGCCTCCAATCTATTATACAGGTACTTTGGACCCTTTGGATGATATCACACGAATTCGCAGCACACAAGTAGCCGCTTTTGTCAAGGACTGGAGTGCCTTCTTCTTGACGATTCTTCTTGCTGTATAAAAGCAATGCACGTGCTCTGATGCGACTTCTTCGCTTCTGCGCGACAGTTTATCCTCCCCTGGTCCGGCCTGTAAGAGTCTGAGCAAGGCTGCGGGCAAGAGGCAGCCCAGTATTCCAGCAAAGAGCCTTAAGTGCGGACGACAATACCAACACCTAGTATGTGTTCTTATATCATGTTGCGTGCATGTATACATGGGTGGTTGTCAAAATCATGGTCCGTTTTGGGGTACCTTAAATATTAGGTGCCGTTTTGAAATAGGGACCCAAAAAGGGACCATAATTTTGACAACCACCCACATGTGTAAAGTCAAGTCTTTCGGATGGGAGAGATCGCGCCGACGCGTTGGGTTTCAGTCTGATGGTTCAGGATGTTGGCGGTTGAGAGTTCCTGAAGGAGCAAATGACCGCTAAAAGTAGGGGCTCTATACCCATGTACTATGAATCCTCATATGGTATATGAACCTTAAACTTAAACCCTTTTAGGGTTCATTTCGTCCTTAAAGTACAGGGTTCAGAGTTCCGGGGTTACGTTTTAGGGGTGGGGGATGTTGGAGGGGGGCGGGGGTGGGTGAAGTTCAATTCCACTACCTGAGCCTTGAGCCCAGGCTTGGCGTGGAGAAGGGCCTGGTGGGCATGTATGTGGGCTGGGTCGAGAAGTCCCTGGTGGGCATGTGGAGGCTCCGAAGCCATGATGCAGCATTGAGGGTTTAGGGTTTAGGGTTTGGCTTAAGTTGGGAATCTTGGTTGAGGGCCAGGGTCATGATAGATCTCGTGGATCTTCGTGTTTCCGATCGTAGTCTTTGCCTTACAGCATTTCTGCAGTCACCTCTGCACCTGTGCTTTCTCATTCGATTTTGCCCCTAAGTTCCACACCTCGACCCTAACTCCTGAACCCGAACCGAAAGAGCCCCTGATGCTGACATTTAGGAGTGTAGAGAAGCCAGTCGGCCATGCACACTGCAGGAGTGCTTTGAACCGGAGGGTGGGTTTGAGTCTGAGATTGAAAACTTCGGTTGGGATTGAGTGCGGTCTCGATTGTCGAAGTTTGGTGATTCTGGCCTTTGAGGTATTGCGTTGTAGTTGGACTGTGCATTTCTGGCTGTGGGAGTGCGCACCTGTGTTGCATGGGTTGCGGGTTCATTGATGCAACTGTATTAGACATTAGACAACCATATAGACAAGTGAAAATCGTCTTCGTGACCGGAGTCTTCATTGGGTGTTGTTGTCGTCGTCCCCATGATGGTTCAAGTTTTCGTCGTCGTCGTCGTCGTAGCAGCAGTAGTACCAGCCAGCCGTGCCCAGCACTCGACAAAATACAGGCTCAGAATCGAGCAACATGCGAAGGCGCAACATCCTCGCTGGACTGGGTTTTGGTGTCTCCAACGGCATCATGCTGCTCGGTTGAGCATTCAATTTCTGGCACAGCCGGTTACAGAAGCCGTCCGGAATCCAATAGGCCTGGCCACCGGACCCCAAACTCTAAACCGGGTCGTGTTGTTTCCGAGTCGTGTTAGCGGTGTTTATGCTGGCGGTGGTTGTGGTCGTAGTTTGTTCTCGGCCCCTGGTGAAGTACGAGGAGAAGGACAGTTTGACCCGCATGTACAAGGGAGCACAGGCATGAGATCTCGTAGAACATCATAATCAATCATGCTAGCAAGGCTAATCTACTAATCACAAGATTAATAGGACTAAGACTATAAGACTAGGAGTACGAATAAGAATAATAGCAACAGAACAATCAATCACATCATGAACAATAATACTTGTTATAGTAATGACAGTACTACGATACGATCAGTGCTGTTGTTTTTGCTGTTACTATCATGATTGCGGTAATTCTTCTCATTATTAGTGTTGTCGCGTTTCTATTTGTATGCTTATTGCAAGTACTACTATCACTATTACCGCTACCCAATTTGATCCCTCCATCTTCTGATGAGAAAGAAGCCTGCCCCGAACCCTAAACCCTAAGTGGAACGATAATTCCAAAGAGTCCTGGCGATCCCCAGCCGCAACGACAGCGACGATGGGAAGCTACTGAGCTACTGGGGGTTGAGGGTTTAAGATTCAGGGTTTACGGGAAAGGATACTACCTAGGAACCTAGGAGGGGTGCCTGGAGGCTTCGAAGTTAGTGGGGCGGTCCTAGCGATAGTGACCAATGTCGAGTAAAAAAGACGGAAGCGACCGGCTTGGACGGAAATGGCAGCTGTCAACCATTCACTCGGAGCCAAGCGCGAGCTCTTCATCGCCAAAGGGTTCACGGGAGGTGATTGGAGTGACTTTTAGTCGGTTCTGTATCGCATTCGCTTAGGCCCTAAACCTGAACCTTTCCGAGGGTCCTCAAAAAAAAGGAACGCTCAACCGCCATTTAAGCCAAGGTTCTTCATCATGGCTGGCGGCTTCTACATTGCTTCCATCCTGATCAAGGCACGGTGTTGCTTGGAGCTTAGCCTGTTGAAGGGTTTAGAGTGGCAGATGTCAGTTGGGGGGAGGTGGGTTTGGGCTTTGGCAAAAGTAGCTGGACTCCACATTTAGGTTCAGCTAACCCCTGAAGTGACCCTTCTTGGAACCCTTACTAGTTACTAGTATCACTTTTGATTTCAATTATCCTGTAAGCTGTATAGGGATGCTTGAGTCACCCTTTACATTCAGCCTTATAGGAACCCGGAGAAAGACTCCTCGAGCTCGCTGGCAGGAGGGAGTTGCTGACTTCCAGGGTGTGATGATGGCCTTCATGGGCATCTTCTACGCAGGCCTCCCTCCGGGAACGATTTCGCTTAGGGTCTAGGGGTTTGAGGCAGGCCCCCGCTTTCGGGATATGCGACGTTTACTAGCTCTGGGGGACTTTATGTGGTAGCCATTGTAGTTATAGGGGGTCCTAAACTGGCATTGGGGAATGCCGTATGCGAGCTACTTGCTGCTCGTTGCCTACATGCTGGGATCCGGTACCACCCGCCAGGCATATGCGTGGGTGTCCCCTGTGGGCCTTGGGGTGCGTGAATCTCATTTCAAGCTCCTTGCGACCTGTCTTGATGCGTATTGCACGCCGACTTTATCAAAAAACTACACTAGTCTAGCACTAAACATCTAGCCCAAAGCCATAAACCGTTAAGCACGAACACACTAAACAAAGTCCTTCACGAGGCATGGGAGCCGGCCAGGCCGCCGTCATGGTCGGCGATGCCACCAAGGCCCTTGCGTTTCAGGAGTAGTCGTAGGAGTAGTAGTCGTCGTAGTCGTAGCAGCAGCAGCGACAGCCGTAGCTGTAGCAGTACTAGTTCCTGGCGTTATGTCCGCACGATTACCTCCACAAGGCACATCAAGGCACGATTGGAGAGTTGGCTGCATTTCAGGCGAAGCCCCAAGGTTCAAGCTTGAATATACCAGTTCCCAAGTTTTGCAGACTGTAGGTGCTTTCGACTACACCTAAAACACTAAACTGGCCCGGGTCCCCACACTCAAAGCAGACGAAACCTAGAACCTGTTGAAGGCAAAGGTGGCCTGCCACGACATGTTCCAGCTCATGGAGCCATGGCTGCACCATCAGAGATTTCTGCAAAGTATACCTGTGTTCAGTGCTCCGTGGCGGTTTCAAGAATACGGTGGTTTGGTGGTCTAGGACTTAGACTTAGTCTTGAGGTGGAGGCTTCTTGAGGTTTGTTGGACTTGCGAAAAAGACCTGGTTTGGCGTCAGTGGCGAAGGTCGCTGAAGCAGCGACAATAGTGACGCCCGTCAGAGAGTTTGCTCAGTTCATTCTTGGTCTCCTTCGTTGTTGTGGTTGTTGTGGTCGTCGTCGTCGTTGTGGTCCTTGTTGTCTTGGTTGTCGTTGTAGTTGTCAATCGTTGATGATTTTGTCGTTGCTGCTGATTGCTGCTGCTGTGGATCACCTAGCGAGGGCAGGCTTGCTTAGCACGAGCAATCGTCGTCTTCGTCAGCTCTGTGAAAAATCTGTTTGTTCAGGTTGGTCACGAATCATGAATGCGCATGGTCGAAGCTTGTTAGTGACCAAGTACAGCCAAGTAGTTACCGAACGCAGTACACTAAGGATCGCGTCTCCGCCATTGACGGCCTTGAGCCAACCGGTGAAACTCCCAAGCAGCTGGAGGCTACAGCTTATCAGGGGGAGTTTTCCTGAAAGCTGTTGCTCAGGGTGCCAGCTAGGGCAAGCGAGTGCTGGTTTGTAGACTTCCTGTTCCACCAGCCCTAAGCACAAATCCTACTGCTTCCACCCACATCTGAAAGCTTAGACCACAAACTCCAGGCTGTTTGCAGCTTCTCTGCTACATGTTCAAGGGAGCTTCGACGCCCCAAGAACCCAGACCCTAAATCCCGAAACTCTGACCCACACCTTAAAACCTGCCATAAGCCTTAAAGTTGCGAACCCCTGGCAATATTCCTCCGTGATCTAAGCCCCAAACTGCCCTAAACCCTATTGTAGGAACTTGATCAAGAAACCCTGGGCCTCTAACCCCAAAATAGTAGGAGTCATCTGGAACCCCATTAAAGGTTTGAGGTTTCTTAATCAGGTTCCTGCATTAAACCCCAAAGCTCTTAAACCCTAAACCCTTAAAGGTGTAAACCCTAAACCCCTAAAGCCCTAAACCCCGAAACCCTAAACCCCTAAAGCCCTAGACCCTAAACCCCTAAACCCTAAACCCCTAAACCCTAAACCGCTTTACCGTTCGGCAGGCTGGACAGATCGAATTCCGCGACGTGAAGTTCTTCTACCCCTTCCGCCCCGAAGTTCAGGTTCCGGATTTGGGGTTGAGGGTTCCCAGAGACTCCAATATCCCTTATAATTAAGGCATATTCCTTAAGTCATGGTAGGATCCTTAGTATGATTTAAGGTATACTCCTTAATTAAAGGATATTGGAGTCTCTGGGTTTAGTGTGTTCCGGATTTGGAGGTTAGGGTTTGGGGTTTCGGCTTGCGGATTTTGGCTTTGGGGTTTCGGTGGATTTGGGGTTTAGGCTTCCGGATTTGGACAGTTGTGGCTTTTGGGGTCTAGGGTTGCGGGGTCTTTGTAGGCGGTTAAACCCTAAAAGCCTGTTGACCGTCAAGCTTCATAAGGGTTATAGGAAACTCCAGAAAGTTGGAATATGGTTTCATGGTAGGATACCCAATAATTTACCATAGAAGGGTTAGGATAATCATATTCCAACTTTCTGGCTTTTACCTTAAGGTTTGCAGGCTAACAGGGTTATGTGTATGCTGCAGAAGTTAATCGCGGTTGCCTTTCAGGGCTATCAAGGGCTTGAGGATCGATGATTAAGACGTGTGTTCGTTCCTTGGTTTCTTGGAAGACGGCGGGGGCGAGGAGGGTTTTTCAGTGCCCTTCAGTAGCCTCACTACGTCCCAAAGTGATACCGCTCTTCCCGCTTTAGTTTCTGGGGCTCCTTGTTTCTTGACGGGTGATCGGGACAAGGAAATAATCAGTCCAACTTCAGGGAAAGGAAGGTTTAACCACTAGTTGCTCATGCACGCCTCGGTGCAGGGGTATCCTTGTCGTTGACTCTCGCCTTTGCCATGTTTTGTTGTGCTTCGAGATTTTGGAATCTCAGTATTACCCTAAGGCTCCATAGTAGTTCCTTTTTAGGGTTCTATTTAGAATCCTATAAGGTAACCCCAAAAAAGGAACTGCTTTGGAGCCTCTGGGTAGTGCATGGAAGTTGTTGTTGGCCTTAATGTTTACCCAGCCTGGGCTCTGCTTCATTGATTGCTGGTTTGTCCACTCTTGCTGCTGAGCCCCGACTCCCCAAAACCCTACACCTTAAACCCCAAAGCCTTAATCTCTAAACCTTGAGACCTGATCCCTACACCGTAAACCTTACAAGCCTAACCCGAAAACCGTAAAGCCCTAAGCCCTAAACTCTGAACTCTCGACTCTATAAGCCGTAAACCTTAAATCCCCAAAGTCCCTAAAGCCCTAAGCCCTAAGCTCCCAAAGCTCTGAGGTGCTCAAGGGAAAACCCTACTCCCTAATCCCTAAACCTCAGATGGAGGTTAAAAAAAGCCTCAAATCCCTAAAGCCCTAAACCCTAAACCCTAAACCCCAAGCTCGTGAGGTGCTCAAGGGCATCAGCTTCAGCATCTCCGCCGGGCAATCGGTCGGTCTTGTGGGCCCCTCCGGTGGTGGCGCCTTGGGAGCAAAAGTTGTTTTTTTTTTTTTAGGTGGGGGAGGGGGACTTTGGGGATTAGGGTTTACGGTTTAGGGTGTTTAGGGAATACGTTTTGGGGCTTTGGGGATTAGGGTTTGGGGCTTTAGGGATTACGTTTTGGGGTCTAGGGATTAGAGTTTAGGTATTAGGCTTTCGGGTTAAGGGATTGGGCTTTGTGGATTAGGGTCTAGGGTTTTAGGGTTTAGGGTTTAGGGCTTCGGCATGGTATGGCCACTATAGTTCCCAGGTCATAGGTGCACTAGAATTTGTCCAAAAGCCCTATATTTAACTATTGAGGCCCTGTACATGAGACACAGAAGAGGAGGGGAGTCTATAGTGCTGTTTGGGATGTGTTTATCCAGGGTTGCTTTACCATGCTACCGCGACGACGTTTGCTCCTGCTGCGTGGCAGGGTGTACTCACGGATTGCATCGGCACTAGTAAGTAAGACTAGTCTCATCGGCCAGCAGCTAAATTCCTGGAGAAGTCTCTCGCGAAAGCCGTCTTCGTCTCTTCACCAATGTCATCGCCATTGCCGACACTATTCTCACCGCGAATACCACCACCGTTACCTCTACCAACCCCGATATCAAAAGCTCAGTTTCGTCGTCGCCAGATTTCCCTGCCGTAGCCAGACCCTGAGCCCCTAAGCCACCAGGAAAGAGCACGGTCATGTCGCTGATCCAGCGCTTCTATGATCCTCAGGACATGAGTTTGGGGAACATTGTGTGAGGTTCGAAACGCGTTCTTCTAGTTCTGTACGAGTTCCTATAAGGATTCCTTTCGACATGCGGGTTTAGTGCTCCGGCTTCGGTTCAGGATTCAGGGGGGAGGGCTTCATCATGAAGGAGCGATGCCGGAGCAATAACAAACGCGAAGAGAACAGCCGTTGGGCAGGAAGGCCCCTAAAGCCCAAACCGTTCCAGCTCAGATCCTGGAATAAATCATTAACAAACCCGGTACCCGTACTCTTTTGCACCCTAACTGGGCCCTTCGTGACCCCTAAACCCTAAACCCTAGACCCTAAGCTCTAAGCCCTAAACCCTAAATACTCTATACCCTAAACCCTAAACACTCTATACCCTAAACCCTAAACACTCTATAAACCCTGAACACTGTATACCCTAAAACTTTATAAACCCTAAAACCCTAAACCCTAAACCCTAACCTTTATAGTACCCTTATAGATCCCTTATAGTAACCCTTATAGACCCCTTTAAAGGAACCCTAAAAACCCTAAAACCCTAAACTCTCAACCGCGTGACCTTGCCAGGAGGGCCAGGTTTTCATCGGCAACGATAAGATCGCCCTCAGCCGCGCGGCTTCCTTTGAGGGTTTACAGTTTAGGATTTAGGGTTTGGTGTTTAGCGCTTAGAGTTTAGGGTTTAGAGTCTATAGGGTCTAGGGTTTAGAGTTTAGGGCTATAGGGTTTAGGGTTGAGGGTTTTGGAACATACCTCCATGCAGACAGAGATTTGTTTGGGGAAGCTATGCCATGTAGGGGCCTGCATGACTACACTAGGGTTCTGATGAATATCTAATTGTAACAGATTTCTTGCACTGGGACTATGAGGGAAGACTACCTCTGACAATGTAGACCCTCATATTTGAACCTAATCCCGCCAGACACTGTCAACATCCGCTGGTGGCGTCGGCAGATTGGCTTCGTTGGGCAGGAGATGACCATATGCCATGTGCAAAGTAGATGAGAAGTCCCAAAATGATCAAGACTGCCGCTACAACCCCTCAGTCCACAAAGCGCTGACCCCAAATTAAATCCAAAACCCTGAGAACAACTTCCCCGAGCATCCTTCTATGCTGTCGCCATGTTGAGCCTTGAAAGGTGTGCCTTTGGTACCTTTCCTTGCGGGTTCGACTCGTGCCAGGGTTTCTATAAGCTAGAGTTTGGGTTCTGTCTATACAGCCTTTCAGCAACTTGTGGGGGCTTGGGAGAAGGCCCAGTGATCCCGGCGGGGCTCCGGGCATCTGCCATTCCCATCAGGAGCCGATCCTCTTCAACACCTCTGTGCGTGCTAACATTATGCACCTCCGCTGACACGTTTTTAGGGTTTCGGTTGCAGGGTGGCATGGGCTTTGCAGGACCCAATGAGGCGCAGCAACCTGTCCCTGCCACATACAGTACACGGGTCTGAGTGGTTAATAATGTCCTTCTAGCCCCTATCTGATTGGAGTACACTCAAGCCCCCTTCAGGCCACATCGAAGCAGTGGCCAGAGTGCCAGGATGTCTGGGGGTTCAGGGTGGGTGTAAGCGTCTACTCTAGGGTTCCAGTTTAGGCTTTACCGTTCTAATGACGTGGTTATACTTGTAGATGGAACCCTGAGCAAACCTAGAGGTATCTCTACTAACAAGGACTTGTGACTGTAAGTGTCAGCAATGTCAGGCAATGCAAGGGTCACGTCTGCGCGTGACCGCTTGCCGCAACACTGCTACTATCACACTGAGATGTTTGCGGTGGCCACGACTACTTCTACGAGTCGTCCTGTCGTTTCAAAGGCACTATTCACTATATCCATACTGTATCCGTCCACGATCTTCCTCGGCGCCCTGTTTCCTACGCCTATAGCATCCATAAACCCTCAAGCAGAAACTGGAGGGTCCGGGAGAGACTCTAGAGTCGTTTGTAGAATTTGTCATCGAAACCCTGAGAAGTACTACGGTTGATGATATAAATCCTGCATTACCCATAATAAGGAATATGTGGGAATTATGGTATATTCCTTATTATAATGATAATGGGTCATGCAGGATATATATCATCAACAGTAGTGCAACCCCATGCACTCAAATCCCAAACCTGATGCGCTCAACTATAAGATCTGAAACCGGCCGCGAAACCCTGAAGCGTTCGGGAAAGGAAGCTCCAAATAACTTCCTAAACCCAAACCCTGAACCGTTCATGTTAGGTACGGACTCGACGATGGTGAGACGGTCAGCGATGAGTACATCAGCCAATGCGAAGCTGTGCCGCAGTTGGGTCCGGTGTAGGTGTTTAATTCCTGCAGGACCAAATGACCCCTAAAAGTAGGGGCCCTATACCCATATACTATGAATCCCTATATGGTATATGAGCCTTAAACCCTTTTAAGGTTCATTTCGTCATTAAGGATTTAGACTAGTTTAGGGTTTAGCAATTGGGTCCTTGGGGATGGGGCTGTTTTTTTTTTTTTCTGGCGTGGGGCCAAGCATGCCGCATTTTCTGATCACTACGTTGGTGGCGTTTTTTGGGGCTAGTAGGGTTTTTGAAAATCTCATGGCTTTAAAGCTTGTTGGCCTCGATTTTTGTTTGATACGGTTTCGGAGAGGTGGTAATTCGGGCGGTGGGAGATTCAACATCGATCGTAGGAATCCAGAGGCCTGGGTTAAAAGTTCAGGCATGCTGCCGACGGGGCAGCGGGGCTTTAGTTTGTAATTGTGAGTCTGCCATCAGACAGTATCCGTAACAGCCCATTCCCAAACCCGCAAGCCCTGAATCCTAAACAGTCAATCCTACTGAAATCAAGCCCTAAACCAATGAACTCTGATGGAACCTTTATAAAACCGTTGAGGTACGGTAGCCTCTATAGTAACCCAAAGACACCCCAAAGATTGAACCCTAAAGCCGTGGCCAATCCGATTCCAAATTCTACAGAACCGTACAGACCCCTACACAACCCTGTGGAAACATAGCCGAAGCCGTTGCCAATCTGAAGAGAAGATGACTACTATTCGTTTATCGTTTCGGTGTTTGTAGTATAGTGTACTCCAAAGCCATACTGTTACTAAGGCCCATGTTCAAAAGCACTTCTAGAAACATCTAAAGGAACCCTCAGACGATAGTAATTGAGGAGAAGATGTCGAACCTCGCATTCTTGTACAAGATGCCTGGCTGGGTTGGATGAAGGTCTTTGCTCCGACTCGACGATTCTTGGGGTCTAGGGCTTAGAGTCTAGGGCTTTAGAGCTTACGGCTTATAGCTTTTGGGCTTTATGAGCGCGGCTTTTGGATTCAGGATTTAGGGTGGCGGATTTTGGGCCGGATCCTTTGGGCCCAAAGGCTCTATGTTCTAAGCTCGTTCAGGAGCTGGCTCTGTCATGGCAAGTACCGACACATGGGTGGTTGTCAAAATTATGGTCCCTTTTTGGGTCCCTAATATAGTACGGCACCTATTATTTAGGGTGCCCAAAAAGGGACCCTAGTTTTGAGAACCACCCACATGGTTGGTTGCCTCGATGAGGCTTTGGAGTTGAGGGTTGCTTGAGCTTATTCTCGGTACTTCACTATTGGTTTAGGGTTTAGTGTGTCGGGTTTTGGGTTTAGGGCTCCAGGTCTAAACCCCAAGATCGCAGCGGAGTAGGCGCCCTTAATTTTCGGGTTTATGATATCCCTACCACAGCTGAGAGGTTAAAACCTGTTTGGGTCCTAGGCGACTCTACCCTAACCCCTCTTTCCTATGAAGGCCGAACGCCTATTTACGCCCTAAGCAGAAAAACGCTGACGCTAAGCCCGAAAAACTTCTAAACCCCTAAACCCCTAGACCCCCCAACCCTAAAGCCCAAAACCCCAACGCCCTAAGACAATTTTCAGGAATGGCAACAAGGGACTCGAGACCGAGGTCGGCTGGCTTCCTTCTGTTTTCATAGTCAGAATACAGGGTTTAGGGTTTTCGGGATTTGGGGTTTAGGGGTTCAGGGATTTAGGGTTTGAGGGTTTGGGTTTTAGGGTTCAGGGATTTAGGGGTTTAGGGTTATAGGTTTGAGCGTTGAGGATTTCTGGAAATAGGTCACCCTAATAATGGAGCCAAAATAACAGTACTATTCTCGAAGGACGCACGAGTAAGGTATTTCAATTGTTTGAAACCCCATCCAGATAGCACTTGTAGGCGGTCTTGGTGACTGCGCTTGCAACCTTAAGAGCAGTCAGAACATGAGCGATAACCGTCGGAAACGTCTTGTTATATGTGGCTTTAAGCAGGGATCACGATTTTTCTTGTGGACGTCGTCCGTCGTCGTCGTCGTTTTCCTACTCTTAGTCACAGTCGTCGGAGTCGCAGTAGTAGCGGTAGAAGTAGTAGTCGTCGTCGTAGCACGTAGAAGTAGTAGTGCGAGTAGTAGAAGGAGTAGGAGCAGGAGCAGGAGTAGGAGTAGGAGTAGGAGTAGGAATAGGAGTAGGAGTAGGAGTAGGAGTAGGAGTAGGAGTAGCAGTAGCAGTAGCAGTAGCAGTAGCAGTAGTACTAGTAGTAGTAGTAGTAGTAGTAGTAGTAGTAGTAGTAGTAGTAGTAGTAGTAGTAGTAGTAGTGGTAGTAGTGAGAGTAGTGAGAGTAGGAGTAGGAGTAGGAGTAGGCCTAGTAGGAGTAGTAGGAGTAGTAGGGGTAGTAGGAGCAGTAGTCGTCGTCGTCGTCGTAGTAGTAGTAGTAGTAGCCTCAATAACAAATATCAATACGAATCGCAGTGACACAGGGATCAGGATGCAGGGTTGCATCAGAGCCTGCAGCAAGCACGATTCAGGATTGAAGGACTGCTTTTTAAGAGACGTCTGGGCTGGATGAAGAAGTGCATGCCGCGTAGAACACCACGACACCTCGAGCGCTGCCGACCACCCAGGACCCTAAACCTTATTTCAAAGACCTGATAGTTAGAAGCCTTTCTTCAAATACTTCCTGAAGAAGCCCTTCTTGGAAGCCGCTAAAAAAACCCTAAGCCCCAACGCCTAAGCAACGCATTCCTAAAAAAGAAAGGTTGGACCCCGCGGAAGCCGCCTGTCGGGTGGCCAGAAGCAGCGTGTGGCTATTTGCAGGCCCTTGGCCTGGATTCTTACGGTTTGCGGGTCCTTTAAGGGTGCCAGAGGGATTTCTTTAGTGACTTCCTTTAAGTGTACCACAAGGTTCCTTGCAAGGGTGAAGTGAGCCAGGCAGGGTTTGGGGGTTTACGGATTCGGAGTTTGAGGTTCGGGGGGTTTAGGTTCTGGGATTGCGACATCAGATAGGTTTTCATCGCGGGCGTCCCGCGAAGGATCGTTGATATCAACCTCCCAGAGACTCCAATATCCCTTGATTAAGGAATATGCCTTAGATTATAGTAGGATCCTTAGTATGATTTAAGGTATATTCCTTAATTAAGGGATATTGGAGCCTCTGAGCTTAGCTTATTGTGCAATGTAGGGGCCTGGGCTGGCAGTGGGTGGGGATCAGTCGGAGTAGTCGGCTGAGACGGATAGTTTCGGAGTAAGCGCAAAACTGAACATCCATGCACCATCCTGGCCCAAAGCCCAACTTCGGAAGGCAGGTGCTATAGCCGTCGGAAAAATTACCTACGTATAGTCTTCCCAAGGTTCCTGATTGCCCCCAAACTATAATTATAAGCTCCTGACCTATGCTGTTGTGCGCGCTCCTTATGACAGTTATCGTACAATCTGCCCCAAAACCCTACCCTACTCTACCCTACTTCAGGCGTTGAAGCCCCGACATTTCTGAGAACCTCTCTGACCAGGGCCTTGATCCGCAACCCACCGGTCATGCTGCTTGACGAGGCGCGGGCCGTTTCTGGATATTCCTTAACCCTAATGTGTCAATATTTCCCAAAAGCCTTACATAGTATGGTTGTCAGGCCCTCAAGCCTTAGCATATGAGTCCTTAGAGCCTTAGGGTTAGGAATTCTTTGCTTAGTAGCTGAATGAGTATGCTTAACACTTCTTGGGAGAACAGGATCCTCTGCAGAATTGAAAGCTGTCCTTTTCGCAAGATAGAGCCAGGGTGGGGATAGTTGTTTAAAGCAACGCATTTTCCTTGATCTCCGGGTGTGCCTGTAGCTGCTTTTACAGAACCCTTCGAAAGACAAAGTATGCACTTTTAATTACGGGTACATGGACCCCGTAGAGCCTTGTAATAAACCATACAAAACCGAATATGTACCAAAAGAAACCCTGTAGAGGGCACTTGGACCCTCGTGACATGAGCTGCTGCTTCCACCAGCGTTCTAGCTGGGCTATCGTATATCAAAGGGGAAAAGGAGGGACCCTTCATGGGGACCCCTACCCTATAATGTGCTTTATAATGGGTATATAGTAGCTATATTAAGAGTACATACCTAGGGGTCCTTAGTAAGTGTCCCTCCTTTTACCCTTGGATGTCTCCAAAAAAAGCCTAATTCCTAAACCCTTGAACCCTAAAGCGCAAAAGTCCAAAACACCCTTAAGTCCCTAAACCCTAAACCCTAAACCCTAAACCCTTAAGTCCCTAAACCCTAAACCCTAAACCCTAAACCCTTAAGTCCCTAAACCCTAAACCCTAAACCCTAAACCCTTAAGTCCCAAGCCCTGAAGTCGTCCTGGACCCCAAGCCCCCAAATCCTAAACCTCTAGACCTCTAAACCCTTGTAGAGAAGGCTTAAACCCTAAACCCCTAAAGCCCTAAATCCCTAAACCCCTAAACCCCTGAACTCTAAACCCCTAAACCCTAAACCGCCAGACTGGACCGGTTTCGTAGTCGAGGGGGAGGTTCGGATGTTTCGTGAAAGTCAGCGGCTTGTGGCTGAGACCAGAAAAGAGCAAATCCCGAAAAGACTAAAGACCTGGAGCACCTTTTTTTTTTTTTGAAGTTTAGGGTTTAGGGTTTAGGGGTAACAAAAGGACCTGGAGCACCTATCAAAAGCCTCTTACAAGACGGTGTGAAGACGTAAGACTTTATGGAGCCTCTTCTAGGGTCAATGTGCTCCTCATCCATGGGTTAATGTATTGAGGCAGGGTGCCTGTTTTATGAGATGGTCTCAATGTTTTCGTCCGGAAAACGATAGGCACCAAAACTAAAAGAACAAAACCAGAAGATATAGACCCTAAACCCTAAAACCCCAAACCCTAAACCCCTATATAAACTAGACTTCAGGAGGATGGGTGGTCCGGCCGGTTTACGGAACCTTGGGTCCCTTACAATGTCAGAGCATCATGCGACTTACTTCCGAGAGCCAGGTAGCTCCTGCAGGCCGCGGAACTAAACGTTTAGTGTTTTGGGGTTTTTAGGTCTTTGAGGTAGGGCTTTAGGACTTTTGAGGCTTAGGGTGTTTGGCCCTTTAAACCCCTAAGCCCTATATCCTAACTGACATGTTGTCCGATATCAGCCCTGGTGTGTTGAGGCCACGAGTGCCCTGGACACGCAATCCGAAGCCATCGTGCAGAAGGCAGAGTGCTACATTTGTGTCGAGGCTTTGGAGTGTAGGATTTAGGGTCTAGGGTTTAAAGTGTAATGACCCTGATCTCAGAGCTCCCGGGGGGTTCGCTGCGCACTAGACATTTCCAGGATCGGGCTGGCTTCGGCGTGTTATACCGGGTCCTTGTAAGTTGGAATACTGTTGATGATGAAAATCCTGCACTACCTTAAGGAGCCCAAACTAGGGGAATTGTGGTATTATAGTCCTTGTTAAATATGGGCAATGCAGGATTTCTATCATCAACCGTAGGATTTAGGGCGCTTTGGATTTTTGTGTGTTTTTTGAAATTACTAAAGCAAAGCACCCCCAACCTTGCGCTTCACTTGAGCCGTCCGGTCTCTGGTCATTTTTGGGGGTTGAAGATCTTCAGTGCTTGCCCAGAGGCTCCATAGTAGTTCCTTTCGGGGGTTCATATTTAGAATCCTATAAGGTAATCCCCAAAAAGGAACTACTATGGAGCCTTTGGGTAGTTTTCGTTTTGTTGATCTTCAACAGATGGACAAAGGGTTGTATGGCCTTTGGATATGTGCAAATAAGTTCGTGTTCCGGCAGTATTGGGACACAGCATCCCAAAATTCTCAAACCCTTAGCCGTCTTATCTGTGACTAGACACGCGTGCATCCTAAACCCGTGAACCTTAGCCTCAACGAGTAAAACCACCCTAGATTCTAAACCCCTAACGTAGGGGCCTTAGTAATAATTAGAATAGGGTTTTGGGGGATCATTATACCATAAAATTAAGAGGAACCCCTAAAACCCCATTCTAATTGTTAGGGCCCCTATAGTAAACCCTAAACCCCGCTTCCTCTGTGCAGGCGCTGGAAGCCGCTCGGGAGGGACGTACGTCCTTCGCCATCGCCCACCGCCTCTCTACTATCCAAGGCGGATGGAAGCCCTTTAAGGGTTTAGGGTTTAGGGGTTTAGGGTTTTTGAACCCTACCAGGACCCCCAACGGCCCTTTTACGGAGCCGTTATGGTCCTCAACAGTGGGTATTGGGGTATATATGTTAGAGGGTAGTTGGTGGGTCGAAGTAACCCATCCTGAGCCGTAAACCTTAAAGCCTAATCCTGAACCCTTTTGCAATGTATAGATACGGTTTTGTGGGCTTTTGGGCTTCTGGGTTTAAGGTATGAGGGTTCGAGGTTTTCGGCTCTATAGTTTGTGAGGGTCTTGAGGTCAAGATTTGGGCTTAGGGTTGTAGTGTTTTGTGTCGGGTACCATAGGCCATGAAAGTAACTTTTCGGCCATCGGGGTCTCTGTACGGCTAAGGGCTTACAGTAACTGGTATTTGTCAGGGTTCCTATTTTTTCCTTTACTTCTTTTGTATATACACGCAATAGAATCTCTTCGGAAAGGCTGATTTTGGGGTCGGGGTGCAGGATTGTAGGATTGACGGCCCGAAGCCCTCGACCTGAAGCCCTTCCCCAAGGGTCCAAGTACCTAATAGTCATATACTCTCCGAAATCTTAACCTACATAACTACTATCCTAAAACAGGGTCCTTTGGACCCTTGCGGATTTACAGTCGGGATCAGGCTTGAGAGCTGGCTCGCTTTAGACCAGCCTCTGCCGCTCCTAGCAAAACTCTGCGAGCCCCAGGTAAACGAGGGGCCTTCAGAATGAGAACAGGTTTTCTATAAGGCAGTACGGGGTTCCTGTATGAGTTTATTAGAGGGGTCATTATTGCGAGGGCTTAATTTGTCGGGGCCTAAGCAGTGAGAACAGGCTTGTTTGGCGAGAGCGTGGTGCTGTTGCACTGTAGTATACTAGGAACGGGGGACCTTGAACAAGACTACAAAAACCTGCACCCTAACGATGCTTACTACTCATTAAACCCCCAAACTCCAAACAGTGAAGCCCTAAACCCCCAAGCCCGTAACCCCGGAGCGGGTAAAGGGTTTAGGGTATAGGGTATAGGGTTTTGGTGTTTAGGGTATAGAGGTTCAGAGTCTAGGATCCGACGCCAGCAGATTGGGATTGATAAGGAATCATCGAAAACAACGCTAACCGTGCAGCCCTGAAGCCGTCGAACATTTAGCAGCATGTAGCCAAAAGCCAAACCCTGAACCAAGCCAGACCCCTGAACCCCAGACCTTCGACGCTATATGGGAGTTTCCGAAAATAGGGGGGTACCTTTTTGGGGGGTCCTTGTAATAAGGTTCCGACTATTTAGGGTACCAAGTTAGGGTCCCCCATTTTAGAAAACTCCCATATCAGCCTTCGGGAGGTTGCGATGTCATCCTCGTGAACGCCGACGGCCGTGTGGTGGAGAAGGGAAACCACGACGAGCTGATGGCGATGAAGGGAGTGTGGCTTGATTCCCAAGGTCAGCCGTCAATTCAGGGTGTAGGGGTTGTTCTTAAACCCTGAACTCTGCAATCTAAAACCCGACGGCCTTGAATCCAAAAACCGCACCTTTGAACCAGAAGCCATGTATCCTTCTGGAATGGTCCATACCAGAGCAGAAGTCTGTGTCTTCAGTCTTTAGCCGGTGTGGCCCCACATGCATTCATGTAACATAAGGGCCTACTTAATTACCTATACTATTTTGGGGACTCCTTATTATAGTCATAGTGTAATGGGCCCAAAACATTTTTCTCTTTATGAGGCCCCTAGAGTAACAGAGAAGTTGGAGGTCGTGTCTGCAAAACCTAGCAGTTCCTGAGCAAAAGATCTGCCTGCTGACCAGGATCTGCCTTTTGGGTCCCTGCACCGGTGATTGTACTTCTCGCCACCCGCTGCCATGATCATCGTAGGAGGAAGAAGAGGAGGAAGTGGAGGAGGAGGAATAGGAGGAGCGGAAGCAGCAGTAGCAGAGGTAGTGACGGAACTCACCCTCTAGCCCTGTAAGTAAGTCCAGAACGCTCCTAGGCTTGCAACAATGGTTCTTTTCTGGCGAAATTTCGGCCAAATACTCGAGGGCATAGACAGACAACTGTATCCTCACATCCCGAAACCCGGAGCCCTCCCATCTCCGCAGCCGACGGTGCAAGGGAAAGCTCTAAAACCCAGGTATTACAAGCTGCAGATGCAGGCGCAGAAATGAGTGTCAGAGTCAGCACAGGAAGATGTCGCTTGGCCCAACCCGCGAACAGAAGCGCGGGGGGCCATCGTTTTGTCTAGCGTTGTTTTTGCCTTCGCAAGCTCCTGTGCCAGCCGGTTAAAGGTAACCCGCCCTTCCACTGCCAAGCAGTTGGGGACGCATGCATGGTGCAGATGCGGAGACGTCCTTTGCTCTGTCATCCTGCACTTCTCTCAGGAGTGGGGCTCCCCCTCACCCAAGCATCAGGTGGGTAACTATGCTTGGGGGATGCCTACTTTTGAGAAGTGCCTGTCGATGAAAAACACTGGTCATTTCGAGTACATACCGTTCGAAATCGGTGCCACTTTGTGCCGGTGTCCCGTGTCTACCTTAACGGATTGTTGCAGGTGGTACGGGCACCTATGCCGAGTTACTCCTTGTGGCTTTCATTACCGTCTCTTTGCTTGCTTTCTGGGCCTTCTGACGCATCCTACGGATTGTAGGCGCGGAGTGGGCTCGATGGCCGGCTTTCCGCGGTTTCGGCTGGAGAGGCTTAGACGAATGCTTGGGCAAAAACGATTTAAATAAAGTGCTGCTTAACCATGACAACTCGGCGAAACCGAAGGTCATCTGAGACAACTCTTCAGATCTTTGTTTGCGAGATCCTCGCCATTCTACACGTTTGGTTTGTCTGCCCTGTACAGTCGATCTTGAAGATGCTTGACCCCAGATGGGCTGCAAGCATTCACTGTTGCACGTGTCGCAATACCCATGCCTCATACTGGCGACGAGCAAGTCCAAAATCTCGCTGACCATTTCTCCTGGGTGAAGGGTTGGTGAAGCGCCATGCAGACACGAGACGTAAAACTACCCAGAGGATCCAAAGTAGTTCCTTTTTGGGGTTCGTGTATAGAATCCTATAAGGTAATCCCAAAAAGGAACTACTGTGGGGCCTCTGGGTAGTAACTAGGATCATACACTAGACTCGCCAGACGTGAGCAAATCCCACCATTAAGGACCAGAAGGGCTCTCTTAAAGAACCCTGAAAGGATCCCCTAAACCCTAAACCCCTAAACCCTACCGTAGAAGTGCTCTAGTAATTTGGTTTAGAGTTCAGGATTGTGCAGGTTTTAAGCCCAGAGCTTCGCGCAGAGGTCGGAATGGAATAGTTCACTAGTAACTATCCTCAAGGGTCCAAGTACCTCATAATCATATATACTCTCCAAAAGCCTAACCTACATAACTACTATCCTAAAACCGAGTACCTAATGATTGGGTCCTGTGGACCCTTGGGGTAACAATAACGATTCATATCGCCGGATGATGGGCTCTCCCTGCTTGGAGGGTCGGGGGACTTAGTTACTGGTTATTTTAGGGACTTATAAGTTCCATAACCCCAATTAGGGTCCCTTTTAGGGTACTGATATGTCTACTTACTACCGACTTACTAAGTCCCCCGACCCTCCAAGTGGTCTCTTTGCTAAAGCCTGTGTTGCCGGCCTCTATGTCACTCTGTGCAGACTCTGACGGGCGCACCGTGGTGAAATGCAAAATTCGGGTTTACGGTTTTTTGGTTTGGTGTCGGGCTTCTTCAAATTCTTAGATTCATTGTCAGGGCCTTCTGCACATCCGCGGTAAGGTGGTGCCTTCCTCTTGAACTCCAACATTCCCGAGTGAGCCTAAGACCCCAACGGCTGTTCTTGTGGTCCTGGGGCCTGAGACCAAAAATCCAAGGCCCTAAACGGTTTAGGGGTTTAGGGTTTAGGGGTTTAGGGTTTAGGGGCTAAGTCGACGGCTTAGTTAGAGACCATACATCTCCTTTATTCACGCTAACACTGAACCCGGACCCGCACCCTAGGCTTTGGGGTTCAGGCTTTAGGGATAGGGGCGGTTGGGGTTTAGGGTTTAGGAACGATACTCCCAAGATATCCCAATGTATACGTTGCGCTTTGGGCCAGTGCCTTAGGAATGTTGGAAAGCTGCCGTAGGAATGCCGGCCGGCATGTTACTTTTCCTGAAGTTTGCTCATGACGAGGGTTGCCAGAAAACCCCCTCACTCCTAGCCTAGCATCACGATTCGCGTAGTAGGGCAGCAGTGCAAGCCCGATCGAGGGTATGCTAACGCCGTCACAAGCCTCGGCCTGTTTAGTGTCAATGACATGCTGATCTGTCAGTCCAAAACCCTAAGTTGCAGGAACCTGACGCGGAGGAGGATGACCGACCTGTTCTCAAAACAAAGACTCCCGGCTCCAACACGAGTTCTGGATTTGGGGACCATTATATGGCTAATAATTGCCATTGCCAGAAATATACCTACTTGGTAATTCTACTTCTGTTTCCGCTTCCACTCCCACTTCTAGCACGACTACGGTTACGAGGAGGCGACGACGATGACTACTACTACGATTACGACTACTACCACGACTGCCACTCCCGCTGCCACTGTCACTGCCTCCACCCCTGTCACTACCACTACTACTACTGCTACTACTACGACTGCTACTGTTCTACGTACTACTACTATTATTAAGACTACTACTACTACTACTACTACTACTACTACTACTACTACTACTACTACTACTACTATTACTACTACCGCTACTACTACTACTACTACTACTACTACTACTACTACAACTACTACTACTACTACTACTACCACTACTACTACTACTACTACTACTACTACTAATACCACTACTACTACTACTACTACTACTACTACTTCTTCTTCTTCTTCCGGTCGCTGCGAAAAGAGTCTCTCGCTCGGCGGTCCAGTATTGAGGCGAGGGCTGCCCCCCGGCGCATTGCGCGATCCGTCCCTTGGGATCCCATCTGCATGCCCCGACCCGAAGGTCCTTGTAAGCAGGCATGCAGGCACTCACAAGCGAAACTGAAAGTTGGGCCGACTATGTATCGAGTGGATCTAGGACTGTACAAAAACGCACGTTACACAGTGGCAGGGCATTAACAACAGTGGGCCAACTTACGAGGCTAGGTACGTCAGGCTGTGCACCGAAGGTACAAGAACACATATGTGTTACTGTATGTTGCAGCAAGCGCGGCACTCTCACATCGCTGCGCAGAGCGGTTATCATCCGTTATGAGTATGCCTGTGTCATGCGGTTGGTACAGCAGGCTGCGGTAGTGTCCTTCAGTGCATCGGCTGCCGTAGTGCAACAGCGCCGCGATGCGGCGGTAGGTGACAAAACGCTGTTCCAGTGCTTGCCCAGTGCCCAGACTACCGGTGAAAGCAGGCAGGACGATAAGCGGTTCAGGTGCTACTCTGTGAGGTGCTTTCGTGGGGGAGGCATGGCTGGGGCTATCACTACAGAAGCGGTTAATCTGTAGACACAGCACTGTCGGAGCGGTCACAAGGCCCAGCAGTCCAGCCTGATGATGCCATTTGTCAATTAGAATTAGAACCTGCAACCCGAAAACCGGATTATGGGGACTACTGGTGTGAGGCAGGGCAGGATCATGAGGCTGGACGCGGAGCAGGTGCAGAGGCTCAGCCAGGAACAGTGGCCACGTGTGGCCTGCGTCCACACACGTCACTGGCGCAATGTCATCGGGCCTTCTGTTCTCCCAATCCCCTTGAGCTAGTGTGCCTAGTCTGGACCTAAGAAACCCAAGGTATTCCGCTATGTCATGCTGCCTATGAGGTTGCGGCCAGCGGCTGTGCAGCGAAACCCAGTTGATGCGCTTCCACAGAAGCACAGGCATGGTCTGCTTGCGAAGCCATGCCCAGATCCCTGCAAGCACGGATCCCAACAGCTCACTGCAGCTCGGACCTGGGAGAAAAGTGGAGACCCAGAGCAGTGCAAGCAAAGCAGCATGACTGTAGCAGTGATTGCTGGTGTTGATTAGGCGTAGGGCCCGGACTGCTCGGCGATCAGCTTCTGGATCAGCACGGCCAGAGGGCTCCGACCCATTTTCTCTCCACGCATGCTCATGATGACTGTGCGGCAAAGGCCGCTGTGGCAGATGCGATGAAGGTGTCCCCAAGCCACATGAGCCTCCTTGGTGCGCATGCCCAGTTGGAGCATCATGGGCAAGATCTGGCCGCCATGGTCCCGGACCATTTTCCGGGTTGAGTGGAAGCGGACTACTACTACTAGTACTACTACTACTACTACTACTACTACTACTACTACTACTGCTACTGCTACTGCTACTGCTACTGCTACTGCTACTCCTACTGCTACTGCTACTGCTACTGCTACTGCTACTACCATTACTACTACTACGACTACTACTACTACTACTACTACTACTACTACTACGACTGCTCGACTACGACTACTACCGCTGCTAATTACTACTACTCACTACTACTCTACTACTAGTACTAGTATTAGTACTAGTACTAGTCCCAGTGCTAGTACTAGTACCAGTACAAGTACTAGACGATATCCTGTAATGACTAAAGTCTTACTTACTTACTTGGGGTACTCATGTGCTTGCAGCACGGTTTAGAAAATCTGGGCGTGGCATACCGGTTTGCACAAAAAGTATTTGCACCAACAACGGAAAACATGTCACTTCCGTCAGGATTGGCTTCAATGCCTCCGACACCACCCTCAACGTCTTTCCTGCGATGGACGCTCGGTTTGTGAAGCATGTGCATATATATATATATATATAATTATGTATACAGGCTGTTTATATATATATATATATATACACATACACATGTTTGTTTATATGTATGTATATATATATATGTATATATATATATATACATACACATGTGTATACATACCACGAAGAACTCACACACATTTCCCGAAGATCCTGATTGCAGAGTATACTAAAGCACACACCCGAAACCCTATTCTAGTTATGAAGGCGCCTATATTCATCAGAATTTAGGTTGTTTAAGCCCTAAGTCTCTAAGCCCTGAACCCTAAAACTGTGATTTTCCAAGAGTTGGGTCCTTCTTCATTGGAGCCCCTATCTAAGACTAGACATCCCTGGTTTTGATAGGACATGGGCTTGGAAACTCGCATGACTGATACTGCAGGCTGGCTGCTAAAGCTCCTTCGGGCCAGTCGAAAGTCCCAACTTTCAAGCCTAGAGCGACAACTCCGAAATGCTGAATTCTCGTGAGTATGATCATGAATGGTGCAGGCTTCGGTAGGGATTTGGGGATTTATAGTTTGGGGGGGTTTCTGGTCTAGTGCTGCCTGAGGACAACAAGATGTTGATGGCGCTCACTGAAGGCGGCCGGACATGGTTGAATATCTAGTGCGATACATCCGAATGCAAATATGTCGGAATGCCCGAAGTCCCTTTATGCTGATGTATCACTATGTGCCCTCTTCCGGTCTTAGACTAGAGTTCGAGGCGTTCGTGACAAGTTGCGGGAATGATAGAGATGGTTTCGGATCCCTCGAAGGTCAGTAGGGTCTGACGGAGACTGCCAGGACAGAGGTCTAAATCATGCCAAGACACTCCTTGTACCCTAAGCAAGAGGATAAAGGTATAGGTAGAAGGAGGGTCTACTCCACTGTAGAGGTCGGTACTTTCAACCGAATCCGTGGCCCTGAAACCTCCACGAATTCCTCACGCTGGAGTAGCTGGAGTCCCACATGTCACACTCAGGTAGGATCTTCGCGCTTGAAGGCTTTGTTCGAGTAATCCTCACCCAAGTCTTTATGGTCGCAAGTGCTCCGAGCTGGCGACGAAATGTGTAACCTCGGCCGTACTAAGAAGGAAGGAATACACCTCAATGAAACGTAGAAGTTTATTGAGCTCTTCAGGTGATGGGAGGATCCCTGCTACTTATGGCCAGGAAAGGTTCCAGATCGCGGAGTCGAGAAGCCTCGAAGCTTACGCTTTTGGCCTGCTAGTGCTCGGGTTTCTTGTTCAAAGCCAACTAAACCTGAACAGCAGTCTCCATTATTAGCAGCCTGACCCATCCCCAGGACTTGGGTTTTTTTTTATCGCAGACAGGATCCAGAGTTTGGAGGTTCGAGGGTGTAGGGTTCGAGGCTTTGGAGAACCCTAACCACCTTAAACCCTAAACCTTAAACCGTTAGGGCCTGCAGGAGGATTGCAGCACCTGGCTGCCGGAGCCCGTGCCAATGTCGGAGTGAAAGCTGGCAGATACGCGTTCCTTGTGCAGAAAGAGTCGGCTTTCGACTTCCGTTTGAAGTAGGTATGTATTTAGGGTTGCGGGTTTGGGGTCGGGTTTTGGTAAGTGTACACAGGGCTCCTTAGGAATATTGATGTTGTGTGCTTTGGCTGATGTATGTTCCTAGAATCCTAGAGAGCCCGAGGGAATTTCCGTTACCATGGGATTGGGATTTGGGTTTAGGGCTTCGGTGTCGAATCACAACAGAGGCTGACGATTCTGTGTGTGGACACATGTAGCCTGCACGTGTCATGTTGCACCCGGAAAAGGTGTATGTGGGCGTACATGTACCTATCATAAATCGCTGCATGTCACATTGTTGATAAGTTAAGCGGCCACTGTGGAATGGGCCCCTGTGGGTCGCACAAAGCGACCCCGGCCCTAACCTGAGTATCACGCCAGAAGCCAGAAAGTTGGTAAAGGACTTGTCCAACGACTGGGAGGTCCAGACTTCTGGTAGAGGAGCACAGTAACATAGGGGCCTTAAGAATTACACATACTATTGTGGGGGTTCCCTGTTATAATTCTGGCATCAATATACCCCCAAACCCTATTCTAATTATTAAGGCCCCTATATTATATCACCGTTCCATGTCGCAACTTTCCGGATATTATATCACCGTTCCATGTCGCAACTTTCCGGCCTCTGCTGTATCCCGTTGAACGCCGTTGTAAGCACTTACTGCGCTAGCCTGAACCCGAAAACTTCAATACCGTGAGCTCCAGGCTCTAATTTCTTCCGCACAGCATCCCCAAATCAAATTTCCACATATACGGACTCAGGCAGAGACAGATACGGAGGCAGATTGGGTACATATTTCCATACAAGTATCCACATAAACAAATAGATACAAATAGATAATTTGGTGTGTATATATATATATATAACTATGTGTATAGAATATATATATATATACATAACTAGTAATACACATTTGTGTGTGTAGATGTGTCTACATGCACATACATACCCACACATTCAGCAGACACAGGTGCACGCATGCTCATCATAATATATGTATGTACATATATATATATATATACCATATGTGGTATGTGATTATGTGAGGATGATTCTTTTGTATACATACCGACATACTTAGCCGCGTACTTGTTGACATACAGAGAGAGAATGTGTGTGATGCAATGAGTCGACCGACATGTAACCACGGTACTTATATATATATATATATATATATATACATATGTATGTATGTATGTATGTATGTATGTATATATGTATACACACAACAGGAAGCATAAACGGCAACATCGGTTTATCGCACTTCAGGATAACAGATGTAAAAAACTATAGGTCAACGAGCAAAACCTCGTGCACCGCGTAGCCGACTTGACTCTTAAAACAAGGAGAGCCAAGCCCAGGTACGAGCTGAAGATCTTAACCCTAAACCCTAAACCCAAACCCTAAAGACCCTAAAAACCCTAAAAGCCTAAACCCAAAGCCCAGGTACGAGCTGAAAATCATGGAGGCCTTGAACCCTGCGGAGGCGGCCCAGGGTCGCGGTCCCCAGCCGAAGCAGCGACTGAGACGAAACGAACAAGGGTTTAAGGTTTTTAGTGTTTTTTAGGGTTTTTGGTGTTTTTAGGGTTTTGAGGGGTTTTAGGGTTTTTTTAGTGTTTTTAGGGTTTTATTTTTTTTAGTGTTGTTTTTATGGTTTTTAGGGTTTAGGGTTTTTTTGGGCTTAGGGTTCCTTTTGATTTCTGTAGCTTCCTAAGCCCTATTTGGAAAGCCCCAAACTCTCAACTTTCATGGTAACCCAAAGTCCTTTAGGCTGGTTCGCGTCGGATTCTCCACGGCGGCTTCACCGCTGCTTTTGGCGGACAACGAGGATGCAAAGCCATGGGTTCAGGGTCTGGGTTTAGGGTGTCAGTCTTTGGGGAAGTTTATTCTTATAGGGGGATGGAGCACGAGCGATCATGATATTTGCAGAGTGTTGGGGTGACTTTGCGTTTTAAGATCTGTAGGATATATGGGCCACGAGCCCAAGGAACCCAGAATCCGATGGCCCTATGCATGCAATGATAAACGGGCCTTTAATCTACCTGGGGTTTAGGGTTTAGGGTTTAGGGTTTAAGGGTTTAGGGTTTAGGGTTTTAGGGTTTAGGGTTTAGGGTTTAGGTCACATAGTCCTAAGAACGTTCAACGGGGGCCCCGATTATGGTTAAAGGGGATGGGGTTGATTTGGGTTCCTGGAGCTTAGCAAATCCAGTGTAGGGGCTTCGGCGATTGCCATAGGGTTTGGGTGGGCAATAGTATAAATGTCGCAAGGAACCTTAAGGAATATGTCATAAGGAACCTTAAGGAATAAGACTAGCAAATCTCCAATATTATAGATATCGTAGGGTATCGCACGGAAGGCTGCTCAGGACTCCTGGTCCAAGGGTCCGAGTGCCTAGTGGCCATATCCTGTATACTCGTAAACCCTAAACTAAACCCTAAAGCCTTAACCAATTTGGGGTTTTGGAGTTTAGGGTTTGAGGGTCAGTGCCAAATTGTCGTCTCTTTGGGCCGTGAAAATCGGCACAAAGCCTTTGTCGACAAACAGTAAAATCTTATAAAGACCAGCCTGAATCCTCATGCAAAACCCTCCCCGGAACTCTTGAGACTGCAAGATGAGGCAAAAGCATCCGCTTGGACGACTCTTGCTAAGTATTCTAGGCCCTTGCAGCCAGCAATCGATCCCGTGCACTTCTGCAACCACGGGCTTTCCATTCGTATGGGCTTGACTACAATGCCGTCTGATAGTTTCCTCGATGGCCCATTGCTCCAAGCCTGAAGAAGCCGCAGGAAGCTGCGTTCTTCGATTCTGAGGGCTGGTTCACTGCAGGACCCCTCCTGTCTTCGAAACTTCAAAACTTGGCTTGGGGTTGATACCTGGGGGCTGGTGAATAGTTACCAACGTTACTCCGTAGGGCTCGTTACTACAAGCATACTATAGTATAGCTTAAAACTTGTAATGCCCCTGTACTAATACGTTGCCTCCGATGATTCCTTCTGTATTCAAGATTTAGGTTTCAGCATTGATGTGTAGGCTTCTGCGCGTGCCGGAATCTGGGCTCAGGCTTAAATCTTCTTAGGTTCTCTCAACCGGCCATTGACGGTCTGCGAAGGTGATGTTTCGGGTTTCGGTTTTGGGGTTAAGGGTGTGGGCGCTTAGGGTTCGGGGATTGGGGATTAGTGTTTCGCAAAGGTTGGGAGGAGACCGCACAACCCTACATACAATGTGCCCATAGAGCGGTATGAGTGCATGGTACACGCAGACACACATGTGTACAATTCCAGGGCTGGATGGGTAATTAAGAAACAGCTACTTTTCCATGAGGGGACCGTGCTTGTCCGGAAAGTGCCGCCCGCCTGCTTTCCACAATATGAAGAACATCACAGGTTCAGGCTGGGGTAACAACAATTTCCCCGGCAATGTCCTCAATTTGCCCTCACACCAAAACGCGATGAATTCAGGGCTGAATTTCGTAAGTTCTTGCATAGGTTCAAAGGTCTGAACACCGGGGAGAGCAACCCGAAACGTTTCCACAGCACGCCCATTGGCTTCTCCGCGGAGTTTTAGCACTCGCAATCCCACTTCTGACCCCTTAATTTTCGGAAACTCCCAAACTACCCTAAACCCTAAACCCTTTATAGAACCCTTATAGATCCCTTTGAGGAACCCTTAAAGGATCCCTTAAAACTGAGGCTTAGAAAACTGTTAAAGTGCGAAGATGGCTGCTCGTGGGTCGGGCTGGTGTAAGGCAAGTGCAGCTAATAGTAGTTATAATTGTACCCCATTCCTCCATTCCCTACTAACCAAAGGTAAGCTAAGTAGAGTTGCAAGTTCTATGTATGGAACCGCTTAATGACACTAGCTATCCAAAGTCATTGGGACCCTTAGGTGGGTAGGGGAAGGGGGGTAGGGGGCCTTAATGCCCATAAGAAGGACCTACCCCCTTCCCCCCTACCCCCGTAACGGTCCCCATGAAAAAGTCACATTTGAGAGTTGGGATTCGAGAAACAGGAGGGACCCTTAATAAGGACCCCTAGGTAATATACCCTTAATATAGCCATTATATACCCATTATATAGCCCATGACAGGGTAGGGGTCCCCATTAAGGATCCCTCCTTTTTGCTTTGATGGGAGTGCTTTCCAGGAAAGCTGCGGCAGAAGAAGTCGCAGCTTTTCACCCGGGATCAGACTGTGGCAGTGGTGCTCAACCTCGATGCAAGCAGACACTCGGCGCGAATCCTAAACCCTAGACCTTTTCCGTTCTGTGGGTATGGGTCAATAAAAACCTCCACCCCTAAACCCTAAACCCTAAACCCCTAAACCCTAAACCCCTAAACCCCAAACCCCTAAACCCTAAACCCCTAAACCCTAAACCCCTAAACCCTAAACCCCTAAACCCTAAACCCTAAATCCTAGCTCGTTTCCAGATCTTTCAGGCCCAAAACCCAGCAAAGCCTTGAAACCCAAGCCCGAAGCCTAGAGCGGTTTCCGAGGGCTTAGGGGTTTGATGTTGTACCGACGGTTTAGGGGTTTAGGGTTTAGGGTTTAGGGTCATTCCTAGGAACAGTGCAAGAAATGGCTGAAATATTCCATGGCTGTAGCAAAGCTTGCAAGACCTGGGGGGGGGAATGCTGTGTAGTACATTGTCCTGGCACAGCTTCAATGGGCCAAGAAGCGAAGCCGTAAGCTCAGAACACTACTCTGTACTGTAGTAGACCCGCATGAACACTATAGTCATAGTCTTTTGGGCTGAACTTCTTACCTGAAACTGCATTATAGTGTGGCAGCGTTATATAGTGCCACTGTAACCTGTCGGCTCGAGGCTGTAATAGTTAGCCATGTTGGTCCGTAGGTTTGTTCGTTTATATTTCTATTGTGGTATACAATATGGGAGTTTCCGAAAATAGGGATACCTTATTTTGGGGGCCTCATAATAAGGATCCCACTATTTAGGGTACTACATTAGGGTCCCCTATTTTCGGAAACTCCCATATCACCGACTCCCAGGCGAGCTGGCAAACACCATGAGCATCTTCCGGGACGGAGTACGTATCTCGGAGCCGTACCTGCTCTGAAAAGTCTGTTTCGGATCTTTTTCTTGGGGGTTTAGGGTTTAGGGTTTTTAGTTTATAGGGGTTTAGGGGTTTTAGGGTTTAGGGGTTAGGGGTTTTAGGGGTTTAGGGTTTAGGGGTTTTAAGGGTTTAGGGTTAAGGGGTTTAGGGTTTAGGGGTTTTAGGTTTTAGGGTTTAGGGGTTAGGGGTTAGGGTTTAGGGTTTAGGGGCTGAGGGGGTTTAGGTTAGGGTGTTGGGTTTTGATACCTGCTCTGAAACTAGGACCCAGAGTCAGAGTAGGCCCTTATTCCCTTTTTAGGGCTTAGCTTCCCATCTTAAGCCCGTTTAAATCAAAAAGGGCACCCTTTTTGTTTCTAGGTTACTCTCAGGTCTAGGAAAAGTCTGCAGATCCATGGGGAAGGGGGGGAGGGGGTGGGACGTGTTTCAGGGTTGGGGGTTAGGGTTTAAGATTTTGGCAGGGTTGATTGTTGTCTTTGTCCAGGGTTTTAGGGTTTCTGGATTTAAAACACCTAACTACTCATTGACTCACTCACTCAGATTTGGGGTTTAGGGTAGGAAATCACACTGTAAGGTTTGGTGATCGATAGGCATATGCAGCCCTTGCGTGCAGCTAAAGCCAAGCCTTAAACCGAGCTGGTAGCTGCAGCTTATAGGGCGTAGGATTTAGGGAAGTTGTGGATTCATGACGAGGCGCTCCGAGTGCAAGGTGGGCTTGCAACCCATTTTCAACGTGATTTGAGATTTAGGGTTTAAGGCGCCCGGGTCTCGGGTGTTCGCATCCAGACGTTGGGAGTTCTGGTTTCAGGCTTTCGATTTTGAATGGGAATCGAGATCGAAGTTGATGGGTTCAGGGTTTGTTTTAGTCACTGTTTTTGTTAGGGTTTGGTTTAGTCACTGTTTTTGATTGGGTTTGGTTTAGTCACTGTTCTTGTTGTTTTTGAGGGCGGGGGTTGGGTTCAAGGGTCTGTGGCTGAGTCAGTTCAGTCCGCACAAGGCAGCCAATTCCGGAGTCCATGCGTAACAAGACTCTCTTTCCGCACATCAGCTGCTTGGCAGTCTTCAGCTGCGCCAAGTATTCGGATAATTTTGCCCATGGCGCTTGAAGCTTGAACTATCAATCCCGGTTACATAGGGTATGTATGTATGAATGTAGATATGTGTGTATGTAGACATGTTTAGTTAGTGGTCTGCTTGTGTAAATCTGCACAGACATACGCACCCATGGGGGAGGTATAGATAGAATCACATGACATGATTGTAATATGTTCATGTAATATGTTCAAAGGTGACAAAGATGCATACATATGTAGAGCCATACTGAACGGCAAGAGCAGGTGTGGTCCTTAGCACCCTAAGTCTACCCACCCCGAATACCTACGTAGACTGCGTTGAGGGGGGATGGCCGCTGCCAAGCAGGGTCCTCGTACAATCCACGGGTTTGGGGGTTAGGGTTTAGGGTGAACGTGTAGGAGTTCAGGGCTTCGGGATTATAGGGTTTATTGGGGACCATTGAAGGGATGAGCTCCTTCATTGTTTCTTCCTAGTCGAAGGTGGAAAGGCCTTGACTACTGCAACATGTCAATGTAAAGCATGCATGCTTCTGAGCCCGGTCCATCCCTCACTCACGGAAGAACCCTTCGAGTACAGATTAAGCAGGACGTTGCTGTATGTTGGCAATGTGCTTGGGCATGCTTTCCGTCATCAGCATACAGATGGTTTGGGACCACTGGCCTAGGGCGTGTGTGTGTGTGTGTGTCTGTGTGTGTGTGTGTGTGTGTGTTTGTGTGGGTGTGTGTGTGTGTGTGTTTGTCTCTGGGTCTGTCTGTCAGTCCGTGTGTGTACGTGTTTGAGCCAAGCATGAAAGGTCAGATAAGCTTAAGAAGACTTCGTTGCTCGCATAGCCGCATAGCCAGTATAAATTCAGGCGGGCAACTGGCTCCTTTCAAGGAGTTCTTTGGCAGTAAGGACCCTCATCTGGAACAACTCTGCCTATCAGCAGCAATGGCCTGCAAGTCTGCCCCCCAAAGCCTGCCCTGGTTTAGGGGTGGAGGGCCTGGACCGCTGAGCCCTAAACCCCTAACCTTAGCCCCTGAAGCCCAAGCGCCCTAGACCCCCAAAGCAAACAAGGTTATCGAAATGTTTCTCTTCAGATCAACATGGGACCGGATCTGCTCAAGCCGCTTCCGCAACTCGCCGGGTAAAGCAAAGAGGCCTCTTGAAGCGCTTAGTAGAGGGGCCGGAAAGCTTCGTTTCGTGACAACCCCCTTTTCAAGTTTCCATGTAACCACGATACACCCGAAAGCCCTGTAATCGCCCCCCTAAACCCCAAAGCCCAAGAACCCTAAAGAGGCCACCCATATTCAGAAACAGGCCTCAGGCTCTTGGGATGGTTATAGGCCAAGAGGATTTCAAAAGCCGGGAGGTCATAGCGCCGCGGGGTTCCCTGGTATCCTAGGGGAGCTAGGGTAACCATAGAGATTATACACAGGCATGTCAGTAGATCAGAAAGGTTACCAGTTAGGGTGCAAAGGGCATTTACGGTTTAGGAAGGTCCTTGCATCATTGTTTGCTGGTCGTCTCGGGCCATTAACATCCTTCCCGGTGCAAAACTTACAGCTGCACACATTGGCAGCGAAGTTGAGATGCCAGACCGCGAATCCTAAAACTTTGAAGCCCTCAAATTGCTGCATCATTCTGACCCTAAACCCCGGTTCAGGGTTTAGAACTTGGGAAGTGGGGGTTGAACACCATTGGTCCAACTCATCGGTTGAGGCAAACGATGTTACCATGGCCAAGAGGAAGATGAGGGACGAGCGATCCTGAAACAAAGAGATCGATGACGTGGGAATGCCGTGGTCAGGAGTTAACTCCAAGGCCCTATGTGTATCCTTTATCCGAGCATGACGCGCGAAGCCCTCGTGTGCGATCCCCAAGTGCGAGAACCTTCCAGTATTATGAACTGATCGGAAGATAACCACATCCTGACAAAGAAATGAAAATGAGCCCAGGTGAAACTTTGGCAGTCAGGTCGTGGGGTTTATGAGCTTGGACCGGCCCACCCAGGCCTACACCTTTAACTACGGGTTTGGAGGGGGAGAGCGCAGGCTAGCCGAGTGGCGGCACTGCATCTCCCATCGGTCCGGCAGCAACGAAGTAAGTCCGCAGCCGTCTTGGCCTGATCAGGGAGCCGTTCCCGTTTTGGGGCAGGCAGTTCACGTGTGAAAAGAAAATCAAGTGGCTGTCATTTGCAGCAACCTCTCGCGTAAGTCTTCCCCCGTTCCATTGCTCAAGAGAATTGTCCGAAGCAGCTGGCCAGTCATTTGCGGCCTCGTCAGAGCCGGTCGTGATAGAAGGCCTTTTCTGGTTTGCCGGCTGCCCAAGAAGAACTCCAGGTTGCGCAATTTGTGGTGGCGTTGGCTCGGCCACAAATCACACTTTGTAGCTCGCTTGATCACTTGCACCGCAGTAACCAACATGACCACACTTTCTCACAAAATGACAGGCTGCATGATCCCCTCAGCCGACAAAGGGTCGCACCAAGCATGTTGGGACTTTATGCGTTCCGGTGAAAGGCGACCCGTACAAGCCGCGAAATCCAGCAACAATTCGAGAAACGTGATTCCAGAATGTGCATGGAGCACCGGCGGTGCTGAGGGCCAGCGGAGCTCTGTTGCCCATGTCGCCAGCGCTTCCAGAAACCATGGCGGCCACCCAGTCTCGGTAGCAGCGAAGGCCTGAGGAAGGCCTACACCCTAGGTAGGCTTTTGGGACATTTTACATTTCCCCCTATTGGGCTGAATAGGACCCTATTTACGAACATTTTTCAGAAGCTTTAAGGGGCCAACCTAGAACCCCTAAACCCTATAATCCTAAGTGTCAGCAGAGCTTCTGAGGTTCGAGTGCCGTATGCTCCAGAGTGCTGCAGCCGCTGACGTGGCAGAGGCAGTAGCCGGGCTTGTGTTGAGGTCTAGGGTTTAGGAGTGCCCGAACTTTCTTGTGTGCGGCCTGCATGAGCCCCAATTCTATGTGTGCGCATATATGTTTATGCATATACACACATGTGTATATATGTTTGTAGATAGATATGTATGTATGTATGTATGTATGTGTATATATATATATGTATACATACATGTACAGGTATATACTAAAGATAGGTATAGAAGTGTTTGCATATATAATGTATAAACATAAACACACATATACATATACATATATATATATATATATATATATAGATATTTTGTTTTTCTAATAGAGCCTCGCCCTTGGCGAGGCAAAGGACCCGGGGAAGAGCGGCCGCTGTGAGGTTCTGGTGCCCGCAGCCCGGGCTACAAAGCTTGGCTTCTGAGGTTTAGTTTTTTAAGGTTTGGGATTTAGGGTTTTTTTGTTTTGGTTTAGGGGTTTCGGGTTTTCGGGGGGTTTAGGGTTTCGGAGTTTGGGGTTTGAGGGTTATAGGGTTTTGGGGTTTAGGGTTTAGGGCGCCCCTAAGACGCTAAGGCTTTCCTGCAATGGTCTAGGACCTATAGAGTAGGCCCGTGAATCCTTTTTCTAGAGTTCAGGTGCCCTTATAAGCCCCTTTAAACCAAAAAGGGCACCCTTTTTATTCCTAGGTTACTCTTGGGTCTAGTGGTCGGTTGCTCTCGCAAATGCCTCGTTGGATCCCAAGACTCCTCTCAGCCCCAATCTGGACCCCAAAGAACCTACCTACCTACCTTTTTAAGGACTTATATAAGGAAATCATAATAAGGATCCTTAAAAAGGGTAGGTTATTCAGGGCGAAGGAAGCTCTAAGACTACCCTCAGAATTTTTGAACCTTCATCCTTTAGACCCAAATGGTAGTTTCCGAAAATTGGGGGTACCTAATGTTGGGGTCCTTTTAATAAGGATCCTACTATTATTCAGGATACTGTATTAGGGTCCACCATTTTCGGAAACCCCCAATCTTAAAGCCGACTCCTCCAACCCGGAAGTTCATACTCTGATCCCTTTAAAGGGGTCTCTAAGGGCTACTACAAGGGCCATTTTAAGGGTACTAAAATACGGGGGCCTTATGATTAGAATGGGGCTTTCGGGGTAGCTCTGAAGCTAAGACCGGTAGAACCTTACTCAAGGTGGGGGTTCCGGATGAGGGCACTTTCGAGTGGCTCGATGACTACTTGACAAAGCACCCGAGTTCCTTGGCACTTAGCAAGGCAAGCTATGAGTCTGCAGGGGTTTAGAGTTTCGGGGGAAGCGGGGCTTTTTCGGAGGCTTCTTGGCGGCAGCGGTGGGGTCCTCGGCTTGGGATTAGGGTTTAGGGTTGTGGGTTTTAGAATTCAGGGGTTGGGGCTTTGGAAATTCTATCTTTCTTCAGTTGGCCTCGAGAAGTGGATCGTGCGGAGCTGGAGTCCTAGAAATCACCAGCAGGGCGCAACGTGACGCTGAGAAGTTTTCAGCTACCTCAACAAAGCAAATTGAGGCACGGTGGGTTATACCTTGTACATCATCCCGATAGACACCTTCCCAAACCCTAAACCCCTAAACCCCCACCCCACACAACCAAGCAAATAGCTTCGGTCACAAGCACAGACGCACAAATGCACCAAGAAGTACCTTGATGTTCACATCCGCAGGCAAGTCATCTAGCAGATCTAGCATCTCATTCATGTAGTACATCGCTCTGACCGCTCCTAATACATGATTCAGAATACGTGTATAGGCATGCTTACACCGGCATATAAACGTAAAGTTGCATGCACGCGGACATTCGCGCACACACACAAGCACGTGTGTGTGCGCATAGATGTAACTTCCGCATGTACCACGTACATGCGCACTCAGACCTACGACTGAAAATGCAAAGTTGCACTTCTCGTGACGCAAATTCTGAGTCAGAACAGCTCGTGTAGGGCACTCATCCGTCCGCCGCAAAGGCCTGGTACTGTGTGGCTTTCTCCATGTGAAGCCTGCCAAAGTGGAACGTACAACAATCCTCGATCGCGAGCAAACCTTCCAACTACCATGGTCCACATCGTGAGCTGTTTGTCGGCGCATCTCTTTATCAAGCTTTATCTTGCGCTCACATCTTGAGATATTGCTCAGGCCGTTTACCCCGCAGGATGTGGGAGGAGTCAAATTAGAGGAATCGAATCATCTCCCTCCCTCCCTCCCTCCCTCCCTCCCTCCCTCTCTCTCTCTCTCTCTCTCTCTCTCTCTCTCTCTCTCTCTCTCTCTCTCTCCCTCTCTCTCTCTCCCTCTCTCCCTCTCCCTCTCTGTGTGTATATTTACATGCATACATGCATACAGACGGACGGATGGACATACATGCATGAGGCTCGAGCGTTTGATGTTCTAAACGACATTCGGGAAGGGAAGCCGAAGGCTAAAGGATGAAGATCCCATCCCACTTCAGCTCGCAGCCGCAGCACGGGAAATTCCAAGGCTTTGTGGAGCTCAGCGACAGAAAAATTCAAGACTGGGCGGCCAGCAGCAGCACAGCTTCCAAGAGATTCAGGGTTGAAGGATTTAGTGTTTGGGGCCTAGGCTTTTCGGAGAGCCGGGTCGTGAGCCTGTACCTATAGTCTCCATTGTAGTTCCTTTTCCCAAAATCTCTATTATGGGATCCTAACCATAAAACTGGATAACCAAAAAAATGAACTACAATGGAGACTATAGGTAGTTAGTTTAATCGACCCAGAGGTCCCCGACATGCTCCGAGTCCGGGTACCACCTCATCACTGAAACAAGTCTTCAGGATGGTGTTTAAGGCCACCCTACACCCCAAACCCTCCCTAAACCCAAAACCCTCCCTAAACCCTAAACCCTCCCTAAACCCTAAACTCTCCCTAAACCCTAAACCTTCCCTAAACCTCCCTAAATCCTAAACTCAAAGCCCCAAACCCTTAACCGTGGCACTCCTTTCGCTCCTCAGGTGGGCTTCCGCGACCGCGCATTATGGGCGGAGCCTGCAACGATAAGCCTCATGTCCCGTCTTCGGTGGTTTAGGGTGTGCGGTTTAGGGTTTACAGTTTAGGGTGTAGGGTTTAGGGTGTAGGGGTTTGGGGTGTAGGGTTCAGGGTGTAGGGTTTAAGGTGTAGGCTTTAGGGTTTAACGTTCAAGTAAAGTGGTGCGAATGAAGTGCTTCTCGATTCCTCGGCCTCAACACTGAGGATTCTTGTCAGAGAGGGAGGGGCCTTACATGTAACATGAGCCTCCGCATCTGAAGTAGGTTAGTTCCGTGAAGTTGGGATATCCTCCGAGCTTTGGTACTCTGGAGTTTAGGATTTCATCGGAGTGCACCCCTCTCAAGAGCCGCTGTTTGCATTCGACGGTTGTCTCTTAGGGGTGAGGTAAGAGCTTGTCGACGAGCAGCTATCATGGTCAAGGTATGTTGCAATAATTTGGGGGCCTAAACAATTACCTATACTAGTGTGTGGGTTCCTTATTGAGAGTTTAAGTATAATGCTCCAAAACCCTATTCTAAGAATTCAGGCCCCTTATAGGGTTTAGGGTTGAGGGTTTTAGGGTTCCAAAACCCTACTCTAAAGATTCAGTTGTAGGCGTGCTTCTGATGGCCTTCCGTCCCAGCGAAGGCCAAGCTTTGCCTACAACTTGCCGACCATGGAAGATGGCAGCATCCAGCGTGTGATCAAGGCATTGTGGGTTCCCCTAGGGCTCCAGTTACCTAAATAGTAGGTTACCACCCATATTATGTGGTAACCTACGATTCAAGTACCTGGAGCCTTAGGTTTCCTTTATATAAGATTATATAGGATTCGAAATCGGTTTTTAAGAGGTCGCGGAAAGGCAAAAGGGTGCACGGGGGCAAGGTTCAAGAGTTGTTTGAAAAGGGTTTTGGGTTTGATATAGGGGCGTAAATATTTGCCAATACTTTTTTTGGGGGTCCTTATTATGATTATAGTAGAACGGACCTCCAAACCCTATTCCAATATCATATTATATCATATCATATCATGTCATGTCATGTCATGTCATGTCATGTCATATCGTATCACACCATATCATATCATATCATATCATATCGTGTCATGTCATGTCATGTCATATCATATCATGTCTTATCATAGCATATCATATCATATCATATCATATCATATCATAACACATCATATCATATCATATCATATCTATAGATAGCTATATATATATATATATATATATATATATATATATATGTATATATATATATATATATATATATATATATATATATTCAGGCCCCTATATTACCGTAATTTTCAGTGTGGGAGCCATCGCTCGCGATATAGGCCTTGGTGCCCCTGCGTTGTTCGGGTCCCAAGGTATGAGATCCCCGGTGTATAGCGTTTTGGGGTAGGATTTGATTTTCATGGTTGGGCTTCGGGCTTTTGGTCTTTGGTTTAGGGTTTTAGGGCTTAGGGGTTTAGGGTTTAGGGTGCGGAGTTCCAGATTTGTCAGTTGAGTTCGGGTCTAGGAGTCTTTGGCGAAGCAGTTGACTCCGTGCTCATTCGCGAAATCTAGAGGCAATACAGCCACAGCTGCACCCGCGGGTAAGTGTGTGTGCGAGTATACCATCTTCAGGTCGTGAAGCCAGGATCACCCTTTTTTTTGGGGGGGGGGGGTGGGGGGTACTGGGCGCTGTTGACGCACTTGGAGGAGCTTCACAGAGGTTCTGTCAGGAGCTTTGGCAGATCAAGAAGCTCCGGGGGATCCCGGGAAAAGACCCAAGTACATACCTTAACCTACCAAGCCCTATTTTTTGTAGGTTCTTATGATAAACCCGAATATGGAATTTATAGGGACCCTACAAAATTCAAAAAGTAGGTTCTTGTAGGTTAAGGTAGGGATGCTACCCTTACCCCCTGCCCATTGGCACCCCACGTCTTATTGTCTCGGGGCCATCAAAAGTGTTGTGTCGGCGAGCAATCCTACCGGAAACCGATCGCTGGAGCTGGGTATCCATAGTCTTCGGAGCTCTTATTTGCATCGCATGTCTGTCGCTCGCAGACACCGGCGTCTTGAAGCCAGGCGATGACACCAATGGTCCCGCGGAACTACCTGATCATGGAGGTGCAGGGGCATGCAATTCATCCATGTGCCCACCTCTCTCACTGGATCTTGCCCTGAATCCTTAACCCCAAAGTCGTCACCGAGCTTAGGATGCAGGGTGAGCAGGTTTCTCGTGACTGAAGCTGGAGCTCGCAGTGGGCCCTGTTTGCCTTTGTGTGGTCTTGGGTTCCTTATAAAACTGCCCCACACCAGAAAGGGCAACCCTCGTCATTCCTAGATTTGTCCTAGCTGCCTTGCCATGTTTAGAAGAGGCTCAGGTTCCTTCGGCGAGATGAACGGTATGCTTGGTGGGTTAGGATTCCCAGGCTGTTCGGTGGTACACATTTTTTCTTTCAGGTTTGTGGGTTCCTATTATAAAACAAGAAGCCTGAATGAGTATATACTTTTTCCACGTGGGTTACTGAACAGCCTAGATTCTGAGACTTCGTATGGGTCCGGGCTTAGGAATCCTCGCGGTCGAATCAGAGGAATCCTGTCCGCTCTTGCGAGTACATGATCGACTGAATACAGGGTTCAGGGGTTTAGGGTTTCAAGGTTTAGGGTTTAGAGCTCTGCATGAAGAACTGCAGGTCAAGTCCAACCTGGTCAAGGAGGAGCTTTGAGATTTGAGGTTTCGGGGTTCAGGACCCTAAGGAACCCCAAACTAGTCTAGACTCTACCCCAGATAGTACGATGCGTGATATATGGGAAGCGCTCAAAGAAGCGACTTCTGATTGTAAGGAATCCCCATTAGACTTGTTCAGGAGGCGGTTGTTGTTGCAGGCTTAGCACGTTTGGGGGGTTCTGATGTTTCAATTTATGATTCGCCAAAACTACCTAGCCGCAGAACATGTGTTTCTGTTTTTGGCTACCTGGTATGTGTAACGCGATGCTAGGGATATAAGTGGTTACAAGCAGGGTTTCATAATCATTCCGACCTCTACACATTACCGTTGTATGTTGGTTTCTTGAGCTGCAGCGGTTGGGTTCAGCTACGGATTTTGCGGCTTGAGTTGTGGAGCCAGGCACGAACTTCACAGCAAGAACACATGTACATCGAATGCAATCTAGGGTTGAGGGTTTATGGATTCCCCCTTCGTAGTGATGCAAGACAACTAGTATCCGCTCAGCCCTAAACCCCTAAACCCTATACCTCAAGCCTCTAAACCCTAAACCCCTTTGCTGTTCTCCTGGCCGAATGGCCTTCCAACTGTGGATTGCAGACGGAAAAAGGAGCCCCCCCCCAAAAAAAAAAAAAAAAAATCTTTACAGCCTTCACCCTGATTCGGTGCGCTGCAGCTCTCAAGCCGCAAATCTGAATGTAAGCCGCATGTCAGCTTCTGCTCGAAGCAGGAAGGTTATAAGGGGTTTGACTTTACCTTAACCCTGAACAACCTACGTTTTTTGGGTTCCTTATTGTGATTTGTTTATATATAAGTCCTTGAAAATGTATGTTCTTCGGGGTTAGGGTAGGGAAGCATGAAGATTGCTATAGGGGCCTTAATAATTGCCTATACTATTTTGGGGGTTCCTTGATAGTAGAATGGGCCCCACAACCGTATTCTAATCATTAAGGCCCTTACATTAAGGGGTTTGAGTTTAGGGTTTAGTGAGTTAGGGATTAGGGTTTAGGCGATAAGGGTGTAACGGCTTAGCCCGAAGAAACCTTACACCACTAGGGCCGGATTGGATGCCTACACTTCAGGAGCGCATGGAGATCCTTCAGCGCTACAGCAGCCCCCATTTCAAGAAGACGGTGGGCAGCTGAGCATACCGATCATATACTACACTGTGTTATAATTACTTATATTGAGTACACTATACTCTACTATACTTTACTTTTCTATACTATACTATACTTTACGATTACTTTTCTATACTATTCTATAGTAGTACTATTCTATACTACGCTATACTATGCTTTGGTATACGATACTGTACATATGAAGCATCCGGGCTTCTGGCCTTGTGAGATGAGCCTCAACTGATCGGACTTCAGGCTTTGGGAGGGCTGAATTCCTGGTTCAAGGTTCAGGATTTAGGGGTCTGTTTAGGGTTTAAGTTTTAGGGTTGAGGGGTCCGTTTAGGGTTTGGGGGTTTGTTTGGGGTTTAAGGTTCAGGATTCAGGGGTCTGTTTAGGGTTTAAGGTTCAGGATTTAGGGGTGTTGTTTAGGGTTTAAGGTTTAGGGTTTATGGGTTATAAGGTTTAGGGTTTAGGGGTTTAGAGTTTGGGGGGTGCAGGGCTTCGGCTTGGGATGCAGTTGATATGCTGATGTTGCTTGATGTAGGTTCCGTGGAGGTTGCAGGATTTCGGCAATAGGCCCTCTATGATTCACACATTGCAGCCAGTATAGCAGCTGTCACAGTAGTACTCGTCGTCCCCCCGTATCGTCATCGTTGGCGTCCACGTGCTATACAACACAGACGACCTGGGACAATCGGTTTTACTCCCTGTCGACGCACATATGGTATACAGAGTTGCGAGCGATGGGCCCAAAGCCACAAACCCAAAACACCCAGTGAGAAAGCCAGAAAGAACCTGAAAATTACCATGCCCAAGGCCCAAACCCTCAGCCTCTTATATGGGTAGTAGTCAAAATTATGGTCCCTTTCTTTGGGTACCCTAAATTATTAGGTGCCGTATTATCTTAAGGACCGAAACAGGGACCATAATTTCAACAACCACCCATAGAGAAAAAGGGACCCTAAACCCTAAACCCTAGAGAAGGCTCCAACCCCACCTCTCAGGCCCTTGTGGTCATGGGAGAGCCCAGCGAGGCCGGTTGATGATTTCTTAGGGGTACTTAGACATAATCTTTAATTTTTGGTTATTATAATCCCTAAAACAGCGAAAATACCAATTTTTTTCGGGTTGTAAGTTCAGTACAGGATTTTCAGGTAAGGGATGAAGCGCCGCACATGTAAGCTTTATCTGGCAGCTTCCAAAAAGTAGGGGTACCCTGTTTTGGGCTCCTACTATTTAGGGTACTATACTAGGGTCCCCTATTTTCGGGGACTCCCATCTCTTGAAACCTCCACCAATCGAAGAGAGACACCAGCCCAGCTTCTGATGCTAGGAGTTCAAGCAGAAGACGTGGAACCGAATTCTGGCGGAGAAGCAGTCAAAGGCATGTTACGGTTCTCAAGATGCGGATGCACGTTCAATTTGGGCTCGGGGCAGATTCTACTCAGTGGAATTCGTTGGTTTAGTGCTCCTGGCTGACGTGTTTTGAACAGTGGGCACGTGTTTGGTTGGCTGGACCTCAGGGTCTGGGAGTTTGGGATTTATAGTTGGGGGTCCAGGGTTTAGGGTTTACTTGTTCTATGCCGGAGATCCTACTATCTAACTCAAATTTGCCTCGGCAGTTTGGAGCTCCAACGCTGGGACCATCAAAAGCGGAAATCCAGATAGCCATGTGCAGAATCGTTTTCATATTCTTGGAGGAGCCGTGGGGCCCAGTGACCCTGTCAGAGTGTAAAGAATGATAATTAGGGTTTAGGGTTTAGGGTTTAGGGATAATGATACAAAGGAAGAAGATAGAACTGATAGAACACGATCGGGTGTGACATCCAGTGATATCTCCCCGAAAGACCGAAACCTCATTCCCCCCTTCTTGAATTCCTCCCAAAAGCTCTTAACACCGACAAGCCATCCAGAGCTCCGAAAATCTCAATTCCCACAAGGCGCCAAAACCTGAACCCCCCCCTCCAAAACGCCCCAAAACCTAAACATCTACACGAACCTCCTAAACTTGGCCTAAACCTCAAACCCGAGACCGCGAAGAGGTGGATGCAGAGTGGAAAGCGAAGAAAGCAGCCAGTCAGAGAGCGCGTGAGCTCCAGGACGCGCAGTTGGACAGTAGGTTTAGTTCAGGATTTAGGTGTAGGTGGATGAATGCTTAATTTGATTAAAGTGTTCAAGGCTTGCATAGGGTTCTGTGTTTCTTAGGGTTCTCTAAGTTAAACTGTCTTTTACAGCATACCCCAGAGCTCTTCTAGTTGGCCTCGGCGCACTTCTCGTTCTTCTGGCTCGGGTATCTTACTGCTTGACTTCACCGGACTTTGCCGACTCAACAAGAGTACCTGATGCGGCAGCTTACCTTTGGTTAGTAAGGAATGGAAGAATGGTAGTCATAGTAGTCATAGTTGTACCCCGTTCCTCAATTCGCTACTACCCAAAGGTAAGGTAAAGCGTCTTTGGAGGGAATGGTCTCAAACCCTAAACCCTATACCCTAAACCCCAAACCCTAAATCCTAAACCCCAAACCCTAAACCCTATGCCCTAAACCCTAAACCCTAAGAGACTAAGGTTCTCATGTCACTGGATGCTCAAGCTCTCAACTACCTGGACCCCCTTTGGAGGATGCAAAAAGTAGATAAAGTAGATCCCTTAATGGGGGGCCCTATACTACTACGGGTACTTTGTAGGAACTCCCAGTAAGGGATCTACTTTCTGGATCCTCCCGGGGGTCTGAACTGAGATACAAGCATGCTCTAGCCGTCAAAAAACCCTAAGCCCTAAACTGCCACCGAAGAACGGAGCAAGAACCCGGCAGCCATTCCTACTTATTGCGCTCGCCAAATTTCCAAATCTAATCAAACTGTTGAAACCAGCAGATGAAACGGACTAGAACACACGCACATATGATTTAGCCATGATGGCATCCGCCACTGACTGTCTAGGTAGCGGAAAGGAACACCCATATGGACATCTACGATCAGCCAGCAACTTGGTCCCATGGTCCCCTACGATATTCACTGGAGCCTAGATTCCAGATATGCTTGTCTACATTATAAAAGGCACTAGCACTCCAGATTAAATACTCATCGCACATGGGGTTCCCTTGAGCGGCCTTTGCCGAGTAAGTTCATCGGGTTTAGGGTTGAGGGTGGTTTACGGTTTAGTGTATGTCAGGACTATGAACTTCGTGTGCGAAGGGTGCCTACGGCCCTGCACCAGAGGGCCTCCCATCGTCCGACCCATCCGGTCAGAATGACCCCAAACCCCAAGCTTTAAATTCTATACCCTAAGCCGTAACTCCCAAACCTCTAAGCTCTAAGCCCTTTTCGGCCCTAAATCCCAAACCTCGAAGCTCTAAGCCGTATGAAGCCCTAAACCCCCAGCACAACTCGGGGAAGGAGCTGCGGAAAAAGGCCGAAGAACAGAGGAGGTCGGGCTCCAAGATTCAGTCATTTCTGAAGACTGTCTGGTTCTTAGTAAGGAATGGGGGAATGGGTTATTGGGACTACAACAGGGACTTTATGCGGGACGATCTTAGGGATCCATTCCCCCATTCCCTGCTACTTGGAGGCCCTTTTGACTTTGTAAGTCTACTTAGTATCCCCTAGAACCCCTATTATAATCCCCATAACTTACCTTACTAACCCTACTTACTAAGTCAAAAGGGCCTCCAAGTAAGAACCAGACAGAAGATGGTGTTCCCGGTCAAGAGGACTGGTCTGGGGTGTGAGGGTCTTAGGATGTTCCAGGGCTTCATGTGGGAGTTTCCGAAAATAGAGGACCCTGATATAGTACCCTAAATAGTAGGATCCTCATTATAAGGGCCCCAAGCTAAGGTACCCCTAATTTTCGGAAACTCCCATGTAGTGGTTTTGTAGAGGTTCCTGCAGTTTTACGGTTGCGGGGGTTTAGGGCGTAATCTACCTGTCAACAACCCACATTGCCCCAAAGACCCTTTTGCAGCTTTCCAGTGGGAGAAACCTCGATTCGAGACTTTCCACAGCTTTATTTGTTTTTGGTTTTGGGTGTTGGGGTCTGGGGGTGGCTGCCGAAGATTGGACTGGTTTATTCCGGTTTACTTAGGTTTTGGGGGAGTTCGGGCAGAGGCTTGCTTACGCCTTCGAACGCTATAGCCCCGAAACAGCATGCCACTCTTCCGACAAACGGTTCGGGCCAGGATCTGTGTTTGTGCTTGATTTTGGGTTGAGGGCTTCAGGGTTTACCGTAAGTACAGGAGGTCGATTTTTCACGGCTGCTTCTGTGGTGCAGAGTGCAGGCTGCTGCGGGTAAGGTTTGACGGTGAAGTGTAATATCTAAGAATTGTTAATAATTATTATCTATACTATTTTAGAGGGTTCCTTAGTATAGTTATAGTCTAACGGTCCCCAAAATCCTATTCTAATTATTAAGGCCCTTATACTATGGCTTTCGGGTGAAGTGTATGCTGCTTTGCGCTTCAGGTGAGCAACGTTTCGGGCTGCGGATCTAGCCTTGATTTCGAATCTTACCAAGCGCCCAGCCAAAAGCCTCACACGCAGCTGAGGAAGAAGCTGGAAGAAGCCCGGAAGAAGGAGGAAGAGGCCTCTTTTAGAGAGCTGAAAATTGAAAGGAAGCTACACCCTGCACGCTGACCAGATGAAACATGCTTCGTTTAGGTGCCCATTATCTTTATGAGCCATACAGTTCTGGAAGTTGACTTGGTTCATGAACTGCATCATGAAACAGGTATTAGAAGCTACATAAACACGCAATGAATGCAGAATGTCAGATAGATCCCCAGTGGTCTCACAATGAGCAGCAATGTTCCGCAGGGCTCTCCAGCGCACGTACAGTCTAGAATGCCCTCACCACCCCCCTTCCCCTGCATCTCCAAAAGCAAGCGCTCTAGTGCTTCAGGCTTCTACCTTAAGGACGAAATGAAGCTTAAAAGGGTTTAAGGTTCATATACCATATAGGGATTCATAGTATATGGGTATAGGGCCCCCGCTTTTAAGGGTCATTTGGTCCTCCAGGTATAAGAGCATCTCAGTCGCAGGGTTCATATGGTTCAGGGTGGCAAGACTTCTAAGTTCCCTCTGCAAAACTAGAGCTTTTTGGGAAGACATTGGGAACGCGTAGTCGCTGCTGAGGTGTGCATTAGATCATGTTCAGTTCCTCGTGCTCTTAAGGGCAACGGATGCACACCGCTGTTGTGAAAATGCTGGTTGCTGTTCGGGAACAAGTGTTCTAAGCAGCAGAGACATCAGCATATAGATGTGCTGCACAACTCTTAAACCGAAGCTTACACCCTGAACCCTGAACGACTAGTAGCCCTAAACCCTAAACCCTCACACCCTGAAAACCCAAAACCGTATAAGCCCTAAACCCCTTAACCCTAAGCCCTAAATAAACTTCCCTGAATAACAGCTCGCGCCACACTGAGAGGCCCAGGGAAGCCACAGGCCCTTAAGCGTTATGCCTCAAACCAGACTCGGAAATCCCTCGAAACGTTACGACTATAACCCGAAGGGTCCAAGCAATTGCATAGTATTTCGTAGTGTATACTTTTGGGCCCCAAATGGGGGTTTCCCGAAAATAGGGGACCTTAATCTAGTACCCCAAATAGTAGGATCCTCATTATAAGGACCCCAGAATAAGGTACCCCTAATTTTCGGAAACTCCCAAATACCTACTATGTAGCTACTACAATGATCCTTGGACCCTTTTGGGCCGAGCCCCTAAAGCCTCTGAAAGTTACGACCTGTTCCTTACCTCGGGGCTTTGGTGTTCTTCAGGAAACCTTTAAGTACCGCCCAACAAAGTTACAGCTGTTTGTGGTTCAGGGCTTCAAGGTTGGTTCAGGACTCTTACGATTTAAAAACGTAAACTTAAAGTTTACGGTATAGGGGTTGGGGTTTCGGTTTAGGGTTTAAGTTTAAGGCTGTTTTAAAAGGCTTTTGCACTGCTAGTCTGATTTGACTTTATCGCTGCTGGGGGCTTTGACATTTGTTGCAATCGTCAGAATCGCTAGCTGTCCTGTATACGAGTTGCACAAAGATTCTGTAGGGTGTCTACAGTGTTCTGTAAGGGTTCTACAGGGGCTCGGTTCCAGAGGGCTTTGGAAAGTTGTAAAGGGCTTGTATGAGTATATTGCAGGCTAAGAAGGCAGAGGGCGGTGAAGATGCGGCTATGGAAGCCAAGGACGAGGACCAAGGGTTTCAAGCTTAAGGTGGGAGTTTGAACGGTCGTTAACATGGTATACACGTTAAGCCATTTATAGTACCTTTATGGTTTTACTGTCACAGATTCCGAAGCCTGTGTGTTGTAGTTGTGAAGGCCACGTAAGGGCCTTTTCATTAGGGTCGGCTTCGAGTTAAGTTGTCGGACCCGAATACAACTCAAACAGTGAGATCTTCAACCTCAACCCCACATTTCTGAAACCCAATATCCTGAAACCCTAAGCCCTAAATTCTGAAACCCCAATATCCGGAAGCTCCTAAGCTCGAAATCCTGAAGCCCCATGCCTACACCCATTAGGGCACCGCATGTCCACACAGCCTAGGTTCGATGTTTAGAGTCGCACCGGGACTGAGATCATGGTTTCATAAACCCTACTTGGAGGTTCATGGGTACTGATAAATAGGGTTATAGGTAGGGCAACTGTACTTATAACCCATATTAGGAGACTTATAGCCCTACTTATAACTGCCCCTGAACCTCCAAGTAAGGGTCCATGTACGCAAACAGTATATACTTTGGCCCCGAAGTACCTTTCTGGGGACTACTTTGAGGCCAAACTATATACTATTTGGGTATATGTACCCTTCGGGAAAAGCAAGAAGTAAGGCACTGCAACAATTGGACTTGGACTATTCAAGCAGAGTACAGTGATGGCCATGTCTGCAACTGCACACCCCAACTGCGCACCCTAACCCCGTGACAGGGAGGTCCCTTTGCAACGAGGATCTTCGGCAGGCTCGTAGCATTAGGACATCACTAGGATGCCCAGTAGTGCCCTTATTCCCTTTTGGTCCCCTAGGTTCCTTTTGAAGTTCCCCAACACCAAAAAGCGAGCCCTTGTTTATTTCTAGATTACTGGGCATCCTAGATCAGGATCTTCGGTAGGTCACGCTTTTGGCAGATGAGGGACGAAGGCCGGAAGGGGCTCTTCGTCCATGTCTCGAACCTCGCTGGCGAAGAACTCTGCTCAGTGGGAGTACCGGGGAACACGAAGAACTGTGACCTCAAGGGGGCCATCAGCCGCCAGTTAGGGCTTTATCCGTACTCCTTCAAGCTGATCACCTTGGTATCTGGGGCCACGGTGGAAGGATGCGATCTCGTCTCGTCGATATCGCAGAATGGTCGATTGGACGTGACGCTGGTGAAAATCGATGGTATTCCGACGCCGGATTCCCACGGCTACTTGCAACTACAACCCGACTGGAGCAAGTGTGCAGCACCTTCGAGCGATCAAACCCGATGTGCGACGCGGGTGCTCGCCTTGCTGGTTGCTTTGGTCGCCGTACTCTTCGTCCTCGATGGGTCCTACTGCGGTCTACTTCTGGTTTATGCAGTCTACCTCCTCGAGGCCCTGTTTCTGAACCCCACAGCACGGGGGCTTCTCCGTCTGAAGCACACAGACCGCATCATGGACTACATAGAGGAGGTGAAGGCCTGTCGTCCTATCCCAGAAGTGCAGGCACGCTGCTACCACCATGAGAGGCGGACACGAGTGGCAACAAAGCCAAACGGCGGCATCAGCACTGTAGTCTACACCAAACGAGTGGACACCGCCACATTCACCGAGCGTCTGCAAGTGCAGCGCTGGGCCGACTTGTCCGGTGAGGTCGTCGAGGGCTTGAGCTATTTTCCGCTTCTTCAAGTCCATTTCAAGCTGAAATGGCAGGCGGCGGATGACGAGACACGCAGAACTCACGAGCAGCAGCAGCATCGGCTGCGGGCCAGGGCAGCAAATGCAGAGACTGGGTCTTGTTAATTAATGTACTAACCTAAGTTACCATAATAGGGATGTGTAGTCAATACGTAATATTTTCCTTATTATGGGCACTTGAATTACAAGTCCTTAACAAGAACCCAGGATACGTCTTATGACATCACCGACAGCGTGAGACTGGTCGACCCGGCTGGGCGTTCGTTCAGGCTCTACTCGGACATGATTGGTACGACCGGAGATTCGCTTCCGTTGTGGTTGGGCTTCTGGCCTTACGTTGTGTCGAGCATCCTGGGTCTCAGCTGGCCGTACCGCTACTGGCTCGCCAAGCACGCTGTGAAAGGCGATTTCACCTTCTTCAAACGTGTCTGGTCTGCATGAGAGATCTGCATCAGCTGGAGTTTGCCGTGCAATACTTGTGCGAAGGGACATGACGGAAGCACGAGCGCAACTGAAGAGTTGGGCTCGAGCGCCTGGGAAGCCTTTTCCCGGCCTCGACTTCCTTTTCCCTAAGGGTCCAAAGGAGCCAATAAGCAGGTGTTCGGTTTCAGGATAGTAGTTATGTAGGTTAGGATTTCGGAGAGTGTATGAATATCAGGTACTTGGTCCCATGGGCTTTGTTATACCAGTGGAGCCTGGTCTTGCGTGGAGCTCTGGTTCCGGATGTTGCTGTGTATGTACAGTCTAGCGGACAGAGACAGCCAGATCGCCGCCGTTTTTTGCATCCGGTTCACAGGTGAAGCACTGCATCTCAGAGACCGCTCCAGAGAAAACTAGGGAGCGCAGATGCATCTCTTACTATATCAAAGTAGCAATGTTGCTTTTAGCAAGATGTTCGAACAATATTCATGAAGTTGAGCATGTACACAGGCACATGCTTGTTTTTTTTCTGTCTAGGCCAGGCAAAAGAGCATTGGACAGCTAGGGTTTAGGGCTCAGAGACCTTAAACATCCGTATGCCATAAACCCTGACCGCTCCTTGCCCTAAACCTTAACCCTAAAGCCTGAACCGCAGTACCCAGGGCTCCATACTTGCAGAGCCTTGCAAACTGTGTGTATATAAAGCCCTCGCAGTTCAGCTCCATGCGGTCCCTGAAATCCCTGACTCCCTGAAGCCCAAGCCCCTAAACCCTAAACGCCTAGATTGAGCCCCAATGGGATCCATGAGGAGATTAAAGAAGAAAAGCTGGACGTCAAGGAGGAGGCCTTGTACCAACAGTTGGCACCTATACCCTAAACACAAAAAGGCAAGAAGACCAAGGTACGAGCTCATTATGCTGTGTATCTTCCAGAGGGGTTCGGGTCTCAAGGAGACATGATTCATGCCTTGGTGTCCAAAACCCTAGAAGCCTTAAGCCCAAAAGCCCTAGAACCCTAAACCTGAAAACCCCACAACCCTAAAACCCAATATTCCTGAGGACCCGGCAGCCAGGGGGACTCACCCGCTTCAGCCACTGCAGAAGAAGAGGAATGTAGCCGACAACACCAAACTGGAGCAAGTTGCGGCTTACAGCACCCTAAACCTTATACCCGTCTGGCCTACTCTTTTGAAGGGACGTGGACCTCGTAGTTCTGCAGGAAGGGGGTGCATGTCAAGAGAGGCTCAGTAGAGTAGAAATGCTTTCGTCTGTGAAGTCTGGGATGCGCTCCTGGCAGCATGAGTTGGCAGCATGCTAAGAACTGTGCATTACTAGGATGCCCAGTAGTACCCTTATTCCCTTTTTGTAGTCCTAGGTTCCTTATAAAGTTACCCAATACCAAAAAGAGAGGCCTTTTTATTCTTAGGTTACTGGGTATCCTAGTTAACTTATCTTGACCTTTCTTGTACTACCACAGCAAGGCCTACCTTCGTTTCTCGTGGATCTTCCCATGAATGTATCCTTTCTTGGCTTGTCTCCTGCACTTACCATGGGCAGCCTTTCCTTGCCCGTGCTTGCCTTGCGGCTCCTTTCTTACCCTGAAGCCATATTGAGGTCTCGCGAACCTTATGTCAAAACATCTCGCCCTCGTATCAAATCTGCACTGGTATAGCATCTGCCCAGTTGTAGGTCAAAAGAAGCGTGTACTGAGAGCCGTTTCTGTCAACTTTAACCTTAAGGGTCAAATAGCCCGAAAGCCTTATCTAGTTCACATATGGGTGGTTGTCAAAATTATGGTCCCTACGGCACCTATTATTTCGGGTCCCCAAAAGGGACCCTAATTTTGACAACCACACACATATGTAAACGAAGGATGAAAAGGAAGATGATGGGCTTGGAGACGAGCCACCCAAAGCAGAGCTGACCGATGAGGCACGTCCACGGCTCTGACACCCCTTGGGAGTCAGGGCTTAATGGGAACTCCAGAAAGTTGGAATATGGATTAATGGTAGGATCCCCTATAATTTACCTTAAAGGGGTTACGATAAGGATATTCCAACTTTCTGGCTTCTACTGTAGGGTTTTGGGAGTTGGGCTTTGGAAATGTTCGGCCTGGCTCTAAGCCCGAAAGCTTAAACCCAAACTTCTATGACGGCAGAAGCTTGTAAAGGTTGAGGAGAATATACATATATATATATATATATATATATGCATATGCATTTCTATATACAGTATACATATATATATATATATATGATATAACATCTGTATATATATATATATATATTTATGTATGGATGGCACGAGGGTTCAGATGTCGACATCGGTTCCTGTTTCGGAGTTCCCCTCAGGACTTTCGGTTCGAGATGTGGATCTGGAAAATCGAGATGGCGGCTATCTTCTATTGCTGCTGCTACTACTAGTACTGCTGCTGCTGCTCCCACCACTTCGACGACTTCTACTACAGGTGCGTACAGGCGCAAGCATACAAAATTGCGCGCACATTCGTACGAACATCCAAGCCAAGTCTGGCAACGGGGCTTCAATCCTATGGGCCACAATACCCACATAAGCCCTAATGACATCCAAATCCCTGGGTGCGAAGCCACAAGTACGCCCAAGTCAAGACTTCATGACTTCATATGCCCAGGAGAAGAAGAAGTACTTCCGCAACAGGCATGCTGAGCCTGTCACGGTGTTCGTGTCAGCATCTGCCAGTTTGGGATCGTACAGTGATGCAAGGGATGTTCGAAGGCATGAACCCTGGTGGTGAAGCCTGAACGGACATGGCCTCAATCCCGAAGCTCGAAGATTCTGGAGGACCAAATGACCCTTAAAAGTGGGGGCCCTATACCCATATACTATGAATCCCTATATGGTATATGAACCTTAAACCCTTTTAAGCTTCATTTCGTCCTTAAGGATTCTCATCTTGACGCCAGACTCTAAGGTTTCAGTCATCGCGTGGGTTTGAGGATGGGATCGTAAACTCCGTGCAAACTCTATAGAAGCCCAAAAGTTGGAAACCCAATAGCCTCAGTCCTCAAGAGCAATGTGTAGGGAATCCCAGCGCTAATTTGTCCTTTCTCAGGTTTCCAACTTTTTGGGGTTTTCTGTAAGCCCCAATTAAACTAGAATTCAAACAACATCCTAAACATCCTTATGCCTCTGACCTACCCCTCCCCCCGGTCAACCCAAAAAAAGATCACACCAACACCTTGAGGCGCGAAAACTCAGACCCCTTGCCACCCAGGCGATGCATGGTTGATTTCTATTTTGCGCGTGTGTAAAGATGTCGGGTTACAGGGTCGCATACGGCCTGGGGATGTCATAGCATCTTATGAAGCTGTTCACGTCCCCTGTGCGCTTGAACCTTCGCATCAACGATTTTTGGGGGGGCCTTCGGTTCAATTCGCAATCCAACAGGGTTTACCAAAGACACACGTCAAAGCAGTTCGAGGCCCATGCGTATGGATGTGTGGGTGGGCGGGGCTGTGGGGGGCCATGGGCTTGAGTTTGCAGGCAGGGTATTCCGGACTTGGCCCCCACCACGCTGCGGAAGTTCCTGCAGCAGCTTCTCGGCTACTGTCAGTTTTTGGGGGTGGTTCTGGAGAAACGATACCTTTATGGGGATCATCCCTGTGCTGGGTCAGATTCGAAGGATGACTGTGGAGAACTGTCCTCACCATCCGCCTCGTCAATGTAGAAATCACCAGTGCCTTCAGTATATTACAGATATTCCTTCGCGAAAGAACGCTTGCTTAACCCCGGACAATGCCGACAATCAAGGGAAGCCTTCAAGACGTCTGAACAGTCGTCACAAGACGGAGAATCTCTCAGCTTTGCGCTCTCTTGAGTCCAAAACGAGACATGCCCGACAAGCACGGCTTCTCCCAGATGACCCTCAGCCTTGAACTAGCCTGCAGTGTCAAAGCGGTATTCCGTGAAGCTCACTCGCACAGCGCGGCATGTGCTGTTTTTGTTCTGAAGCTGAGTTCAACATGGGGCCCGAGTAGTAATCGTGTCCCCATATACACTCAATACTGTGAAACTATATCAGAACATAACGCTGCTCTGATCGGTAAGTTCCTTATACTGTACTGCATTTAAACTTGAGGCCAGAGTGCAGAGTCAGAGCCTGCCAAAGTAAACTCAACAGCCCAAGTGTCCCTTAAAATGCCGTGTTCTTGCTGACGTGACATGCCTCTGCTTCGCAGAAGCTCAGCAACTTGACAAGGGAGCCTTCCCTTAAAACTTAAAACGCTGCTGAGCTGGACTTTAGAACTTTGTCAAGGCTAAAGCCTAAAGTCCTAAAGCGCGCAAAACTCAAAAACTCAAACAAGCGCCGAAGCCCGAAACCCCAAACCCTACACCCTAAAGCCCTGAGGCCCTGAGGCCCTAAACCCTTCTTGGAGGGTCGGGGGACTTAGTAAGTAGGTAGTAAGTAGACTTATAAGTACCCTAAAAGGGACCCTAATTGGGGTTATGGTACTTATAAGTCCCTAAAATAACCAGTTACTAAGTCCCCCGACCCTCCAAGTTTATTATCTTGAACCATGAACCTCAAATCCTAAACCCCCAACTCTTGGCACGCTACCTGAGGTTCTCCCTCCCGGAAAAGTCCGAGGGCTGGGATGAGATCAAGCCCTCTGGCGTTGCCTCGGGTATAGGTTTAGGGGTTTAGTGAAAGGTTCTAGACAGGGTCTAGAGTCTATAGAACGTATAAAATAGTCCAGGGTTCAGGGGTGCAGGGTTTAAGACATAGCCCTTAGATGCGGACCTCGGGGGGAGGGCACTTGTCGTCCTTCGACTTTCCGCCCTCGAAATCCTGAGGTTTGCCTGGGACCAAGCCCATTCCAGCCGAGACTATCTGCGGAAATGGATTGTCGAGGCAGGGTGTTTCTTGAAGGAAAAGCTTCGACGCAAGCCCGGCAACACAAGGCCAAAAGACGGCTAGGTGCCTCTTTGTTTACACAAGGCCTGTGCTTCGCGCCACGAAGGAACTCAACCAAAGCAGCACTTCCGCAATATGCCTGCAATGGGGTTGGGGGGCATACTCAACTATTATTCGAAAGGAGCCACCAAAATAGTATTGGTTTTTATACAGGCCCCTATATCATGCAAGCCAAGCACTCTGCGACGCAGAGCTGCCTGCAATAAAGTAGCCTCCCTCGAAAGAAGGACCTGGTTCCGTAAGACATCTAACACCTTGTGAACCGCTATCGAACACAAAAAAAAAGAAAGACACGCAACATAGCACTAAAAGACAGGGTTCTGGCGCAGACCAAAGGATCAACCATCCCCATCCCAGTTCGCCCAACAGGCTTTCTTAGATTCGAGGGTCCTCCAAAATCCCAGTCCTACTTTTGAGGGCTCGGAGTTGGCGGGAATTGGTTCGTAGGTGTCTTGCCCACAGTGCAATGAGCGATCATGAAGCCGGATTCCCATTCAAACTGCCTGGTTTTGGCTCTTGACTGTGCCCGAGGGCTAAAGTCAAAGACGTTCGACTAATCTGTGGTGGGCATATGTGTCGGGGCCAACCATCTGAGGAGTGTTGTCACTTGATGTCTGTGGTGAGAAGAGAATATGCCAATTCAGATCACAACAATGGCGTGCATGACACCTGATGACAGGTAAGATCATAACTCTGACTGCGGTGACAGTTTTAATGAGGCTGCTGATATCAATAACGCTGATTGTGGCGACAATGAAGGTCCATGCATCCTGTCCTTATCAAGACCCACGTCCTCCGTCAGGCCAAGCGCACGACCCTGATCGAAGATCCGCAGCCATCGCAGACTTTCACCACGAAGCAGCTGCGGCTGCACCCGATCGAGCTTGGGGTCTTCGGGAGTCCTGCTTGAGTGGACTTGGGGTTCTTTATGACATGATTTTTTTGCACGGCTCCGAGGAACAGGTCCTAGGTTCCCACGTTTCTCATGGCGGAAGTTTCGATTTGAAGTTGGGACTGGCACAGTAACCCTAAAACCCAGGACCTAGACCATAAACCCTAAACAGTAACCCTAAAACCCAGGACCTAGACCATAAACCCTAAACCCTGAACCCAACCCTAAACCCTAAACCCTAAACCCTGAACCCTAGACCGTAAGCCTAAGCCTCAATCCTTAAGCCCTACGTTATCCTTAAGGGCCTTGAACCTGGCACCCTCAAGGTTTCAAAACCATACTATATAGAGGGTTTGGGTTTAGGGCTTTAGGGGTTTAGGGCTTTGGGGTTTAGGGTTTAGGGTTTTGGGTTTGGGGTTTTGGGTTTTGGGTTTAGGGTTTTAGGGTTTAGGGGAAGAAGGGCTCCTTAACGTGTTTATAAACTTGTAGCAACTAAAAGGCATATAGACCCCAATCTGCAACCCTGAGTCCCAAAAACAGCCGAAACCTGGTCCCATAGGCCCCAAAGTAGTTCCTTTTGGGGATTACCTAATAGCATTCGAAATATGAACCCCAAAAAGGAACTACTTTAGTAGGGCCAGTAGGGCCTTAAAGGGAACTCCAGAAAGTTGGAATATGGCTTCAGGGTAGGAAACCCGATAATTTGGCATAGACGGTTTGGGATAATCATATTCCAACTTTCTGGCTTTGGTCTTAAAGTTCAGACCCCAGAGCCTGCAAGAACCAAACCCGGAACCCTAGAACGCCGTCATAGAGCCCCTTGAATACCCGACGAAAATCACACTTTCAGTGGAAATTCCAAGAGACCCCAAAGCCCGAACCAAAAGAGATATGGGTGGCTGTCAAAATGATGGTCCCTTTTCGGGTACCCTAATAAATATTAGGTGCCGTAGTATATTCGGGACCCACAAAGGGACCATAATTTTGACAACCACCCATATAAAACCTAAAACCCTGAAGAGGCATTTGGCCTGGCAGAAGCAGCACATGGACTACCAGTCGAAGCAGAATCTCTGGAAGGCCTTCTAAACCCTAAAGATCCCTTCCTTAAGGACGAAATGAACCTTAAAAGGGTTTAAGGTTCATATACCAAATAGGGATTCATAGTATATGGGTATAGGGCCCCTACTTTTAAGGGTCATTTGGTCCTCCAGGGTATGGATTCCTTTGAAGGAACCCCTATAAATCCCTCTAAGGAACCCTAAAAACCCTACCAGGGACCCTTATCGATCCCTTTACCTAAACCCTAAACCCTAAACCCTAAACCCTAAACCCTAAAACCCTAAACCCTAAAACCCTAAACCCTAAACCCTAAATTAAGGAACCCTCGATGGTGTCAGGCTTCGGAGCTTGGGTTTCGGGGCTTCGGAGTGGGAGTACGCACGCTTTTGGTGCAAACATTCGTTGTACTATAAGGGTTCCTTTAAAGGGCTCTATAAGGGTTACTATAAGGGTGCTATAAGGGTTCCTTTAAAGGGCTCTATAAGGGTTACTATAAGGGTACTATAAGGGTAGGTGTAGTTGGGGGTTGGCAGGGGGGGTTGGGTTTGGCTGTTGAGGGCATAGCAGCATGCACATGTGGTGTGCATGCATGGGAGGGTATCTTGTCCTTAGCTTTTGCCCCCCAGACCGCCCACAAATGCTAAAATAAAATAAAAAAACATCGACGTTCCAGGGCTCCGGCCCGGCGAATTTGCACTTTTGTGAAGAAAAAACAGCGAGTCCAAGCCTAGCGCCCTGTAGCTCTGTGCTGAGCCTTGCTTGATTGTTTTGGGCCCCATGTTACATAGGGATCGGGATAATGAACTCATGAATGCGATGTGGCCTGACAGCAAGGCTCCTCATGTCTGAAATCTCCTTTGGAACGTGGCTTCTTTCAATACGTTCTTAATCGTCATCCCGTGCTTAGAATCGTCAACCCTCAAGTGTAACTGAGGAATCTTACATGTCAGTTCTCCGCCCTTGATTCCATATCCAGGCGAAGCCGAAAAAGGACGAGGACGCTGCATCCATCGCGGCCAAAGCCAACCTCGATATCTTCGCAGTCGAGGATGTGGTGGGCCTCGTTGGGATTTAGAAGATGGGTCCTGACATGTAGTTGAAGGTGGCCACATGCCCATGGGGTTTCAAACTCGAAACCTGAGATGTCTCCAGAAAATCGTAGCGTGCAGAATGCCAGTAGCTGGCCTACTGCGCATGCGCTTCAATTTCTCTTACTCGACGATCTTGATCTTGTCTGTCGTTCTTCCTGCTCTTGTGGTAGATTTTCACGGCCACAGACATTCAAGGGGCTCAACATGCATCTCTCATTTTTCCTTGTCACAGCAGTGGTTTAATCGTTTTCGGCTTAGGCAATTCCAAGATGGAAGTGGCAACTGCGGCAAACTAGTTGCACTCGCCCTCGGACAGGATGTGAACGACATCGGCGAAGGCGAACCTTTGTATGCCCACTTCGAGCCTGTCGACTGGGCCTTGCCATTCACCCTGCACCTAAGTCAAGGGGTAAGGGGGTGTGCCTTTCAGTTCTGGGTGTTTTGCAAGATCACGCTTATCGTATCGGTGTCGTTCTAGGATTTCAGGAGGTCGGGATTTTAAGTTTGAAGATATTTACAGTATACATATACAGTGAATGAAGGTTTCGAGTTTTCGGGCTTGAGTACCTCCACAGTGCACCAGAGGCGCCAGAGTGTTTTACAGCAGACTTATAGTAGAAGCCAGAAAGTTGGAACATGGCTTTAGAAGGATTCGTGCTAGGATCCCTTTTGATTTACCTTAAGGGCATGAGGAGAATGATGTTCCAACTTTCTGGCTTCTACTATACAGTGATAGCAACACACTTTGGCCCGAAGCCCGTTCTTCGAATGACTCAGACAAGGGAGTTTCCGAATATTAGGGGTACCTTATTTTGGGGTCCTTATAAGAGGGATCCTACTGTTTAGGGTACTATATTAGGGTCCCCTATTTTCGAAAACTCTCACAAGATTCACTGGCATGTCCACAGCGATACCAGCGGCCGCTAGAAGAACCCAGTTAAGTTATTCCACCAAGCCCAAAAGACTTACCTAACATCTAGCGCCCCAAATCCCCGACACCCTGAACCCAAAATGCACCCAGATCCGAATCCCCACAGAACCCCTGTAGTTATTATAGGGGTCAAAACAATGAGGACCCCGGTAGTCCTTAAATAACTATGACCCAAAGAACCGCTGTAGTTATTATGGGGGTCAAAACAATGAGGACCCCGGTAGTCTTTAAATAACTATGACATTGCAATGCGCCGGAACACCGCATTGATCTTGTGAAGGCCCCTATCATAAAACCCTGTACCATCCTGGAGCAGCTCATTGAAGCCCCATGCATGACAATACCGCTCTGGCTGTCGAGTCTTTCACTGAACTTAAAAATCCAAGGGTATAAGGAGGGACCCTTAATAAGGACCCCTAGGTATATACCCTTAATATAGCTATTATATACCCATCATATAGCCCATCATAGGGACCCAGGGGTCCCCGTTAAGGGTCCCTCCTTTTCCAGCCCGAGCCCTCAACCCTAAACCCCATCTTAGGGTTTTCCTTCAAAGTCTACGGAACCCTTAACCCTATACCCTAAACCCTGACCACCTTAACCCTGAGACCCTATGTGAGGGTTGTCCTTCGAAGTCTACAGAACCCTAAACCCTCTACCCTAAACCCTATCTTAGGGTTTTCCTTCTTTTAAAGTCTACAGAACCAGGCTGCAGCTCCGCTATGAGCTGCATCTGCTGCAGGAGCCGCTTGGAGGTTGAGAGCTGTAAGTTGTTTAGGGTTTAGTGGGTTGGGTTTAGTGAGTTCGGATTTAGAGTTCAGGGTTTCGGAGATGGGGTAGGGTTTCGAGTTTAGGGTTTAGGGTTTAGTGGGTTGGGTTTAGGGTTTGGTGGGTCGGGGTTTAGGGTCGAGTCTAGTGGGTTGGGGTTTAAGGTTTAGGTTTTACGGTTTTAGGGTTTCGGCGTTTAGGGTTCGGGGTTCAGAGGTACAGAGCTATGAGTTCTTCAGGGCTATAGATCCGAAATAGATGATCTTTGATGTGCGGCATGGACCGCTTATTAAGACGTAGATCCTTGCTAGATCCTGACGAGTAGGATCCTTAACATCAGGGGCCTGATATGGGGTTCTCATTGATGACTGCCGGGGGCTGGAAGACTTTCGTGGGTCAGGTTTCCACTTGCACGTGGCTGGATCTTGTAGACGAGCTTCAGCGTGCCACCCTAGGCACATGAATGGTACTGAAACCTTTGTTGGGGTAAGTTACATGGCTACTGGAAGAATCTTTTTGTGGTTCAGATGTAAGAACCCTATATTATAAGGTAACCCGAAAAAGGAACTGGCTTGAAGGCTTTAGGGCCTTTAGGGTTAATGTTGCAGGGTTTAGAGTCTAGGGTTTAGGGGTTTGGGGGTTGCGGCTTAGGGTTTAGAGTTTAGGGGCTTGGGGTTTAGGATGCTTTAGGGTTTGGGGTTTGAGAGAGTTTGGTGTTTAGGAAACCTCAGCTTAAGCTGGTTCTGGCTTTTGGGGTTTCAACATGCGAGTTTCCGAAGATTAGGGGAGGGGGGGGGGGGGTAATTATATGGCAACTAGAAGCAGCCTAGGTCCTTCAAGCGGGATGTGGACGACGAGGACCGAAAGCTGATCCCGGAGCCGCATCTCTCGTACTACTACAGCAGCTGAAGCCGCATTGTATGGCGTTTTCGGATTAGGGTTTAGAGTTGAGGGCTTAGAGTTTAGAGTTTAGAGTGTAGGGTTTAGAGTTTAGGGATTTTGAGATGAAGCTTCGCACCGTATACTTAAAATCAGGGCTCCGAGGTTGCCCAAGCCTGGGGATCGTGATCATGACGGTATCGAAACCATCACCGCCGACAGTAGCGCCTTCACCACCACCTTCATCTCCATGGCCCCATCATCACGATGAAGGGCTAGCAGACTGGCATCGCTATAACCCCGAACCGAAGCCATTATAACCCCGCTTTGACCCAAGACGCTGGCTCTTCGAGCCTAGAGTCTTTGAACCCTTCTCCGACTTTGCAGTGAAGCGTCCAGAGCCTTGGGGTCGCAGGCTGTTGGGGTAGGTTTAGGGCTTCAGGATTTGTGTGACTCAGGGTTTGGGGCCGTTTAGGGCTCAAGACTCAAGGGTCGAGCTTTTGCGATTCCCGAAGATGCAGAAGAAGGGATTAACTGGGCCGGAAGCAGGCGACAGGAGTTTCAGGCATGATGAGGGCTCTATATAAAGGATTCCTTTTGGAGCTCTTTGTTCTCGGGGTACTAGTCGGGATACCACCCCCAAGGGTCCAAGTACCAATATAGTAGGTCCTTGAAGATATCCGGGCCCCCCAAAAGGAAAAAGTATATGCCATACTACTTACTACCTGGACCCTTTCGGATAGATACTATGTGCTATGTGCTATATACTCTTACCTGGACCCTTTGGGAAACCCGAAACCCCTAAACCCTAAACTCTCCCAGACCCTCCAACTACCATCTAATATATCCCAAATACCACTATTAAGGGCCCAAACCCCTAAACCCTAAAGCCCGTAAACCCCTCAAACCCCCAAACCCCCCAAACCTCTAAACCCAAAAGCCTATAAACCCCTAAACCCCCCAAACCCTTAAACCCTAAACCACTAAATCCTAAACCCTCCCACACTTTGAGGCAAGTACTTTCGGAAGCAGCTGAGCCCGGGTGTCTTCGGGCAGAAAAACAACACAGAGCCCCGGCGAGTAGATCAGGGCCTATAGGGTTTTTCGAATTTTGGTGTTAAGGTTTTCGGATTTCGGATTTGGGGTCAAGGTTTTCGGATTTCGGATTTTGGGGTTAAGGGTTTCGGATTTTGGGGTTAAGGGTTTCGGATTTCGGATTTGGGGTTAAGGGTTTTGGAGTTAGGGTTGAGTTTTGCGGAGCTTTAAGGGGGGCTTAGGTTGTTCAGAGGCTGTGGGGTTGCGGGTTAAGGGCGCTCTAAGGTTTAGGGTTTATGACAGAAGGTTGGATTTGGGGTGTCTCGGGTCTAGCTTGTAGGCAGGCTGGCAAGATAGAGCAGCCAGGCAATGGCAAGGAAGAGCAACGAAGAAGAATCCGCTAGTTTTCAGGGTGTAGGGATTTGGGCTTGGTGTTTAGGGTTTTCCTTAAGCCGGAATAACCTACCGCTTTAAGGACTTGTATAAGGAAATCATGGTTACGGTTTTGGGCTTCTTCCATTTACTCCAAGGGGAAAAGGAGGGACCCTTAATAAGGACCCCTAGGTATATACAGTATATACCCTTAATATAACAAGGTACCCCTAATTTTCGGAAACTCTCATATTGCTATCAGAGCGAACTTCTCTCCCGGAGGTTCATCGCAGAGCTAGCATGGCAAAGCGGCAAAGCACAGAGGCATACAACCCCGGTGACGGAAATTGTCAAGTCCGTTTTGCGCCCCATGTAAGTGTGGCTAAAGCATTGGCTGCCGATGTGTCCGGTTTTCAGGGTTGCGTGGTCTGCCGTGCTGGAGAATCCCCATCTGCTGAGGAGCTGATCAGCCACATAAAGGACGTGGCTGCTTGGCCGCATAAAGGGAACTCCAGAAAGTTGGAATATGGTTTCAGGGTAGGATACCTGATATTTTACCATAAAGGGTTTAGGATAATCATATTCCAACTTTCTGGCTTTTACTTTATGCAGGTTTAGACTCCGAGTAATGATCACGTACAGCCTCCTTCCAAACTCACGGTCTGCTTTACGGGTGTAGCTCTTGGTTCGGGCGGGGGCCGCCACAGCTTCGGCTGACAATATCTGGTTCTTCACATATGCATCAGAAACATCAACGATCGCAAGACTTCCCGACAGCAGGCTAACCTGAGCCAGCACAGATCTAGACGGAGGTTGTACATGCGTGCGGCGCAGACAGCGAAACACCACCACCGTCCCGAACAAGCGAAAATAAGCACCAAATTGGTTGAACCCTAAACCCGCCCCACCACTCCACTCTCTCGTCTCTTGTGGTGGGTGGGGTGGCCTTGGGGTGGGTAGGTCTGAAAACCAGAGCCGGGCAACAAAGCGCGCCTTCGTTTGGCACACCCTAAACCGTACTTAGGGTTTAGGGCCGGGGTTCTTACAGTAACTACAAGAACCAGCAACAGGTCACGATCAGTGGTGATCCGCCTTTGCTGCTGTCTCAGCTCGCCGAGGACGCCGAGGCTTGCAGAAGCATTGTAAACCTTGCAAAACCCTTTTTTGAAGCTTTGCCAAGGTAGTTCTCTAAATTAGGGTCCCTTCTTAGGTCCCAAAACCCTTATAAAAAGGGACCCTAAACAGAGACCCTACTGGTAGCTTAGAGAATTTCCCATGAGAAGAACTTATGAACACCTAAACCCCTGAAAAATGGACCCCTAAAAAGGGACCCTAACTTAGAGAATGAGAAGAACTTGCGAACACCTAAAAACACCCCTAAACCCGAGCCTCGGCGATCTGTCTTCAGCTGATCATGTTTTGAAGGTTGGTTCAGGGTTTAGGGGTTCAGGGTTTAGGGTTTAGGGCCACTGCTGTCTTGGCCTCAAAGAAGTATCTGTGGAACCTAGATCGCCGAGGGAATTTGAGCGATCTGAAAGGAGACGGCTAGTGTAGTTGTGGCTCTGGAATCGACTCGAACTTTGCAATTTCTGTGGGCTTGGTTCTGCCTCAGCTGGGTTGGGAGGGTCTGGCCCAAGGGCGATTGCTCGACTCGTCTAAACTCCAAATGAAGTCTAGGGCCTATAGGGCTTTGCACCTCCAACAACAGAGTCTTGGTATTGTACGCTTATCATGCGCACGATTTAGCCATGTTCGACACTCTCCAGCACTAACTTAGGACAACAAGGCTTCCTAAACCCCAAACCCCTAAACCCTAAACCTCTCCAGCACTAAGTTAGGACAACAGGGCTTCCATAAAATGTCTCAGAAGATTTGTCTATTCCCTCATGAAGCCTCGAATACACTCACCGAAATCGCTCCAGGAGGCTTATATACACCAAGTTCGTAGAAACCCCGAAAACCCTAAACCCCTAAGCCCCACAACTGCAATCCCCATAAGCCTTAAACCCCTAAATCCCGAAAACCCTAAACCCCTAAACCCCCCCACAACTGCAATCCCCATAAGCCTTACACCCCTAAACCCCGAAAAAGCCTAAAACCCGGCGACCCCGAAAGCCCTAAACCCTCGGCATGTCTGTCGACTGCCCTCCGTCTCACAGGTCGACTCGGCCGACATCTTCGTGAAGTGTCGCAGCTGCAGCGGACAGCTTTCGAAGCACACATCATTGTGTGTCCGTAAACGGCAAGACATAATTACACACATACACACGTTGCATACATACATACACGCATGCATACATACACACGCATGCCTGCCGGCCTGCATGTATGCATACCTGAATCTGAATACATGTTAACTGCAGAATGTTCAGCGGTGGCAGTAGCAGAAGCGAAAGCTGCAAGAGAGCTTGCACCGAGAGATCTTGCTCCAAACGTTAGGCGGTGAACCAACCTTTCAAGCACAAAGATTGAGCTCCTCAGCAACGACGAACACACTCTGTAGACCAGCGCCAGTGGAAGTTTAGAATTCTGCCGCCCTTGAAGTGTCCCGTCCGAGTCCACTGGCCACAGAAGCGCCATCCCAAGCCTCACCCCTTCAGATCACAATTCCCCATACCTGCCCCAACCCCCCAGTCGTGGGCTTTAGAGGGTGCTGGTTTGGCTTCGAGGTTTTCAGTGCCTGCATGGGTTGAAAGTTTAGGGCCTTATAGTTCACGAAACCCACTAAAATCCCAAACCCCAAACCCCTAGACCCCTAAACCTCTAGACCCCTGAACCCTAGACCCCGATTTCGTAGCGTCAAAGTCTGAGGTTTTCGGAAGAAGCCCGTCGGGACCGCAAACGACGGCAAGAAGCGGGAGACGAGACCTCCACCTTGCCCTTCAGCCCTGTTTAGGGCCTTTACCCCAAGGCCCCATAGTAGTTCCTTTTTGAGATTACTTTTTAGGATTCTAAATATGAACCACAAAAAGGAACTACTATAGGGCCTTTAGGGCTTAGGGCCGTTAAGGGTTTAGGGTTTAGTGCCTTTAGGGTTTAGGGTTTAGGGTTTACGGCTTTTGGGGTTTGGGGCCGTTAGGGGTTTAGGGTTTATGGCTTTTGGGGGTTTAGGGTTTAGGGCCTTGAGGGGTTTAGCGGCTTTGGGGTTTGGTGGCTGAGGTTTCAAAACAAGTTAGGGCTGGGGGAAAGAGATCAGCTGGTCTCTGGCTTACCGTACCCTCGATGATCTGGTTACTATACTGTGCTTATACAGGATTTGGTGAGTGGGCTTCTAGGATTACCTTAGGTTGTGGTTTCGTGTTGAGGTGTTTTGTTATTTCGGGGTCAGCTGCCGTATGGATTGTCAATGGTGGCTTGCAGGCAGCACGGGGTCTTGGGCTTGCAGTGTTGAGCCCACGTTTCATGGCTAGCATCTTTGGTTGTCAAACTGTTTGTTGAGGAGTTGTTCCTTGGAATGTCGATTCTCGGTTTCACGATTTACGGCCTCTAGAGATTGTGCAGACCCGCTCAGAGCTACAAGCCCTGACAAAGTCTCTGGCTTTCATGATTTGTTGGCTCGTATCGACCATTCGCACCGAGCAAGTCGTTGGTTGGTTTTCTGGTATTGTTAGGTATGCATGCAGTCAAACAGTTGGACCCTGTGATGGGGAGGCAGCAGGCCTAACTTCCTATTTCGCTTCTTGCATAATCTATATACTGCCCCACAAACCCCAACTATTCTCATTGTTGCGGCCATATTTCTAAATCCTAAGCCGCTACAAGCCCTAAACCCTAATCCTTGAACCCTAGAACCGTAAAACTCCAAACCCCACAACGCCAACCCTAATCCCTAGAATCCTAACTAAACCCTGAGCCCAACACACTGAACCCCGAACCCGAGAAAGCCCTAAGCTCTAAACCCCGAAACCCCAAGAAGGCCTAAAGCCTAAGCCCAAAAAGCCTTAAACCTAGGAAATACACAGCTCCGGCGACCGCCAACACGCCGCCGCCTCCGCGACCAGCGGCTTCCTGCTGGATTAGGGCTATAGTGCTTATTTGGGGTTTATTTGACGATTAAGGGTTTATTATAGGATTGAGGGTTTATTCTAGGATTGAGGGTCCGTTATAGGATTGAGGGTTTAATATAAATTATGGGGTTTAGGGCTTGTTATAGGGTTAATCCTAAACTTCATTTTACCCTGCTCTAGAGTTTAGGATTTGTCAGTTGAGCTTTTCTTGGCTTTTGTTTGTCCGGGTCGTGGCTTGGGTTTTCAGAGTTCACCTAATTACTTGTCATTTATGGCCGCCTTGAATAGCGCTGCTTGCAGAGCCTTGCGAACTCTAAACCCTGCTGAGCACCCCAACCCCCTTCTGTAGGAGCCTAAATAGCCAATACTGTTTTGGGGGTTCCTTATTCTAGTTATAGTATATAATATACCCCAAAGCTCTATTCTAATTCTTAAGGCCCCTATGGAGCCCGCCAAGCTCCAAAAAAGCAGTGCAGGCTACTCCCAACGCTGGCTGGCAACCTGCTCCTCGGAACCCAGCTCCTCGGTAGCTTGCCGTTCGCGCATTTCGAGGGTTCCATAACGCCGCAACCACAAAAACTTCATATGTGAAAATAATTGCCAATACTATTCTGGGGGCTCCTTATCAAAACTATAGTATAATGGGCCCAAAGCCCTATGCTAGTTATTAGTGCCCCTTATGTTTGCTTGCAGTTCGGGCCTTTCGAGGGTTCCATAATCCCCAAACCAAAAGCTCAGTGTTATGCAGCCGTTCTAGATAAGTTATAAGGAGCTTGTGTTCCCAAGGGTTCCATTTCCATATAGGTTATACAAGGGTTCCATAAGGGTTTGGATGAACGTCCTACCAGCTAGGGTTGTTTGAGGGTTCTTGAGGGGTTCAGGCTCTGGGGCTTTTTTGGAGTTCAGGGTTTAGGGTTTAGGGTTCAGGGTTTAGGGTTTAGGGTTTAGGGTTGGGGCTCTCTGGGATAGGTAGAGGATTCAAGGGTTTTAGGACTAGGGCTTTAGGGTTTGAGTTCTCCTAGCCCGGGCCCCCACGCCGTTTCAGATTCAAATCTAACCCCCAAAAGAAGCAAACCCTAAACCCCAACCCCGAAAAATGAAGCAACCCTAATCCCTTAACCTTGAACCCTTACAACAAGTAATGAGACCCCTTAGCCCTAAACCCTTTAACAACCAATAGTAACCCTATGCCCGATACCCTAAACTGTCGGTCTGGAGGCTCACGGGTTTAGGGGTTTAGGGTGTGCGGTTTAGGGTATTGCACTGCCAAACTACTAGGAGGAGAGCCCTTCTTGGACCGAATAGAGTTTCTGGGGTATACGAGTTATACTTGCACTGCATGGCTTTGGGTTTGGGGGTTATCTTAAACATTCAATATTGTATATCGAGGCCCCCTATATCATTGCTGTGTCTTCCCGTCATAGCTCCGAGATCTGGTCGAGTCTTTGGCGGGCTATGGGGGGTCGGTTTGGGATTTAGGGGTTTGGGGATCAGGTCAGGGGAACCATATGTAGACTGAAGGAGTCAAGAAGCTTTCCCACGGCTTTTGTGGTGAGGGGTTGGCGATACTTGGTGCAAGAGTGCTTCTTTATAGTATTTAGGATATGAGGGCTTCGGGATTCGGTCTGAAACTCCACTCTCTATCTCTATACCCTGTAGAAACTTTACGAAAACTGGGCTGGAAAAGGATCACCTCGATACCTCAACCTGCGATCCGTTCCCAGACGCCCCGGCCGCCAATGCCGATGGGGAAAGGCTGGCAAGGCGATGGCGGCAAAGGCCTCGACTTCTGTTCGTGCTGCAAATCTTCAGTTATAGCTTACAAGCACTAGTCGTCGGAGTTCTAGTTTTGGCTGGGGGAGTGGTCGTGGGAGTGGTAGCGGTACTACTGTGATGCCATCAGAGTCGTCGTCCTGTTTCGCCTCCTGCTCCTCCTCATCCTCAGCTGTTGACGTGAACATCTCTGCGGCGACACTGTCATCGGCTGCATGTTCAGCCTTCAGAGCATCTACAGCTTGTTGATGCGCGAACTGGGGTTAACCGCTTGACCACATGGCAATGGATGCACGTCGTTGAAGTAGGATATCATACAGTATAAAATCACCTCTAACAAAATGTTACATTATATTGCAATGCCACATCCCGATTATTGAGGCTGTGATGACCTCGGCGTCGTCTGACGTTGCCAGATCCATCTTTATTCCACGCGCTTGCCAGCATTTCGGGCTGTGGCAGCCATGATGACCCTGACGATACAGTCAAAGTCCTTCTAATCGGAGGTCTGTGTCAGGACCATGACAGAAATCATTGTCTGATTCGTGAATTTGCATGCCAGTAACCTTTTGATAGGACAGATGCGAAAGCTGACAGCAAGTCCTTTTCCCAGTTTTCCACTCTCGGCCCTCCTGTTGTACTCCTTCTCAAGGCCTATAACCTGTTTGCCTAGACTAGTGGCCACCTTTCTGGCAGTCTTGGCACGGCTTGCAGCGTGCAACTCGGGCTGGCCACTGTAGGATGACTGCTTCTCAAATCAAAGTCCTTTTCATCCTGACTCACCCGCAGGGTGGCGATGACGGAGCTTGAAGTCTGATGTCAGTGCAGGCTTGCCGCACTTCTCACTGTGGGAACGCCGATGTTCTATCCCCAAAGCATGTTGTCTGGCTTGTCTTGTTTACTATCGCCTTGCATGCTTGCTTGCGTGCGACACGGGACACATTTCGCAGCATTGCGTCGTTGTCATCGGGGCTTGCGCAGCTTTAAGTGGCGATGCTGGTAAAGCTCCAGCAGACGGGTCAGAACTTGTCGGTTGCCACTTGGGAATCACTGTCGGAGCCAGGCGATGCGGCTGGTCGCAGCTTGCTAAGTTGGCCTTGGTTTGTTGCAGCAGGTTGCCTCCTTGGCAGTCTGCCCTGGATCACGCCTTGTATTTGAAGAGAACGTTAGTGGCAGGTGTTCTCGGCTGGCCACTGCAGGATGACTGCTTCTCAAATCAAAGTCCTTTTCATCCTGACTCACCCGCAGGGTGGCGATGACGGAGCTTGAAGTCTGATGTCAGTGCAGGCTTGCCGCACTTCTCACTGTTGGAACGCCGATGTTCTATCCCCAAAGCATGTTGTCTGGCTTGTCTTGTTTACTATCGCCTTGCATGCTTGCTTGCGTGCGACACGGGACACATTTCGCAGCATTGCGTCGTTGTCATCGGGGCTTGCGCAGCTTTAAGTGGCGATGCTGGTAAAGCTCCAGCAGACGGGTCACAGCTTGTCGGTTGCCACTTGGGAATCACTGTCGGAGCCAGGCGATGCGGCTGGTCGCAGCTTGCTAAGTTGGCCTTGGTTTGTTGCAGCAGGTTGCCTCCTTGGCAGTCTGCCCTGGATCACGCCTTGCATTTGAAGAGAACGTTAGTGGCAGGTGTTCTCGGCTGGCCACTGCAGGATGACTGCTTCTCAAATCAAAGTCCTTTTCATCCTGACTCACCCGCAGGGTGGCGATGACGGAGCTTCAAGTCTGACACCAGTGCAGGCTTGCCGCACTTCTCACTGTGGGAACGCCGATGTTCTATCCCCAAAGCATGTTGTCTGGCTTGTCTTGTTTACTATCGCCTTGCATGCTTGCTTGCGCGCGACACGGGACACATTTCGCAGCATTGCGTCGTTGTCATCGGGGCTTGCGCAGCTTTAAGTGGCGATGCTGGTAAAGCTCCAGCAGACGGGTCAGAACTTGTCGGTTGCCACTTGGGAATCACTGTCGGAGCCAGGCGATGCGGCTGGTCGCAGCTTGCTAAGTTGGCCTTGGTTTGTTGCAGCACGTTGCCTCCTTGACAGTCTGCCCTGGATCACGTCTTGCATTTGAAGAGAACGTTGGTGGCAGGTGTTCTCGGCTGGCCACTGCAGGATGACTGCTTCTCAAATCAAAGTCCTTTTCATCCTGACTCACCCGCAGGGTGGCGATGACGGAGCTTGAAGTCTGATGTCAGTGCAGGCTTGCCGCACTTCTCACTCTGCTTCTCACTCTGGGAACTCCGATGTTCTGTTCCAAAGCATGTTGTCTGGCTTGTCTTGTGTACTATCGCCTTGCTTGCTTGCTTGCTTGCTGGCTGGCTGGCTGGCTTGCTTGCGACACGGGACACGTTTCGCAGCATTGCGCCGTTGTCATCGGGGCTTGCGCAGCATAAGTGGCTTGTCGGTTGCCACTTGGGAATCACTGTCGGAGCGTGACGGAGCCAGGCGAAGCAGCTGGTCGTAGCTTGCTAACTGTCCCCGGTTTTTGTTGCAGCACGTTGCCTTCTGGACATTCTGCCTTGAATCACACTTGCATTTCATATCTGCGGCAGGTGTTCTCAGCTGGCCACTGCAGGATGACTGCTTCTCAAATCAAAGTCCTTTTCATCCTGACTCACCCGCAGGGTGGCGATGACGGAGCTTCAAGTCTGACACCAGTGCAGGCTTGCCGCGCTCTCGCTCTCGGAAGGGCTGTCCGACTGTCCGGCCCAAGCCGAATCATTGCCAAGACGAGCCTTGGCTGCGCACTGCAGCATCGCGCAAGCCGTATCTGGCTTATAGGTCCCTCTCAGAGGTGTGCAATGGCATGGGGGCACTGTATAGATCCTCACGAGGACACAAGTAAGAAAGGTGCCTTAATAATTCGAGCAGGGTTTTGGGGCCATTATACTATAGTTTTAAGAACAAGAACCCCCCAAAGTGAATAGTATAGGCACTTTTTGAGGCCCCTGAAGAACCCTACTATAGATCCCTAAAAGGAGCCCCCAAAAGTAGCAGCTGAAAACTGAGAGGCTGGCAAGGTGGCGATGGAGGAAAGGGCTGGCAGGGCGGCTGGAGCAGGCGAAACTTCCCAGATTTGCGGTGTCTGCGTGTCATGTGGGTAGTTGTCAAAACTAGGGTTTAGGTTTAGGCTTTTTGGGTACCCTAAATATTATTATAATAAGGACCCAAAAAGGGACCCTAATATTGACAACCACCCATGTGGGGGGTTTCCGAAAATTAGGAGGTACCTGATTCTGGGATCGTTCTTATAAGGATCCTACTATTTAGGGTACTATATCAGGGTCCCCTATCTTCGCGAACTTTCACGTGGTTTCAGGGCTTTCCGGTTTAGGGAGGCATCTCGCTGAGGGTGCCGGGGTCGTGGAGACTCTATCTCAAAGTCCGAAATTCGGTTACGATGCGGGGCTCTCGTGTCCCGCATTTTTCCAGTAGAAGCCCTATACGGCTACCTTAACCTACAAGAACCTACTTTTTTGTAGGGTCCCTATAAAGTCCAGATTTGGGTTTATAATAATAAGAACCTACAACCGACAAAACAGCAGGGTTTGGTAGGAAAAGGTAGGTTCGGGTGAGTAGAGACGACCCCGAATGCTGTAGTGACTCACTGATCGCCACTGGCTACAGCACCACCGACTGGGCGAGCTTGCTGTACAGCACCAGCTCCCGTAAACCACCATAGCCTATTGTTCTGGCAGGGTCCCTAATTCGGATTCAAGATTCGGGTTCAGGGGATGCAAAGTGCGTAAAGACTATCAAGATGCGGCTTTTGGCCCGCCTGACCTCCGCAGAATCCCGAAGCCGCGAAGAGCTTAAGCCTGATACTCTGCAGCTGGTACAGTGCCGTTACAGTATTGTTGCATTTTAGGTCCTCTTCGCCGGGATCACCGTTCGTGTCACCTTTGTAAGCATCGAGAAGCTCGGTTTCGTTGAGGCTTGCCTTTGGATGAACGGTCACCCCATCGTCGTGACCTTGCTACTTGTGCCCGTTACTCTTGGGAACATGCAGTGATGAGAGGAACTTAGGGGTCTGTGAAGACCTTAAGCACTCCGAGTGTGTATGATGTAATTCAGGGTCGAACCCTAAACCCTAAGCCCTATAATGAATCCTAAGCTACGGGTGTGAAGTTGCTTTCTGAGCGTCTTGTGCCCGGCAGGTGGTGAGCCATCAAGCCATGCTGCTTTCCTCCAGATGCGCAGCTATGAGAGGGTGGCCAAAAAACAGCGGATCAGCAGTCGGTTGCGGTGTAATATAGGGGCCTTAAGGATTACCTATAACATTTTGAGGGGGTTCCTTCATCATATCCCGAAAAACTATTCTAAGTATTAAGGCCCAATTTACATTAGAGACCAGGCTATACGGATTCTATTGGCATGACAGCCTTAGCTTTGCTGTGAGTAGCGATATGGCTACCCTAGACCCGACAACCTTCTAAACGCTGAAACGTCCACAAGCCCGAACCCAGAGACTCCAATATCCCTTAGTTAAGAAATGCCTTAAATATCCATAAATTATAGTAGGATCCCTAATATGATTTAAGGTATATTCTTTAATTAAGGGATATTGGAGTCTCCGCCTCAGCTCTTAAACCCATCAATGGGAGTTAGGATCAGGGGGACCCTTGGGGATATAGACCTCTCTGAGTAAGGCCCCTTTTAAGAGAGCCAGAAGTAGGGTTCAGAAGGGGTAGCCTTTAAGGGGTCTCCCTTGAATCCTGAACCCCTAAACATCCCCCAAAACCCCAAACCTCCCACAGACTCCAATATCCCTTAATAAAGGAATAGACCTTAAATCATACGAGGGATCCTACCATAATTTAGGGTATATTTCTTAATTAAGGGATATTGGAGTCTCTGGGCTAGACAGCCTCGGCCCGACCTCGTTGTTCTCAGGTTCGAGGCCTCCGCAGCATGCCGATTTGGGGCCGAGAGACCTGGAAGGAAAGCGGGGGAGTCATTTAAATGGCCTAAGGGAGCTGAGTGTGAAGGAATGAAGAAGGCGGTTTAAATTGTATGTGTGTATCTATAGATGGGCATGTATGCATGTGTATTTA